CCCCTTCCACACCTCCCTGGTTCGTATTCCCTCTCATTCTCCGTCTTGACTGGGCCATTTCTGCATGGAGGGCTTCCCCAAAGTCCTTGTATTTCTAAGACTGAGCTCTCTTTTAATATATAGCAAGAGTAAACAGGCCTTCCAGCACCCTCGGGGCCCAGTCCAACTTTCTGGGTTTTCCCCATTGGCCACAGCACTTTCGCTGCCCCTTGTGTATAGTGTCTCCCATGATCACAGACTGCCTTCTAAGACACAGTTATTGGTGTGGGGACATTAAATTAAGCTACAATCTGTGGGGGTTTTATCCCCCTTTTTCCTTGGATCCAGCCTCCCACTGGAAGGTGGCTCCCAAGACCTTATCCTTTCTCTGCGCTGGGGCCCCAGCTATAGAATGCGCTCCCCAGAGAGGGCCGCCTGGCGCCGTCATTATATGCTCTTTGGCGCCAGGTCAAGACCTTTTTATTTAACCAATATTTTAATGCTAATTGATTTTAATTGTGTATTTATTTAACTTAGTTTAACTATTTTATGTATTCAGTTGTGGTATAGCTAATTTATTTGGTTGAAGGATTTAGATTATATTATAGCATAAGCCGTCCAGAGACGACAGTGATGGATGGCCTATCAATGGCCTAAATAAATAAATAATCCCAAATGGAACTCATCCTAAAGCAGAAAGATGCTTGGCACATGCGTCCCGCAGGCCGATCCTCTGACCTTCCCGTCCACTGGTGAGCATCAGGACAGGCTGTCGAACGTCACTGAGGGCCGAGAGGAAGACGGATGGAGAGAGGGGTTGTCGCCGCAGTGCGCAAGTCCCCCCACAGCCCTGGGTCAGCAGAATGCGTCTCGGTCGTGACAGCAGCTGGCATTGGTTAGAACAGTCTTTGGCAGCTGTTGCATTCATTAGAAACTGTAATAATGATCAAGTCTCTACCCTTTTCCAGAGAAGCTCAAATGGGGCTTTGGCTATTACATTTCACTGACTGACAGCTGAGAAACGGAAAGACAGAGAAAGACACTCGCTCAGCTGCTAAGTCCAGGCAATGTTAAGAGCTTCTGAAGGGCAGTTCCTGTTACCAAGAGCTCATGCAAATCCAGCCCAGCTCTCCAGTGCAAGTTCAAAGCGTCCCAGCAATGTACATAGCAACAATGAGGCATCAGTGATTCCCGGATGCTCCGTGTTAACACTGGATCGAATTTTCGCCAGATGGTGGAGTGCTCTGGATTGGGTTTCCTGTTTCACGTACAGTTTTTGACCTATCCAAACCAGACGGTTAACAGATTCCTCCCACAAAAACGAATCATAATAAAAGGAAAATATTCCATACCCTTTGATAACCGGTTTGTCAAGAACACAGATGCAGCTTAAAGTGCACCAAATAGGCAAGCATAGAAGGGCCATGCACATGGCACTGAACCGCATTTTCTGAGTGGTGCGTGGTGTTTTTCTGAGTGGTGTGTGGAAAGATCCTATGCCTCAAATGGGTTGTGAAAATGAGGTGGTAAAGCCACAATGACAAGTAGATATCTTTGTTTTTTGAGGGGGTGGGAGGGAAAAAGCATTAAAGGAGCAGTGGTTTAAAAATAGCCCGTGAAAGTTAGGTGGTCTCTAAGCAAATGCAGATTTCCCTACCTCAGGATATTTGTAATTATACAAATTTGTCAATCCTCAAGGATATGACACTGGAATTTTCAGAATTTGTTTATTTAGTGTAGAAAGTCCAGGCAAGTAAACCAAAAAACCCTAACCCAAGAAGGGTGAATCACAGCCAGCTCCATGTAGTGCTAGATTTCTACTTGCAAGACCATCTCCCTAAGGAATTACTCGTAGGTGTGAATCCTCACCTGCACTTGAAGCGGTAAAGTCTATGATACCACCTCAGAATTGTAGCAGAGAATGCTAAATTCCTGTTTGATGGATATGATGCTCTCTCTCAGCCTCTGTCCACACCCTAGAGAGTGGGGGGTGAATTTTTACATGGACATCTTCCCAAAATTAAAACTAAAACAAAGCCCAAAGCTCTGAAAATTGGATCTGAATTGTTTACTTAAAAATTATGAAACTTAAAACTGGTCACATAAACCATGGTCCCCCAAACTGCCACTTTTAAGCTGGCTGAAGGATGATAGGAGTAGTAGTCCAAACATCCAGACAGCACCAGCTTTGGGAAGGTCAGCTTAGAACCTCTTTGGCTCAGGGCATTCATGAGACAACCGATCTTAGAAGACATGAACTGTCCATATGGAGAACCAATTCAAGGCCTTGATGGTGCTTTTGGTTCATGCTGTTCTCTGACATCTTAAGCATATTGGGCTTGAAGGCTTCAGCTGAAGGGTTAAGTCAGTGTGATTCTGAAATGGTAAGATGGAGAAATCGCATGCATTCCACAAGAAGGGAGCTAGCTGACTCTACTAACAAGGGCCAGATGTTCCAGCTTGCTCCCACAGATGTGGTTCAAATGGAATGAAGCTTGCTAGTAACTTCTGCCTGCCTCAGTAATAGAAAAATCAGTTGCGAACATTTACGTTCCCAAGTGAATGAATGCTTAATTACCTGAGTATGCAGGAGGATCATGTGATTCATCAGCTAATTGTTATGCATCTGGAACAATAACCTCCACCTTGAGCTGCTGCAGGAGACATCTCCCTATGGCTCCGTGTAGGTCAGCTTTCCCCAACCCTGGCACTCCAGAAGTGCCAGACTACAATTGCCATCACCTCCAGCCAGTTTGGCCCACACATCTGTAGGGTTTAAACAGTTCTTAAAAGGCTTAGTTAATGGATCCCTGTGAAACTTTAGGAGTGAAAGCCATAGAGGTAAGCCACCATCTTGGCTCCTGTGCTAAAAATGCCGGAAACTGGTTTCGCCCGCTGCCACCCATGAAGCTGATCCGCCACCCATGAGCAAGCAGAAGCACTGTGAAACGGGCCCAGTGTTGAAAAGAAAAGGGATAAATGGGTGTGAGTCTTCATCTGTCTAGGCTTCTGTTCAGAAATAAATACAAGGATGTGCTAAATTAAACACAGGAACGCCCTTAAGTGAGCTGCTGACATAGGTCAGAATCATTAGAGAGATGAAATCTACAGTGAAACCGTCTGTGATGTATAGGATGGGTTCTGTCCAGAAAAAGCACAGCTCTCTCTCTCAAATCACACAGCAGTCGCTGGACCCAACCCGCCACTACTGGGCTAATTCTAGTCACCCCAAAAGCACCTATCGGCAGTGGAAATTACTCCAGGAAGAAACTACTCCTTTGGGAGTGGTATTTTTATATAGCATTAGCAGCCAGCAAAACTGCAGTCTCAGACAGGTCCAGCAGCAAGGGAAGACGCATTGAATTGCAGTCCCAACAGATGGGGCTTTTCAGAGCTGCAATCTATATTGCCCAGTACTGATCAATTTGCTTTAATAGATCATTTCATATCACCTGTGTTAAGAAGTTCCCAAGATGAAAAGACAGATCCCTGTGACCCAGCATTAGCTAAAGGGCTACTGTAAGGTTGACTTTGGATTTCTATCCACGGGCCTTTTTCATTGCATTAAAGATTAACAAGATAGGTGATTATAAACAAATGTGTTAATATACCCTTGCTAACATGTTTCACACCCATAGCAACTGTAGAACAAGCATGTAAACTTGTTTCAAGGACAGAGCTTGTCTGAAGAAGAACTGCAACTCTGGGTATTTTTCCTTGATACTTTTTTTTAAAAAAGTAAAAGGCTCTCAGAGGGGCTGAAGGAACATAATTGTTAGAAAATGTGATTACCCTTTATAGTAACGCAAGCTGAACCAGCCAAGGTTATGCTAGTTTTCAGTGTGGGTAGCTGCTGATCCCCCACAGGCTAAGTTGAGAGACAGACGTCTCCGATCTAGTGCACGCACACAGGCAGAGGGAGAGAGAGGGAGAGAACAGCAGGTGCAGCTAAACTTATCTGGAATTTCTACTTGGAGAGCTGGTGCAGAGAGGCTAAGCTGTGACTCAGGAAAGCCCTAGTTCAAATTTCACCTGTGCCACGCTTGGGTTAAGTGCCCATAGCAGGTCAAAAGCAATGATGGCTTGTGCCTACTCCACAACAGAAAGTGAACGCTGACCTACCTCACTGATGTAAGGGAGCAAAGATTACGATGCAACAAAGCCGAAGTGTTTGGAAATTTCGCAGCAGGACGTGCCTCATTATGATCAGTACAGATGAACAGGCAGGTCCACTGCATCTATCGGTATAATCCTGAGAGCCTCACCACACATGGGATTCTGCCACGACCCAGAGATCATGCCAGTGTGTGGTCTTTCAGAAGGGGAGGACAACTCCCATCATCCCCACAAGCAGCCCATCCTTTGCTATTCCAGCTTCAGGGTGGCAGAACTTGGTGCCAGGTAGCTCTCTTCCTCCCATAACCTAGCTTTCTCTTCTGCTTGCTGCAAAGCCAAGTGAGAAGGAAAGGAGCAGAACTGGAGAAATGACCATCCCCCTATATAGGAGGAGACAAGGTTTCTAAGCTGTAAATGTACTTCTTGATGTAAACTTGGTGACCTGCAAAAGCAGGGAGTTGGACACGACGGCCTTCTTGGCCCCTTTCTACCCAAGAAATTCTATGATTCTTTGCTTTTTTTTTTTAGTACTGCAACACAACTGTAAACAAGCACCTTGCTAAATCTGTACTTGCCCAGTCCCACTGCCAAGAAGAGCAAGCTTTTAAACATGGCACTAGTCCCACAACTAAGTTACACCAGTGACACAATTGCACAGTGTTTCAGAATAGCACACACGGGAGGTGTGTCAGACCAACCCCAACTTGCTGCTTCCAGGAACACGGAAGTTAAATGACAGCACCTCTCTCCCCTTAAGACAAGCAAAGACAGAACAAGGTCAGCATGAGCTTTGCCTTCCCCCAGAAGTCACCATCTACACACGGGTATTTGCCAAAGAGGTGAATACATGTTGGACCTATTGAAAATCCCAGGAAGAATTCAGTCAAGCCAAGAATGCAGGCTTATTTAAAATAAAAATATTCAGTTATGTTTATTCACATATTAAAACTGTACAAGCTAAAGGACATTGAACACTTCTGAAGACAATTTTTTACAATACACAGTATAGCAGATACCAAAACTAGAACTGTTAAACAAGATATAGGACAGGTACAGCCAAGAAAGCAGTTTGAGAGCTTTTCTTTAAAAAATGGAATTTAACAAAAATAGATGTTAACCAGCTACCAGTATTATACAATGATAAATACTTCAAAAATATATTAAGTTATATGGAGTTTCTGGATTTGACAGGAAATCCACAGAAATCCCAGCCTTCAATGGACTTCCCAATATACCAATTTTTAAAAGGTTTTTCAATAGTTAAACTCACTTCAGTTAAGAACTGGTTCTGCAGCCTTACTGTTTTGGTATCAACATTCTTTTCACTTACTTGTAGTGTAACTTATACTAATGCCATTATAACAAAAACATGTAAGCTATAATGCTCTGTGCAATATGGATCTTGCAGCTATACATCGGTAAGAGGCCTCAGGACTGTTTGCATTGCACACAGGTGGAATTAAGCTCTTCATTCTTGTTAATACTGGCTCACATTTCACAAGGCAACACCCCCCTCCCCCCCCACCATACACGCACACACACACTAAGAAGAAATTCAAACAGGTCTTCATTTGGGTTCCGTTGCAAGCCCACCACTGACATTTAGGATAACATCCAGCACTCTGCAGTTACCAGAACAAACCATCTGCGACAATCACAGCTCTCACACCAAGATCCAGAAGATGCCCGATCGCAGAACACGTGTTAAGCAGCGTTTCTCTCCAGGTGTCGCATGTGCTTGTTAATGTTCTGCTCCAGCTTGAGTTAAAAATATATATATATTTGCTTCCATCTTCCAACCGTCATAGAAATATAGAATGGACTTTTCAATGGTATGTTGGCAGTTTTAGCAGAGAGCACCCACCCAACCCCGTTTAGAATCGAGTCCACCGATGGAGTCTATCGCACGGCCAAGAGGAAAGCCAATCCCGCCAGACCGAACCCTGCCGCTGCCATGATGGCATTGCTTATGGTGCTGCTCTGGTCAGCTGCATCCGAGTCATGCTTATTGAAGAAGTGGTAGAAGCCATCCTAGAAGAGAGGAAGAAAAGGCAAGCAGCTGAGTTGCGTTGCTACAGACAAACGGCAAGAGTTACTGAACGTTCCTTCCAAGGAATAGGAGAGAGACGGCTAAGCTAAGCTGGCCCAGTAGTCTTGCTGGGGAACACTCAAGCCCATGGGCCAAATCCAACCCTCCTGGATGCCGAACCCATTTTCCCCAGCCACCAATGGTTTACTGGCATTGGTGGAGTACTTTCCAGATGGCTGAAATGCCTCTCTCATGGCTTAGACTAACCCTCCAACATATTGTAAGTTATTTGGCTCACTACCTTTGCTTCTGGCCCATGCTGCACTGGAATGAAGGCCTTAAGAGCATCTCCAAAATTCAATTTGGCTCATGGGCTGAGAGAGGTTCCCAGCCCTGCAATATCAGTTCAAAAAGTCACTGGGAAAAGCTGGTCACAAAGTTAGCACCATCTGAAGCACGTATCTTCTAGCATTCCAAGCCAGCCTTAACTTCCAAACGGAATCAAAAGCCGCAGTGAAAGCAACCTTCCCCCCGCAGGTGATCTGGAAAGTGGCCAAGTGGGTGGGAATTTGGACCAAAGTAAAGTCTAGCACTGCCCAATTCAGTCAAGAGACCTGGTGCAATCCATACTGTCATCTGTGTAATCCAGTACAAGAGAAAGCTATATGGGAACCAGGAAGGGATCTTGGTTACACATGCAAACTGGACATGAGCCAGCGGCAGCTATTCCTCTTGCTTTTTACCTAGGAAATACGGTTTCAACATCACACGTGTTGCATTAAACAGCTGTCCTATTAGCTACAGAAATAGAAAACTTAGCAGAGCACTGGAAACAGGAAGGCCACTTAAGAACAGATGCCTGCATCCCATCCACCCCAGCCCGAAACTGTGTCGTGGCTGCTGAGACCGGAGTACCACTCAATTCAGAGATGACCAAGGCAGAAAGGAACCAGCAGCTGATGTTTACTTGGAAGAGTCAAGAATGGCAGTATTACAACTCCAGATGGTGATGTTTGAACTCCTATTTGGCAGATGTCTATGTAAATGAGTTATGCTCTTAATTTCTTCCGGAACTTTGTTCTATACACTTTAATTTGCACAAACAATGGGTGCATTTTACCCTGCATGCAAATTTACACTTTTTGCCAGCAGCTGCTGCCATGATTAGCATTCAGGTGTGCTGTTTCCAGCAGACAAGTCGGACCCTCATTCTTCTGGGGAAGGGACCAAATTAGAACGGGCACCTTGACAATTGGACTGAATGCTGCACTGTTCCAAAGCAGAATACATAAATATTAAAGACAGGAATATCTGGATTGAAATATAGAAGGCTCTCACTCCCCATTTTACTACTAAACATTCTATACTGGCCTGAGACTTCTGTGACAGGACGGGTTAAAAATGCTGTTAATAAGTAATTATACCATCAAGAACTCTTCTAGATTGACCAGTGGCGTGCTTTGTGAATGGAATTATTTTAGAACACAGAAGTGCAAAGAGCTTTTGAATTTAAAATGGACTTTTAGATGCCTAATGAAATTAAGGGACAGGAGGCCCATAGCCACCTGCTTTATTAACCCCTGAACACCATTTTAAATATTTGCTTTAACCATTCTGAGCTGTTGTAGACTGACAGTCGTTTTTACAGAAACACCACTTTAAATGAATAAATCATTCTTCCTGCTGTGAACAGTGTTAGAAGATTATCCAGGTTAATCTTTTGTATTTGCAAATAATTAGATTTTAATCTTTTGTTTTACACTGTAGTGAGAATTGTGGCAGATAACAGAAGTCATTTTTGCTTTAGCTTTGCACTTTCACCCTCCACGTCATCAGCAACAAAGCAACTTGCTTTCACACAAGGTCATCATACTCCAGCCAACTCAATGAGTTCCCACTGTCTGTCATGGGAAACAGCATCACAAAAAGGTGCCCACACCTGTAGCCACCAACGGCAATTACATCTACCTGCAGTCTTTTGGGATGCTGGGAACAACTGATGGCAAAAGGAGAAGGGGACAGCAGAGGATGAGGTGGCTGGATGGAGTCACTGGGGCGGTGGGTGTGAGCTTGGGTGGACTCTGAGGGATGGTGGAGGACAGGAGAGCCTGGAGGAATGTTGTCTATGGGGTTGTGATGGGTTGGGCATGACTTTGCAACTAACAACAAGCAGCAGCCTTTGGACAATGGACACGATCAGCCATTAGGAGCTAACATTACAAAACTCTTGTTTCTGCTATGTCAGGAAGACTCGACTATACCTGGGGATTTAAGACTCAAGAATAACTCAAACAGGGATGCGCGCGCGTGTGTGTGTGTGTGTGCGCGCGCGCGCGCGCACAGGTATAGCAGAGATATGGCCACAGCTTCCAAAGCCAAAGGAGCATGATAACTACATGCGCCTGTGTTGGAAGATGCTGGGCACGGGCACAGAAGTCGCACACCGAGACATTCGTGCCAGCAAGCACTTCAGTCGTACCTACTGGTCGGAAGCCCTCTTGCGTGAGAGGCAGCATCTCTCTAAATGGCAGGTGCTGGGAAACACGAGTCGCAGAGCTGCACTCAGGGCCTGCCTGCACGTTTCCCAGAGGCACCCGGCTGGTCAGTGTGGGGCCAGAATGCAGGAGGAGACGGACCCTCAGCCTGGCCCTTTGTCGCTTCTCAAGCATCCTCTGCGCTAGACTGGTCTGCCAGCTTCAAAGCAGATCCTTGTGCATAGCTGGGAAGCAGTGTCTTATTACACCTTTCATGGGACAGAAAATAAGCTTTTGTCCAATAAAATCTTTTATGCCTTCTTTGTGTAGGTACTTTGGGGCACTGGTCAACTGCAGAATATGATTACAGAGACACTGGGCGGGAAAGAGAGGCTGGAGTTCCCATCCAGCAAAGAAGCATTTTTGAATAGACTTACTTTCCCTCCAATGGTCTGTCTGAAAACTGAGAACTGAATGCAGGTTTCTATGTATTCTTTATCCCCAGTACTGTGGGAAATAGTTGCTTTGAAGTTGATTATTCACATTCCTGGCAGAAGTTTAAACCCGCACCCACGCAACAATGGCTGGGACCAGAATCTTCAGAGGCACAAGAAACCCTACACTAGGGTGTGGGGGGAGAAAGAAGCCCTTACAGTTAACACAACCACAGGGAAGTTTCTGTCGTCTCTAGCCCAATGCCTTGCAAGGTCCAGAAGAATAAGAAAACCCATTCCTCACTTATCTCAGGCCTACAAGCTTAGCGATGAATGTTCCTTCTCCACCCGCTTTCATGCCCTTTTGCAAGGGTCCCTGTATTCTCAACATGGTGATTTTCCTTGCAGTTATCAAACAAACAAGTTATTTTAACTTGGGGATTCCTAGCCAGGCCCTGTATCAAGAAAAAACGGGCTAAGCTTTTTGAGTTATAAACAAGGGCTGGAAAGATTCCAAACACTTAAGAATGTAAAATATTCTCTTCAGCTCGGATTATATCCAAGACAAAATAAAGACTTTTGTTGCCAGATTTCTCTCTACCCAGGTAGATCAAGAGGAAAGTCAGTTAATAGCACTGTTTATTGTCATGGGCCCTTAAGTGGATATGGGAGAGGAGGAGGAAGCAGAGCAGTTGCACAGAAGTCCACCTCCAACTTTGACCAAACCTGTCCTGAGGCTCAAGGGACTGTCACTTTTTGCAGAAACAGAAACTCAAAATTCCCAAGGGCTCCCACTTTCAACAGCCACGGTGAGAAAGATGACATCCAAGTAAATGGATTCTACTCCACCCTTACCACTTAGTAGAAAAATGCAAGAGCTTTCCAAGGAAAGTTACAAGGTTCCACCAGAACAACCAGTTGTTCGTGACTTCATCAGTTTACTTTGAGTGATATATTACAAACAAGGCATTTCAACTTTTCACAATGGCATTATGCTTCAGCAGCAAGATTTAGAGGCCAAAAAGCCACTGTGCCCCATAGATGTATGGGACGAACCCTTCAGTCAACCAGCATGACTGAAAACTTTGGAGTTGCAGCCCAACATATCCGAAGGGTGCCAGGCTGGGGGAAGGCTGGCTTAGAAGGAAGACGTTAGTCTGGGCACACACCTCTGACACGGGCATTGCCTAGTCCAGCTCAAGCATCACTATCGGAAGTGCAAAACCCAACCTTAATCCCTGCCCAATTAAGCAGGCAGGATGCGGCATGGAAGAACCTCCACACCTGCATTGCCCCATGGCAGACAGACGGTGGCTCATCTCACCCTGCTGGTTGGTGGAGGCCCAGATAGGCCGTGCTGTTTGGGAATTGTAAGAGCTGCAGTTAAATGGGAAAGGATGTGCTACATGATGGGACAGAGGAAGCTCCCCAGAGAATGGGCCCCCAGCCACAGACCTCTGGAATCCCAAGCTTTTAAAGAATCTTCCTGGACGAGAAAGCCAGAGCCTTATTTAAAAGTGAAATCCCAAAGCTCCGTTTTGTACCATTCCTGCTTCACACACGTCCCCTGCAGCCCTACACAGAGACCAGCCCAAATCATCATTCCTGGTTTGTTGTTACTGGCTGCTGTATTTATACAAAGCATTCCATACTTAGCAATAGATTACAAAGTACTTTGTGTACTCTACAGTTGCTGCCTCTTTCACCAACCTTGTCATCCTTGCTTGTCTTCTTGGAAGTAAGCCCTGCTGGTTTCAGTGAGACTTACCCCTGGTAAAAGGATGTCCAGGACCATATCCAAAGTTTCCTCAAACCACACACGTTCAAAATATTTACTTCATATTGTTTCACTCACCTCAGTCCTTTCCAAAACTAGCAAGCCACCAGCACCGCTCCGATCTCTGGACCAAATTAAGCCCTTACTAGCTCTACCTGACCGTGCTTTACATGGGTTGGCCCTTAGTACCCTTCCCACAGCTTCAACTGGCCTAGAATGCAGCTTGCACTCAGGGTGAATTACAGTCCTGCTGCCTGGGAGTTATGGGAGTTGTGGTCCAACACATCTGGAAGGCAGTCTTGGAGAACACCTTCTCCCATACCTACCTGAAGATCAACCGAACTGTCCTTTCACTGGTCAAGGTTTTGGCAGAAGAGCAAGGCTCCCATCAGCACTGCTGGAGGAAGCTTAATGGACCCCATTCTGCTGAAGCCAGTTCCCAAAGTACACCATATTTTTCTGTTCTATTAGATCTCTCGGAAACAAACAAGACACTGTCTAGGGAGACCCTGACACACTTACTAGCCTGCTCATCAAGGGGGAGACTTCCTTCCGACTGAAGCAGGATACAGGAGAACTCAGCCACACAACAGCTGTTGCCACCGCCACGCCTCTCTCAAGGCTTACTGGACCGGTGCTGGGGAACACACAGTCCTTGTTAAACTGCAATTCCCATCAATCCCAAGCTGGTATAGCCAAGGAATGGTGAGGGAGGCATGTGTGCCATTCCTGCTACAGGTAAACACATCGACCTCTGTGAAACATTGAGATGCCTTCCTTCCCTTGCCCTTTTCTACAAACAACATTTCGGACAGATGTGGGATTGTCCTTGCATCCAGGCATAAACCCAAGAGTCTCGCCACTAGCTCAGAAATGCCTGCATCTTTTGAGCAAGAGAACAGCACTCCTTTGATCAATTCTGCATGCAACCCAGGGCTAGGATTCTATGACGACCCGTCGTTTAACCCAGGATGCTCATGCACACACATTTCCCACATTACATGCCACACAGCTCTTTGTGTTACATTTGCCGTCTCCATTCTGTGACAAGCCAGGTTCCCGCTTTCCTAAGGCAAGTCCATCTGAACTAGCAGTGCAGCCTCCCCTTCCTCAAGGACTGGGAATGACATTACCCAGGACAGCCGTGTTGCTGCCTCAGAGAGAACTAGTAGCCACGCCAGAGTCCTCTCCCAGTCACCTCTGAAGTTACATTTTTGGGAACCGCTAACGAAGGACTGAACACCCAATGAGAAGAGGTCATGCACAGTATGCACCTGATGTTGCTGCAAGCCATACTGGGGACCTCTCTGCAGTGCAGGCAGGTGAGATCATCATGTTTGGTGCACCAAGGCACACCTGCAGGAGCAGCATCTGGACAACACAGCTGTCCTGCATCCTGTTGTGCCGAACTAAAAGGGACTGCAATGTGGGAGAGGAGTCTGCACCAACAGTGCACAAGCGATGCAGATATAGCATCGCACACCCAGGCTCTGGAGCTTGTCACCAGGAAGCATCATCAGCGAGGAAAGGGTGTCCTAAGTAGGACTCCACACAACAGGGCTTGTGCCAGAGTCTTCCTAGCAAATGAAGTCTTTTGCAGTTAGATTGCAAAGAGAACAGCAGAGCAAGACGGATACCAAATGGCCTCTGCCATCTGCAGTGCAACTCCACAAGGTCCTGAATTCACATGTCTATGCAAATTTAGTTTGGATTTTATCTGTATTATGTTTTATTTATGTAAGCCGTCCCGAGGCTATGCGATGGGACAGCATACAAATGCCCTAATAAATAAATAAATAAATAGTTTGCCTCGCCTGCAATCAGGTTTGGGGTTTCGCTTGAAAAAAGCAAGCATAACACACTCCTTTTTGCAGGCCTTGGGAAATTCCACAGGGAAAGCACTGGAGGACACTTCCTTCAGTGAAGCTTCTGATTACTTGCTTTTCATCCTCCAAAGAACCCAAGCAGACTAGCAGAATCTGCCTTCTCCCTCTCTATTCTAACTTCACAACAACCCTGAAAGGGAGGTTAAGCTGTGAGTCAGTGACTGGCCCAGGGAGCTTCACAGCCAAATGCCAGTCCCAGCTCAATACGCTCATCACACTGGGTGGGTAACAGGGCCTTCCGTTGCCCAACTCCTTCCTAAAGTATTCCAAACTCTGCAGGCGCCCAGCCAGTGTTGCTAAGGCCAAGCCAATGTGTTTGTTTGCAGAATTGATCTCAACCGCACAAGTTGGGTCTTCCCAGCCTGCAGGAAATATTAGCAGCTGGTTACCCCAGTGGCAGAGCTACTAAGCCGCCCCAAGCCCTCCTATGCAGGGCAACGTTTTTTGAGCAATGCTGTGGGAAGACCATGATGCACCAGCCAACTTAATTTAAAGGGACAAAGCCTGCAACAAGGAAGGAAAGCGGGAGAGTGAAGCGGGGGGAAAGGGGGCAGATTCCAATCAAAGCTCTTTCTAAGGCAACTTCTCACGGTTTGTCACAGTGTTTGCTTCCCTTATATGGGAAAAAAAATTATCCAGGCCTCCCTGATGTAACTAGCAGCCAGCCCTCCCCCTTCCTTACAGCGCCTGCTGCCGCTGCTGCTCCCCTTGCGGTCTGCAGAGGGGTTATGGGGCGGGAGGGGGCTCAGCAGCCCAGAAAACGGATCTGAGTCGAGATCTCATTCAGGGGAGAGGAGATGGCGGCTGTATGAAAGCGCAGGAGCGAGAAGTTCAGCGGGAGAGGCGGTTTTTTTGGCCAAGGTCATTCACACAGAGAAGTCTGCATCCAGGGGGGGAGGGGCAGGGCGAGAGCGCTTGCTGCAATCCAAGCTGGACAGCGAGCGGCTCCAGTTTCGGGGAAATGCATCCTGCAGGGTACGGGGGGGGGCGCTCAGGAAAGATCGCAATTGCACAATAAGGCGCCCACCCGCCCACCCCCGGCTCCCCAAAGCGTAGAGAAAGAGAAGGGCGCCAGAAGAAGCCCTACCGCAGGCGCTGCGTGGCCCCTGGGAGCGCAGCGGGAGGGCTGGGGGCACGAATCCTGCCCGCCCCGCTCGCCCTCGACGCCGGGGGGGGGGCGGCGAAGGGAAGCAGTCCCTGGCCAGATGACGGACGGAAGCGCAGCCATTACGGATGGAGGGGAGAAAGGGCTGGGTGAGGTCCTCCGCCCGGGAGGCGGGCGCGGGGAGAAAGCGGGCCGATGCCGCAGGGAGAGGGGCCGTGGGGAGCGCCGCCGCCCCCGCCCGCCCGCCCGCCGCCCGGCTTACCCAGCCGCCGTGCGCCTCCAGCCACTCGCGCTTCTCCCCGGCCAAGTAGGCGGCCAGCGCCTCCACCAGCGCGCCCGTCTCGTCGCGAGCTCCGCGCTCGGCCAGCGCCGCCGCCAGGTTCCCGGCGAACACGACCAGCGCCACCACCCGGCCCCAGTTGAGGCCGCCCTCCGCCTCCATCTGCGCCGCCACCCGGCCCAGCAGCGCGGCCGCCTCGCCCGGCTCCGCCGCGGCCGCCGCGCCGCAGGCGTCGCGGAAGAACGGCCGCTCGCGGCTCTCCAGCTCGTCGGCCACCCGGCGCAGCGTCTCGGCCGTGCGGCTGGGCGGCAGCGCCGCGGCCCCCAGCCGGTGCTGGAAGTAGTCGGCCAGCAGCTGCGCCGTCTCCTCGCGCAGCGCGCCCGGCATGGCGGCCCTGCTCTGGCGCGGCGGGCGGGCGGGCGGGCGGGCGAGTGGCTGGCTGCCTGGCTGGCGGGCGGGCAGAGCGGCAGCCGCGGGCCCAGTACCGGCGCCTGCCGCCGCTGCTGCGAAGCGCCGCCGCCGCCTCCGCCCCCGCGAGTGCCCACGTGTCCGGCCGGCTTCGGCGAGCGGCTGCGGCTCCTCCTCCGCGCTCCGCGAGCCTCGGCGTGGGGAGGAGCAGCGCCGCCCCTCCTGTCCCCGGCGGGCGGGCCCTTAACGCCGCCGAGCCCTTAAGGGCTGCGTCCCCGCCCGCAGGTGCGCCCTCGCCCCGCCTGACGAAGCGGGCCGTGCCCGCCCGGCCCCATCGGGTCCCGCGGCGCAGTGCCGCGACGTCTGACCGCCCCCCCGCCCCGCCCCATTCCTCGATGGTTCCCACTGACATTACGGCCATAGCGTTCAGCCAAGGTGAAACCATGGGCTCTCCAACTGGGGGCGCCCCTGTGTCCGCAGGCACCTCTCTCGGGGCCCCCCTCCATTTCATTTTAGGGGTGTTGAAACCGTAGGCTGGGTGCTGGTCCCCTCCAGCCCCCCCCCTTAGGTCCAGCAGGGTGGTTGCGTGCGCCGGAGCGCGGCTGGTGGGCAAGGAGGTTTTAAGGCACAGCCGCATGGCGCCCTGTTCCTGCAGCGCCTAGGAGCTTTTCCCAGCCAAGAGGAAAGGTGACTATGCGAAGCTGTGGCGTCCCCACGTTGCAGCGGGTTTCCAAAAGGGAGGCGCCCCCGCTCCCCTCTTGCTTGCTTGCTTGCTTGCTGTGAGGAACCTCGGGAGGTGCAGCTTGAAGAGCCTTCTGGGAACACCTGCACGGCCCCCTTTCCCCCTCGTCGTGCCTGGGGTGCTGCCTCACAGAGCAGACGTGGTTCAGTGGTTAGAGCACTGTCCTGGGGGCCCTGGGAGATCCGGGCTGTAGCCCCCACCTAGCCATGAAGTACGCTGGGCGACTCTGACTCTCAGCCTAACCTGAGAGCTCACCTGGTTGTTGCAAAGATACAATGGAAGGGAATGGGGAGATTATGTGCGTTATCTTGAGTGCCTTACAAGGGAAAGACCGGATATAAATATAGGTAATACATAGCCTAAATGAACAACCTATTGACTAATCAAAAGTTAATCAGAAAGGGTCTTTCTGGAGCCTCCCCCTCCCCCTTGCTACAGCATCAGCAACACAGGATGTGACCATGACATCTTTGTCAAAGGGCCATGAAGCCTCAGTTTCAGACAAGGGAGAGTCCACCACTTCCAGAGGCCTTCTATTCCCCTGGCTAAGTATTTGTTGTTGTTAGTCGCAAAGTCATGTCCAACCCATCTCGACCCCATAGACAACATTCCTCCAGGCCTTCCTGTCCTCCACCATCCCCCGGAGTCCACTTAAGCTCACACCAACCGCTTCAGTGACTCCATCCAGCCACCCCATCCTCTGCCATCCCCTTCTCTTTTTGCCATCTATTATTCCCAGCACTGGGCTCTTCTCCAGGGAGTCCTTCATTCTCATTAGGTGGCCAAAGTATTTGAGTTTCATCTTCAGGATCTGACCTTCCAAAGAGCAGTCAGGGTTGATCTCCTCTAGGACTGACCAGTTGGATCGCCTTGAGTCCAAGGGACTCGCAGGCGTCTCCTCCAGCACCACATTTCAAAGGCCTCCATTCTTCGGCGCTCAGCCTTCCTTCTGGTCCAGCTTTCACAGCCATACATTGCAACTGGGAAAACCATAGCCTTGACTACACGCACTTGTGTTGGCAGGGTGATGCCTCTGCTTTTTAGTACGCTGTCTAGATTTGCCATAGCTTTCCTCTCAAGGATCAAGTGTCTTTTAATTTCTTGGCTGCAGTCCCCATCTGCAGTGATCTTGGAACCCAGAAAAATAAAATCTGTCACTCGGCCAAGTATTAGCTGCCCGTTATTGTTAGTCGCAAAGTTGTGTCCAACCCATCGTGACCCCATGGACAAGCTGCTCCTAATACTTAGCTGAAATTTGCCTCGCTGCGATCCCCACCCATTGTTTTCAAGGGCTGCCTTTTGGAGCACCACAGTCATGTGAAGTGAGCTCTACTTTAAATGTCTTTACCGGCTCTGCCATACTTGACTGGAGGAAGTTGGTGTTGCAGCCCCATGAAAATTTGGGTTGCAACATGCAAATAAAAGCTTAGATATTCCCTCCAGATGTCTTGGCCTACAACTCCCATCATGTTTCACCATTAGCTATTCTAGGCCAAAATTATCTGGAGGGCCACAGGTACTCCATCCCAGCTTTCCTGCTTTCACAAATTATTATATGGCAAGTGCTGGAACAGAACTTAGAATAAATTTCCAGGCAGGGTGGTGGCTGTTAGCACCTGGAAAACACCTAAAATATCCTACGGCTTTGCGCACGTCACAGTTATCAAACACTGTTTTACCCTTTTGAGATTATATTTCTCCAACCCTCTGAACTAGTGCAAAGCTTTACACTGCAATTGTCCCACGATCAGCTATATGGCAAATGGATAACTGGTACTGGTGCAGTGCTTAGAACGCACTTCCTCGGCTGGTGGTTATCACTTGGAAAATCCCTAAAATATTATATAGCTTTGTATAATATTGCACTGTTATGAGAATGTTCTGTTTTTCCATTTCAGGACACATTTTCATTCATCCAAACTCTGCAAGCATATAGATATCTACTCAGAAGTATGTCCTACAAAGTTCAGTGGGACTTACTCCCAGATAAGGAAATATAGGATTGCAGCATAGGATGTTTAAGGATGGGTTCAGAGAAATAAAATTGCTGTCTGGGTTATAAGAAGTCCAGGATGTTGTTTTTTTAAGCACGATTCCAGTTTAAAACATGTAACAGCCTTATCACAGTCTTAAAGTTCCTGAACAAGAGACAGTAAGGCCAAGAATTTAATAAGCTTTGTACCCGCCTTTCCTGTTTATAATATGCATGTCATTTAAATGTTATATGTGGATCCTTCCATTTTTATTCTTCTCAATGTTGATTTTTAAGCCTGCTTTAAAATGGGCTTTGCCTATCAGTATGCTGCTTTGGGGAGAAAACTGAAAGCATTCAGTGTTTGGAATACAAACAAACAAACAAATAAATGAAGGAACCCAGAGCTGGCGAGTGAACCGGACATTTGCCCTTCCAGCCACTTTCTCTGAAGTCAGCGTTTCCCGAATGGTCACTGAGCCAAAGCTCACGGCTCGTTGCTGTTGGCACAGCTGTGTAGATGACTTCCCTGCTTACTTAGCAGTGTTGTCATCGGACTAATACGAAAGTGAAGGGCTGTGGCCTTCACTTCAGCCCTGGAAATTTCTAGTGCAGCGACGGGCAGGGTGCTCTCGCAAGAACTTTGCTTAACTTTGATATCGGCTGAAGGTCGGTAGAAGCTGGAAAGCAAGTATGGCATGAAAAATGGTTCAACTGTTCTCATCGATCTTTTATCTACCCTTGAGGAATTATTCATCATCCGAGCTCTTGTCCTCTCTGCAATCAATGGGAGCTTTCTCATCAGCATCTAACTCTTTCCCGCTCTCTTTCTTACCCAAACCCTAGGGCAGACCATATTTACCAAGTGATGAATTGATTCACTAATGTTCTGAAATGCGATTTTTTTTCTTTTTAAACCATCCATCCATCCTGCTTTATGTGGCATTCAGTGCTGACATCACTGGCATGATCAACCAATGTTTATATTTAGGTCCAGAGGCTGTGCTGAATATAATTCTCCAAGAGATCTAGTGTGTTGTTATTAAGGGCTTGTTTACATGTTTGAAACCCAGAGAAGCAGAAGCAGAAGCAGCTTAAAGGAGGGATTTAGAGCCAAGAAGCAGCGGATGAAGTTTTAAGCACCTTCTCTCCCTGTGAAGCTCCTGTTCCTTAGGACAAACAGCCATTGGGCTATGTGTATTTCCACTCCGAGCGAAGAAAAACAAATCAATCTCTTTATGTATCTTCCAAACAATCATTTCATAGTATCAATGAGACATTCTTATGCAAAATATTTAAACATAGAAAAATTATTAATAGATTGAAATAAATGTGCAGCTTGACATGGCAGAGCAAACTCTATTGAACCCAATGGTGCCATCTTTGTAGCGCTGCATAGAACCTGCACCGTTAATGAGTTGCACATAAGCACACAGAAACGAACAGGACCATTGTCATGATTAACTGTTCACATTAATCTCTGTGTGGTCTAACTGCCTGGACCCAACTCCGTAGTCCTAAAGAAAGCAGCCTTTTATTTTATGTTATAGTTTTACATTGTAGAAGCATAGAATAGTAGAGTTGGAAGGGGCCAGAGGGCCAGAGGGTCCAACCCCCTGCTCAATGCAGGACTATAAAATAAACCGTCCTCCTCAGATGGCGGTCCAGCTGCATCTTGAATGCCTCCAGTGTGGGAGAGCCCACAACCTCCCCAGGAAATGGGTTCCATTGTCATGCTGCTCTAGCAGTCAGTTCTGATCTCCAGCTGGAATCTGGCTTCCTGCAATCTGAGCCCTATTCTGTGGTCTCCACTCTCAAATGATCAAGAAGAGATTCTGTCCTTCCTCTTTGTGATAGCCTTTCAAGTACTTGAGGAGTGCTAGCCTATCTCCCCTCAGTCTTCACTTCTCAAGGGTAAACATGCCCAGCTCTTTCAACCTCTCCTCACAGGGCTCTTTTCCGGTCCCTAGATAATCCTTGCTGCCCTTCTTTGAACTGTTTCCAGACTGTCTGCATCTTTCTTCAACTGTGGTTCCCAGAACTGGACACAGCACTCCAGATGAGGCCTAACCAGTACTAAGTAAAGGGGAACTAGTACTTCATGTGATTTGGCAGTGTTACTTCTATTAATGGAACCTAAAATAGCATTTGTCCTTTTTGCAGCCACATCACATTCTCGATTCATATCTGGCTGCTTCTCAACAACAACATAAAGCAAATTCTTAGAAAAAGAATTCCCTATTCAGCCCAACAGAGGAGGGGAAAGCTGGTTTAAGATGGTACATACCACCCGGAGTTTTTATGAGTATTTATATTAGATACCTACTGTTTTCAATTAATCCAGTGAACAAATTTACTGGAGGCACCATTGCAGCCAATCAAAATATGATAGATGGCTGCAGTCTTACACAAACCACAGAGTAAATTCCACTGAACTGAACTGGATTAGTTCTGAGTTGACAAGATCAGGATTGTACTGTACAAGATCAAAAGGTGTCTTCAGGTTAAGAATATATGTCAGAGTAAACAAAGCATCACATCATGAAAAGCATACAGAGACAATCACAGAGACGAAGATCCCACAGTATGTAAAATACAATTTATTATAGTGAGGCCACTCACAAGTATCAACACAATGTATTCCATTCAAAACTCAAAACATCTCATCAATAAATACTGCCTAACCCCAAGTGTGCAGCGTGTCAACTTGGTATTGCACGATGAGCTCTTAACATTTACAGTTTTTATAGTGCATTGAATTGGTTGCAGGCGTAAATTTGCCACGGACGTTGCAAAGCACAGTCTTCAAAACAGAAAATGAGGGCAGTGAACCATTAAGGGTTGTAGAAGATTTGAGATGTTCCCGTGTAATGATGGAACATCACCTATATTACGTCTTGGCTTACACAGCTAGAAATCTTCAAGAACAAAATAACCATCTGGTTTAAGTATTTGCACCCTTCTAAATGAATATTACCATAAAAACAAAAACGGACCGTCTGGCTAGCAAATTTCTGTTTGCTTGCTCCTCTACCACTACCAAAGGCCAGTAATTTCATTCTAGGATGGAAGCAAATGTAAGACATGGTTTCTATCATCTCAGAAGATCTCCCTAACACCAGGCTGGCCACCTGTGGCCCTCCAGAAATTTTGACCTTTTCCTTCCATCAGCACCAGCATAGCCCATGGCGAAACAGGATGGGAGCTGCAAGTCAAACCTTCTGAATGGCTGAAGTTCTCCACTCCTGCACATAGACAGAACTTTTGAAGAGCACATGCACTGGTTTAAGCAATACCTTCAGCCCTCACAGCATTCAGAACAAACATGCTTCCTCTCCCAGGGTGAGCTCATGGAGGCAGGGGAGAATCAACTTGTCTGCAGCACAGTTGAGTTTGCACTGGGTGTGTCTACCCATCAAAGGCTGTGCAGAAGAGTGGGAAAGCTTTCTCTATCAAGGGACACATAACTCTGATGATCATTTAGCGCTCCATGCTCTTGGTAGGCAGGGTTGCAACCTGCAGGGAGGCAGAAGATGATGGAGCAGCTGTTTTCTCCCTCCTCTTCTACCCTTTTCCATCTGGAGCTCCTGCGTGTCTGAGCAGCCGGAGTTCATACATTCTCTTAAAACCAGCTGGGGTGCACAGATCTTTACTAGGTCCATCTGCATATGAATTCCCCTTAGCAGACCTTGTTTTGCCATGGAGCCATTCATGTCCATTGGTCATGAAAAATCTCACGTTTACATAAATTCAGTGCAGGTGACTCCAGTGTGGCTAACTCATAAATAGGTCTGGTTGGTACCCAGCACATACTATTATGTTATGCATTTAAAATAGCTCCAGTGATACGATTTAATCTTTCCAAGGAACTTTCTGACTAGTATCTCACAAACACATATATAAAACTGCTATTTGCTTCAATTTAGCTTTCTGTTGAAAAGCCACTTCAGTTATTAAATACATAAATTAAACTGCTGAATCTAAAAACATTTTAAAAATAAAAAGAATTTTTCTTACCAAAAGAAAGAAACACAAGACATTTATATAATATCTAGAACCTTCAAGCAGATTAATTTGTTGACTCTGTAGGAACTGATCTTGGAAATACTTACAAAAATGCTAACTTCGTTAAGGTTAGAATCCTATACACATTTACTTAAGAGTAAGTCCCAGTGAATTCAATGGATTTTACCACTGAGTAGACATGTACAGGATTGCATGATGGTTTGATTGAGCGAAGCGTTGCAATAAACACCAGTGTTTCTGCGATCTCTTAGGCATGGTTAAGAGACGGGGGAATAGTGTCCTTGCTTACATTCTTGGACCTAAGTATTTGAAAGATCTATCCCTTGCTCAGGTGTGGGAAACCTGGGTCCCCACCCATGTTGCTCTGCTATGACTCATTATTCCTAATCAGTGTCCATGCTGGCAGGGTTGATGGGAGCTGGAGTCCACAGTGGCCTAATTTCCAACTCAGTTACAAGGTCAAGTAACAATCAACAACACCGGGCAAAATCCATATCTCCCACCCAAGAGGAACAAACGCCCCCAAAACCCACTGATCTCAATTATCCTGAATTGCACTTTATTTTTTAGCTTTGCATTTAGTGCTCAACTGAGGAATGTTTCAAGAGTCAGGTCTGAGTTGTACATTCCAGAAAAGCAGGAAGAGGGCTGAGGGCTGAGTGTGCCGGGCTTTCTCTTCCCATGTACTGGAGTCTCCCGTGGCAGAAAGAGGCGGCGTGCTGTGCCACTGCCTCATGCGCATGCCAACACCCTGGCCCGCACGTGGGTTGTGTCCTTTCTCATCAGAATACATTACTTTTCCCCACCCTTCCTTCAACACGTTCAAGGCAGTGTACATCATCCCCCTTACCCTACTTTATTCTCACAACGACTCTGTGAGGTAGGCTAGGCTAAGAGGGAGTGACCAGGCCAAGACCCCCTAAAGAGACCCACAGCTGGGTAGAGAGTCAACCCCAGTCTCACTCTGGCAAACTAACTCGGCTTTTCCCAACCTAGTGCTCTCCAGGCATGCTGGACTGCAATTCCCATCATGCCATGCTTGCTGGGAATGATGAGACTTGCAGCACAACACATCCAGTGGGTATCAGGCTGAAGGTGGCAAACACTACACCTATCGCTTTTGATCTCCTTTTGATACGTCAGGTCCAGAGGGTTGGGGAATGGAAGAGTGTGACTCAAATTTTCTCTCTTGCTGCTTCTGTGGAATGTGCAAATGAGCCTGTAGATACCCTGATAAAAAGCTGGAGTCTGTTTTATTTCCACGTTGATTTTTAGGAAGAAATGGAATGTCATGCAAATATTACCTATATTAGATAATGTGCACTATCATACTAAATTCTGTTTTACAGGTCATTTCAATAGAAGTCTGACTTTAAAATTATTAAACTATTTCTAAGAAAAAAGGTAGTTTCAAAAACAGAATAAAAACAGCTTATTATTATACCACACACAGATTTTCCCCCACCACCACCCATATGATAAAATAATATTTACCTTTTCTAGCTAAGAGTACTTGTGTTTGGGCAACAACATGATAAACACTGACAATGTAGCATTCAATAATCTTTTGAATATCACCTTGTTGCATTTTGTATCTTTGTGGTAGCTTTTCCCCCCCAAAATTGAATTTTCACTTGGGGGTTTTATCCCACGATGTCAATTTTAATGCATATTTGAAAACAGCGCTGTAGATCAAGCCCAGATCTGTGAAGAGAAAAGTCAACCCATGATTAGGATTTAGAAGTGCGCTTGGTTTTAATAAAATAATTTATGTTGCAACAGCAATTTGAATTTTTCTGTTAGATTCATGCCTCTATCCACCTAGGAATGGTGTTGTTTGTTTAATGGTTCATTTCATAATTTCCCTAAGATTTAAGGCCAAATGCCGCACCCCTCACCTGGAGATGGGCTTGAATACACAAGAGGAGACCTACTGAAATCAATGGGATTTAAAACAGTCACAACCAAGGCTGTAGCTGGGACAGCTGGCACACACAACACGTGCCCTCAGCAAAAAAAACAAAACAAGACGAAGAGGAAGAAAGAGGGAAGGAGAAAGAGAGTGGCGAGGCTTCCTTACTCGCAGAGTGTGATCCCACGATCCAGAGCAGAACGCCGTCCCATCAGGCGAGACCCTCAAAGTGCTAACGCGGTTCTCATGGCCAAACAAAATAGATACCCGTGACCCTTTCAGTACGTCCCACACGTTTATGGTGTAGTCGTTGTAACCAGCGAAAAGCAAGCGGCCTGCGAAAACAAGCGCTTCATCTGTAAGGAATCGTGTTAATGCAGGAGGAATCACAGAGACACTAAAACTGCATCTTATTGTAAAAGCATGGAGCAAATTCACCTTGAAAGCAAATTCGGAGAACACACCACCACCAAACACGATCACCCCCATACACGTGACCTGCAAACCACCAATGACACAAACCGCTGTCCCCTCATCATGCAGGGAACTAAAGCATTTATTTCAAACATTTATTTTTTGGAAGGGAACCTGTCCAGGCAGTTCAGAAAATGCAATTCACAGAGAACAAAAAGCATAGTAATACCTATTTTTAAAACCTTTTAAAAATCTAACTGTTGCATAAGCCACATTTAAAAGATGTGCCTTGACTTTCATCCTGAATGCAGGGAGTAGAGACTTGCCCTAATTCCAGAGAGAAAGAATTGCAGACCAGGTTTTGAACTGCATTGGCAGGTCATGATTTCGAGGGGAATTAATTGGTGAGGCGGAACAGAAGTGCTGAGCCTCACTCCCACCCATTCCCTTTCGGGGGAAGGCTGTGCCCACCTGTTCACTTCCTACTTCCACAGCACCATCCTAAGAATGTTTACTTAATGGTAATTCCAACTGTATCCTAAGGGGCTTGCTGAAAGGTAAGTATGCAGGGGACTGCAGTCTTCATTTCAATGAGTGCAATTCAAATTCTAGCCCAGTATGTGAATGGGAGTAAAAGGGATGTTCAGAAAAGGAAGGAAGGACGGACAGACGGACGGAAGGCAGGCCCTTTGTTTTGATTTGATGCACAGACGTACCACAGCAGGTATTGTATTTGAGGAAGCATCCCTTTCTCCTAAGAAGCCATCCGCAGTCTTTATCGGTGCTTGTATTAATCCCAGCTTCTGCTTCACCTGAAAGTGCATGGGTCTCCGCCTTCCTTCCATGCTGGTGCTGGGGGGACTCATGGCTCAAGTGAATCTTGCCCTCCCGTTCCCCTTCCACCCACTGTCTCTCTGATCTTTTCCCACCCTGCAAGGTGACAAACCTTGAATGGGAAGTGTCAACATTCAAAGTACCCCCGTCACACGCAGAAGGGCAAAGCTGCATCCACACCTTTGGCAAAGGAGGGGAATTCCACAGGATCTTATGGTCTCCGGGATACTTTCCCAGGGACCACAGGATTGCTCTCTCCGTTGATTGACCGTTTGTTGTATATAAATTAAACATTTTCAATCAATTAACCCAACGGAATAAAATCGATTAAATGTTGCAACCCAGCTTGCAATCAATCCAGTGTTTTTCCCGAACAGCAGCGGAAGCAACACCATTCCTAAGTGCAAACAGTAGATTTAGCGGAAAATGTGCTTTCAACTGTTTTTTCAGAACCAAAAAACAGCCACTGGGAGACCTCCAACGTCTGGAAGGATTCAACAGTTTGAAAACGTTTCCTTCACAGATGAAAGTGTGTTGTAACAACAAGTCAAGTCAACTGAAGGGAGAGAGCTCAGCTCCTCTTGTCTGTGGTTCCCCCCTGCAGAGGCAATGCATTAGGACTGGTGTCTCACCACTAAGAGAGAAGTCCACACTGGATGCCCCAAAGATTATGCTCTCCTTGGAATAAATGGCCACTTCTCTGTCTGCTCGGAGGTCATACAAACGGCACTGGAAGGAAAGGGAACAGAAAGCAATGCCTGCACGTAAGAAAGTAGTTCTCATCCTGCCTAGTGGCATGCATCCGATGGGAATCCCCCCCAGACGTGCCCATTCTGTCACTTGATTAGACCAGCGATACAGAACCACACTCAACCTGCGGACCAAGTTCAATTTCAGGGATTCTTTCAAGCACCCATTTCTTAGGGTGGGCAAGGCTGACAGCAATAAGAAAGAGGACAAAATTCCAGCATAGTTCAGCTTAAAGCTCTTAACTGCTAGTAATTAAGCATTAGGGGAGGCCTTTTCGAACTGGGGAAAAAACCACACAAAAGCCAGGAAACTGCCAAATGATCAGTTATTGGAGATACATGATAGAGCCAGAAAGGGGAAGACAGTCTTCTGAAAGCCCCTGGAGGTTTGGATTTGGCCCTGTGACCCTTACAGACCCACTGACGTATGCAAACCAAATGTGAAGTAGTTCAGACGTAATGCCAAACCACAGCTTGGAGGCACCTCTTTCGTCCCTCAGCCTCTTCCTGCTTTCCTCTGCTTTTGTGCAGTTTTTCCCCCAAATCTCCCCTAATGTGTATTTACTGGCAGGAAGAGCTTTTGAGCTGATATATTTTATATATTTGGCCCTGCCTCCCCCTGAAACACATCTCCAAAATCAAATTCAAGCTTCAGTCGGAAAAAAAGTATCTTACTTATTTATAAGATTTTGTGCTGCTCCATATTCTGGTATGGAGATTCCAAACTGGTGAACAATACAGGGTAAACAGAACAGACAAAAGGCTTCCTGAAATAAGGGCATTTTCGGGAGATACTGAAAACAATACAGTGGTGGCATCTGCTTGACCTCCCAAGGCAGGCATTTCCAAAGAAACGGACCACAACGCCAAAGCCACTTCTACAAACACAGGTTCATGCACGGGTGCCAGGGACACGCCGCCCTCTGACTTGGTGCCCAGGAAGGTCAGGATGGGAGGGTTTCCATCCCTGCTTCTGAGAAACCCAGCAGCAAACTTTGCAATGTAACTAAATAAGGACAGTGAACCAGCGAAGGTGTGGGGAAACAGACAGCCATTCTTTCCGGTAATGTACTGCCTGGTTCAGTTGATTTGGTGTTAGAACACCACGGGCTTCTTTACGGAGCTGGAATCGGTCACTGGGTTTCTGGAGATGGTTATGGGGAGTGAGGTCTCTGGGTGTGCTGGTTCATGATTTTAAATTTCTTGGAAATTACCATGTGGTATAGTGGTTAGATGCCGGACTGGGGCTTGGCTGATCCAGGTTCTAGGCCCCTCTCAGTCATGGACCTCACTAGCTGATTTTTGCCTCTTAGCCTAGCCTGCCTTACAGGGTTGTGGCAAGGATAAAATGGAGAGGACCATGTACAGAATTAAAAAAGGCAGGATGCCGGTGCTTCCTGATACAAACAAACATGAATTGCTGTAACTCTTATCGCCAAATAAGAGCATAAGCACAGTGCTATTTCTCCAGCGTGGTTTGGTGGAACCCTATGCCCTGGTATTTTGAGGGTACATGGTATTACAAGATAAATTCCTCAAGCAGTAGCATTGGGCTGGTAATAGCAGGATTAGACCCCTCATTTCTACAGGGTGAGGTTTCTCATCTCAAAAGGAGATGGTGCTAAAGCTACAGGGCACATATGCAAACTGAAAGCATACAGAAGTATCAAGTGGGTGTTGTTTCTGGATGTGAGGGGACCCAATGTTGGGTTTCTGCTCAGTTGCAAAGCATCCTGGGTGGTTTCGGGAAAGCCCCCCCTCTCCCTCCCCCCTTCCCCCCCTTCCCCAAACTAAGTCACAGGGTTCTGGGCAAGGTTAAAATGAGATGTGAATCACAATCCACTGCAAACTTCTTACCAAAGAGGCTGAAAGAAATCTAAACAAATTCCAAAGCCAGGCAGAACTCCACCACTCCGACTTACGCCCCCACACACTGTGGGAACTGGATAATTATTAATTCACATAACATGGGAAGTGTCTAGCCTGCTGCCTTCAAGATGTCTTGGACTTCAACTCCCATCAGCCCCAGCAAGCATGATCAGTCATCAGGAATGTTGGGAGTTTAAGACTAACAGGTCTGGAAATCAACAGGTCTAAATTTGTGCTGAAATTGTTTCAGCTATTAAATTGTTTCTAAATTTTGTATGCTGGAAAAATGCTGTGCTGAGTTTTAAAAACTGAATTTGTGGTCTGTGATTTTGTGAACTGTGGTAAACTGCCCAGAGAATTTTGGCTACTGGGCAGTATATAAATGAGAATTATATCATCATCATCATCATCATCAACAATAACAACAATAAATAAGTTGGGGGAACTCTGGTCTATGTATGTACCCTTTTATAAAGGCCATAAGCTAACACTAAAGTCTACATATGTCTGCTGTGAGCAGGAGCTGATGTTGTATTGAGCAATCTCAGCCATTCACTCAGAAGTCAGTCCTATCGAGTTCAATAGATCTTATTCCCAGGTAATTACAAACAGGATTTCAGCTATCATCCCTCAGAAAAGTTTTAACTTTATCATCAACAAGTAATCCTTACAATCAGGATTATGCATATTAAAAGGCACCCATCTGCATGATGGAAAACGATCTCTAGTTTTTGATATTTGCAACTCCAGCTCCCTGAATATTTCCATGAAAGAGATTAATGCTTCTCCAGGGCTTGTGGGCGTGGGCTGGAAGGAAGGCATCTATATTAATATGCAACAGAAGCTTTTAAGCATCTATAAATGGAAAGCAATTTTCTCAGAAGTGGGGATGATTCATTGCCTACCAAAATCAATGGTAATATTTATTATCTGATTTCAAGAGACTGGCAGCCCAGCTATGCACTCCTTAAGTGGAGTATAGCAGGAGACAAAAGGATTGTAAAAGGATTGTCGATCTGGTAATTGACAAGATGCTGTATTTGGCATACAACACAGAAATGGCCTCATACCCGTTTCCATTTACAAAAGATGCCTCATCCTACTGGGGAGCAGAAACATCCTGGTCTGTTTCAGATTGGAAAACTGAATTAAGAACACAGAGTGAGTTGCAGCCAAGGCCGGGAGTTCCAGCCCACACTTGGAGAAGAATACAGCATTCCACAATAAAGTGACGAAACATACCGTGGCATCATCCGAGCCGGACGCAAAGGCATCTCCACTTGGATAGTACCTGTGCGAAGAACAGAAAGCATGTTCTCTCAGCAAGACAGAATGTTAAAGCTTCATCAGAGTATAGACTTGTTCGGCGTTTGTTGTACTAGCCCAAGGCCATGACAAATATTTCAAATGAATGCGCATAGACAACATAATGAAAAATTTAACAATATAAAATAGAAATAAATTAAAGTGTACTATGAACAGAGATTCATCTTTAACTTAACTCTGAATCTCCAATGCAGTTTATAGCAATTTTGCCCGATTCTCTCTCCCTGATCTTTCTGGCTGCCAAAGCAACAAAGCAACTTTATGTGTCAAATAAAGATTAACAGGAACGGTTCTACCCAGGGAGTCCCTGTGATAAAACACATCACCCTTGCCACAACCATGGCCTAAGGCATGAAACCGGAGTTCGTCAAGATTCCATGAACATCAGCTCACTCTCCTTGGCCAGCGCTGGAGTTGCCGTCACTACTAATTTTCCACGAATGGGAAAAGAGTAAAAAAAAGGAACAGCTATCAAATGTGAAAGTTGCATGAAATCCTGAAATTTGCCTATACTTCCAAAACTTTGCAAATCCCTCGAACAGATTAACGCATGGATGATTTCAAACATGCACATTTGGGGAAATCTGCACCTTTTTCAAGGACACATTTTGTGACGGTGAAAGTAAATTTGGGAATCAGGGAAATTCCAGAGTGATTTCCATCTGAAATGGAATTCTCACCCTTCCCCAAGTGGTAAGAATGCCGCCCACATCGCCTCTCACCCAGGCTAGCACTACTATTGGGCAAGCAAAGGTGGGTGGGGTCTGCAGACACAACACTGTTCCCTCATTGGCTAGATATCGCAGCATCTTTGATGACAGATGGTAAGGAAAGCCTATCCTTAGTCTCCCACCTAATCCCTCCCACTACTTCCTCTACCATATATCCATAAAGGCATATTGGAGGTCAGGACTAATCCACCATTTTCGAACACAATTGCACAGACGTGTGACAGCAGGTGACCGACCTGACACTATTAATGTCCGATTCGTGGGTTTCAAAGGATTGAATACACTGGCCAGTCCGCATGTCCCAGACCATGGCTTTTTTATCACACCCCTAAAAGCAAGCCAAAAATCCAGTTATATCATTAAGGAGGAAATAATCCGTACACATACGGCACTGATTTTAGCATGCTATTTTATGATGCTGTTTTGATTCGTTTTATTGTTGGGTGAAATGCTTAACACTTGTTCTGACTGGTATTTCTATCTTCCGAAGGACAGCCGTGTTAGCCTATTACAGCACAAGTGACAAAGAGTCTTGTGCCACCTTGAAGCCTATGACATTTATTTTGGTGTATGCTTTCACAGACTACAGCCTACTTTTTCAGCAGGAGCATTATGGAGAGTCTGAGGTTTTCACCCTGTATTCACTGGGCAGTGGAGAATTGGGATTGTAAATCTGAGCTCCGAGAAAAATACTGCAAATTAAAGGAACAATCCCTTGCAGGTTTAGACTTGCACAGAAAACAGCCCACAGTTCTCACCATGACCCAGCCTCTGGTTTTCCGTTTCTGCCCACCATCAATCAATCAATCAATCAATCAATCAATGGTCAGTCTTAACTGGGCTTTTTTGGGAGTCGGGGGAGTCCCTTTAGGTTTTCACCTAAATATTTTGCACTTCCAGAAATCTTGGGGTTTTCCCTGAGCATGCTGATATTTCCTTGTGCTGTCTGATAGTCCTGCCAGAGTTACATAAAGACACTCATCCCTGAATTGTAGGAACAGAGGGAAGGATAGAAAAGGCCTCCTGCAGAAGGGACCTCTTCTCCTCAGGGATCCTGTGGGGGTTTGTGTTCCCGGTGGGGTTGCTGGAACTGGATTCTTTCCTAGGCAGAACGAAAATGTCTGCGCTGTATGGCAAATGCAGCATCTTGTCAATTACAGCTCCTTTTTCTCCCCTGCTACACTCCACTTAATCAGATAATTTATCTACGGTCTCTGCCTTCCCTGCCCCAAGCTAAGTTTCATTGGAGAGGGCTTAGGGCAAGTGGAGGTAGCTAATAGGATGGGGATGAGCTTAGTTTTGCTTCCTGCAAAGCGGTATCCCCTCATGTATACAGGATACACCCCAGACTATATACTGAAGCAAGGTTAGTGGCTCTTGCATTTGCAAGCATCTGATCAAATGCTCATGACGGTCGGCACAGCTGTACAAACCAAAGCAGTGCCGTATCATCACCACCACCGCCATTGCTATTATACAGGGCGTCCCCCCCAAAATTGACATCATTTCGTAGTCTAATAACATAGCCAATTCTCGGTCAAGCTATCTCAAATTTTAACAAAATGTGTACAAACTAACTAACGTTAGTTACACAATGTTACGCAAGACATGCTGCAGCGTGTTTGGCGAGAGATGGGCTACTGACTTGATGTGTGTCGTGTCACAGGCGGTGCGCATACTGAACATTTGTGAAGCTTTGTGAAATAGGTTATAAAATCTACATCCCTTTGAATCTCGTTTGAATTTTGATAAATAAATCTTTTATTGTTCAACATGAAGCCTGTTTAATTTCGTTTGCCTAGGCCCTAGGACATGTAGTTACTCAGATATTCACATTTCAAATAATGTCAACGTTTTGGGGACATCCTGTATTACATTTCCATACAGCCCAAAGCGAAAGCTCTCTGGGCAGTTCACAACATTTAAGTTCCCCATCCAGATTTCAACCAGGCCCGACCCTGCCTAGCTTCCAAGGTTATGCAGGATCAGGCACTTCAGACAGGCAAGAACTCTTAGCAGTCACATCTGCAAGCATTCTCTTTCCTTTCAAGACCCTTTAATGGACCCTCATCTCCCCCTTTCCCTCCAAACATACTCTAATCACCAAGGGCCGCACACACTTTCGCCCATCCTGCATGAACAGAAGACTGACTGACCCCCGACACGAACGTGTTCCCGGTTTCGGAGGGAGCGAGGTCCAGGCACAAGACATCTGCCCCGTGGCCGTGAAAACTCTGCAGGAGCTGCCCGCTTTCGACATCCCAGAGTGCACAAGTGCCATCCCCACTAGCAGTCAAGATCTGCAAGAGACAGAGGGAAACCAAACACACCATGGGTATAAAAAGGGTCTCATGGTTTGGTCAAGCAATGATTCATCTCCAAGCAGTGACTGTTTGGTTCAGTTCCACCGATGTGGTTGATGCTCATACCATCCATCGAGTCTTTTCTTAAAGCATTTATTCGATAAAGGGTTAGCATTTCATTGGTGATGCATTGAGAAGTTGCACCCGTGGGGCCACCACTAGCTCCCATTTTTCAGGGCTTCTATGGTTGGAGGGCACGGTCCGGTCAAGCACCGAACACGCTGGATTAAGGACATGGCAGGATGGAAGGAAGGGTTGTGGAGGTGACACTCAACACCCTCTTGGACCTGCAGAGCACTTCGGTGGCTGATTTGGGCTGTTAAATGCAGTGCCTCAGAGCAAAAGGGAAGAAGGCACGTTATGTCTTGGCAGTGCCAGTCTGCGTCCTGCCCCGAAATGCCCTGTAAATGAGGCGGATGCAAGCATCTATATTTGCAGCTGAACCAGAAATAACTGCAGCTAATTCAGCCGTACTTTTGACTCCCCAGATTTTCTGAGCCACTCTCCTAAGCAAGGCAAACTTGAGAAAACTGGTTTCTTTTGCAAAAGCCTCTAGAATCATGTTGTGTATTAAACTAACATGAATTTTTTAATTCACTGTATAGCTTTCCATTTTGTCCTGCAAACAATGTAAGACAAATTACAGAATCCTTCTCCACTGTATATTCACAAGAACCCTGAGAGGTAGGTTAGGCTAAGAGTCAGTGACTACCTCAAAGTCACCTAGGGAGCTTCTTGTCGAAGTGGAGACTTGAACCTGGACCTCCTGAGTCCCAGTCCAGCACTCTAACACTACACCACCAGGTAAGAACAACTATTTTACTTCTGCTTATTATTTGAGCTTCCTCCCGAACCAGAGGTGTCAAGATGACATGATGCAAAAGAGAACTAAGTCCCTGCACCTTTTATAGTTCTGTAGTATGAAAGAGATTTGGACAGGTGCTTTTTCACACCTGCATGACAAAGTTATCCACTTGCTAAACAGACAGAACCTGCGACTACTCTGAAGCAGGGGCAAGGAGAGTTTCTCTGTCAACAGCCAAACTGCAAGATAGAAATTCAGCATGGACCAGCATCACTTTAATATTCTGTTTATATAGCACCAGTTGTGCTGTATAAAGCACAGAAAGACAGGTCCCTGCCCCAAGAAGCTTGCAATCTTAAATGCAAGTGAGATGAAACTACAGAGGAAGGAGAAGGGAGTGAATGCCAGGAGTGTTAACAAGGATAGACTGGGCCAGCACTTCAGTTATGCATTTGGAGAATTCTGTATTCTTCCAGATCAGATTCTGGAATTCTTGGCAGTCACTCTTTCCAGAAAAAAAATAATATTTTGCAGTGCTAAAGGTGATGCTGAGGTTGTCAGCTGATCTCTCTCTCTCTCTCGCTCTCTGTCGCTCTCTCTCTCCCCATCTCAAATAAGATCGGTCAGATAAAAGAATCATCCATTTAGCACAGAACTCTCCTCTTTCAATCCAGAGAAGAAGAAAAGCCAGGACTTTTGTGAATGTCTACTTTGCTGTTTTTGGTTTTGTTCTCTCTGTGCACTGTCAGCAGCTCAGAAAAAACTGGACTGTTAGGCTGTCTGTCTAATTGCCCCCTTGTGGTTGCTCTTTAAACAATTTCTCTAGTAAAAAAGAGAGCTCTTATGTCATGTCTCTGCTGTTGGAACATTATAAAAAACCAACAGTCCAAGAATACCAGGATGGTTTGGGGCTTAAACGATAATCCAGGCTTTGCTTTCTGTCTGCCTGTTCAATTAATCTACAGGCAATGTTTAAAGAGATAATATGTAGCAAAACAAGTCGAACGGGAATACTTAGGAAAGACAATTTAAACCCCTTGGTTTCAGTTGCAATAAAGCCTCAATTTTATAAGCCACTGTGCAGTCAATTAATAAGCAAGCAACAAAAGAACAACTTTTGTGTCTCACAGCACGGCCCTAAGAAGTTGTGTCAGTTGCATACAAACCCTTTCTCAAATAACCAACTAATTTTTGCTCAAAAATAGATGCTTCATGGCCTTAGTCACAGGAAAGCAGAGTTGGAGAAGGCAGGCTCCATCTGTGCAAAACGATGATCTCCTTTGTGCGTGTCAACAAACCAAAATACAGACAGAGTATAGCTTGACTATGGAATCACAGACTGTTATTTATTTAAAGCTTTTATATACCATCCTTCACTAAAAAGTCCCAGGTTGGTAGTACAATGAAATGAAAGTACAGCATCAACGCACAAATTCAAATGAAACCCCATCTAAAAACACTTTAACACTTAAAATATTGGGAAAATTACAAGGTTTTGGCCTGGCGCCAAAATGAAAAAAGTCTTGGCGCCAGGAACACCTCTCTGGGGAGCATGTTCCATAACTGGGGCGCCACCACAGAGAAGTCCCTTCTTTGGGTAGCCACTCTTCTGATCTCCTTCGAAAAGGGCTCCTGAAGAAGGACCATCGACCTACATCTTAGGGGGCGGGCAGGTACATATGGAAGGAGGCGCTGAATTGTTGAGTTGTGGTTTGATGTTACATGTGAATCTTGCACTTATGTTTTAATTTATTTATTTAATTAATTTATGTTTCGATTTATATCCTGCCTTTTTCCTACAAAGGGCTCAAGGCAGCTTACATCATTCTCCTCCTCCATCTTATCCCCACAACAACAACCCTGTGGGGTAGGTTGGGCTGAGAGTCTGTGACTGGCCCAGTCACCCAGTTGGCTCCATGGCTGAGCGGGGACTAGAACCCGGATCACCTGAGTCCCAGTCCCAGGCTCTTAACCACTGCGCCACACTGGCTCTCAGTGCTCTTAACCATACATTACATGCTCTTAACCATAAAAACCCAGGTAGTGAACCCACAGTTTGTTGTCTGGTTGTGAACTCTGGATTCCTGAAGCCATGGCTTGAAATTACATTAGAACTCAGAAGTGTAGGTTGTTCATGGGTTGTTTCTCTAAGCTACAGAGGCACCGGGCAAGAACGACTTAAAAAAGCCTATAGTTTTTGCAGGACTATAATGCTGCAAAAGCATTTAGGATACAAGAAGGGAGCAGGCAAAGAGAAGGGTAACAAACTACCCAGGTATTGAGAAAACAAACTACACTCTGTCTGATTGTCTGCCAGGCAAAAATTGGTTAGGGCAACAAACAATGGGTTGCATAAACCATAGGTGAGGGTTATGTGAGAATCAGCTCTTCAACATCATTCTAGAGGCATTGCAAGGAAGGGAGAAACGGTGACCGTCACAGGCAGAGGTGTATTTCGACTCTCAAACCCAGTTTTGCTTCCCGTCCCCAAAACTGGCAGGAACACTCGCTGGATTTCAACCTTTGTTCCCCTCGAATTTCGAAGAAAAAGTTTCTATCTGCAAACTTTTTTTTACCTCAGCCCTATTTTAAAAAACCAGCTTTCCACTAGTTTTTCCTCCTGCTTGAGAGGCCTTCAGACAAAACATGACTGCTGCATTTCAAGCTGCAGGCTTCCGTGCCACTCTGCAGCAAGCAGGCCGGCGGCTTCCACACACTCTATTTCCATTCAATTTTGGTCCCATGTTTGCTGTAATTACACCGGGTCTCCTGCCTTTCAGGCTCACTCAAGCACCACAGGTGGGTCTCTGACTTAGGTTTCCATGGCAATAGATTCACATCATCGCCTCGGCTTTTTGACTGGAAATCACAAAATGGGAAAAAACAATAAGGATGCTTCCTCTGCCGCTTCTTGGCATCCCAGAATAGAATCAGCCAGGACTGCTTTCATTCGGAAGAGTTTAAATATCTGGTGATGAGGCAGACATGACTTGTTCTCAATTTTGTGGCAAGAAGCACTAAAATAGCTCCTTACCTCTCAGAGTATATTTGTTAGAAGGGGGAATCAGTAATTACACGGACCTGCATTATAAACCAATGTTTTAAAAAATATGGCACTAATTTGTTCTTTTGTGAACCATCGAGGGGCACCCTGGACTGGCTATTTGCCATCTTTGTCCTGCATGCCTAACAAACTGGGTGAGAGTTTCACATGCATTAAATGCAGAGAATTAGTAAGAGGACGGTTACGATACTGAATAAAGATGCAAATTGAACAGAGAAACAACCAGCATATTATGGGCGTAGCTCAGTCATTTCATAATATCAGCTTCCAACTCTTTTGCTCTGTGAGCAGAAGTACTTTCTAAGAATGGAAAGGCCATTTCCCCAATCAAAAGTCCCTTCCAGTCATCACCCAAAATCAGTGGACACAACCCAAGTATTTCCAAGGCTGCAATCTGAAGAACACTCTGGTCCAGAAAAAATCCTGAAAGGTCTGCTTTTCCTGTACAGACCCGTTATATTACTATGATCTCCAGAGGTGCGTTTGATGTCCATGCCACAGTTGGAACACAATCCTACACACATGCCCTCAACTATTAATAGAAATTTACTTGTTTACCTTGACTTTTCCCAATATTTCCAACTAAGTTCTAGCTTTGATGTCCTGTTCTAATGATGTATTGCTTTAAGATTTCCTGTAAATCATTTTGGGTTTAAAAGGGGACGTGGAATAGGAATACACTGATATGAAGAGAGCCAGGGTGGGGAAGTGGTTAAGAGCACAGGACCAGGACAGAGGCAATCCGGGTTCAAGTCCCCACTCAGCCATGGAGCCAACTGGCTTGGGAGTTGGGTCACTGACCCTCAACCCAGCCTACCTCACAGTGTTGTTGTGGGGATAAGACTGAGACCAGAGTAAGAATGAAAAATAAATATATTTGAGGATGGGTTGCAGTCAGTCAGCATCAGACATACAAGCACCTTCCTCTCTCCTCCCTCCGCACACAGAGGATGAAACAATGTCCAATTCTGGTTCCATATAAGCCAGTTTCCTGCCATGTCTGAACCGGAATATCTGCACATTCTGTGAGCGATGTGTTCCAGAACAAGCTGCAATTAGGATGAGTCACTTTGCTGACTGCAGCCTAAAAGGAAACTGTGGCTTATTGAAAACCGGAACTGGAAGCTTTCAATCTCTTTCCATCTCATGAAGGGGAAGTCTGATGCTCATTCTCATAATGTCAAGCTATGATTTAACACTGTGACTGATACAGGCCTTACAGCCCAAATAATGCCCTACACCGATGTGTGTAATATGGGAGCCAGCCACTCTCCAGTCATTTTGGACGGCAGCTCCACCTTTCCCTGATCATTGGGCATGCTGGTTACAGCAGGACACAAAACAGGAAGCCAGGTTCAGGCTGGGCATCAGAAAGAACTAACTGTTAGAGCAATATGAGAACAGAACTCATGACAACAATGGAACGAATTATCCAAGGAGCTTGAGGCTCTCACACCCTGGAGGCACTCAGGATGCAACTGGACTGCCACCTGAGAGGGATGGTTTAACTGGGAGTTCTGCACTGGGGCAGGGGGTTGGACCCGAGGGCCCTCTGGGCCCTTCCAACTCATCTCTTCCATGATTCTACGGTTGTGGAAAGAGCCAGTGTTGTCCGCTGATTCGAGTGTTAGACTGGGGACCCAGGAGATCTGGGTTCCAATCCCCACTCAGCCATGATTGCTCCGCCACAGATGAAAGGCACCTCTTGTTTCCATCTTCTGGGCCACAGAAGCAGGGTAACCAGTGGTGAGACACAGAGCAGGCTCTGAGGCTCGGCTCAGCTGTGGAGGCGGGTGCAGCTCTGGCATCCAACACAGCAAGAACTGCACAGGTTGCCTCCCCAGCGGTCGTGCCCGACAGGAAGTCCCTTTCGCTTTTTCCAAGCAGGGCTGTGCACAGAAGTGATCGGTCAGCCTGCCCTGGTGCCAGCTTCCTCTTCTCTTTTCCCCAAATGGTGTTTTAGAAATGTTTTATGGCATTGGAAAACATTCCCTTTTCTTAAAGGAAATAAACACACCTGGACTGGATTATCATCTCAGGGACTGGGGGGAAATAAGGGGAAAGAAAAAATAATGCAGGCAGTCAACTGGAAGGGCAGGAGAGTGAGACAATGGAATGGGCGGATCAACTCTCCCCTCCAAATACATCCAAAAAAGGGAACAGTGTAAATAGCAAACTCCCAGTTGCAATGTATGGCTGTGAAAGTTGGACCATAGAATAGTGCCGAAGAATTGAGGCCTTTGGATTGTGGAGCCGGAGGAGACGCCTGCGAGTCCCTTGGACTGCAAGGAGATCAAACCAGTCAATCTTAAAGGAAATCAACCCTGACTTCTTAGAAGGCCAGATACTGAGGATGAAACGCAAATACTTTGGCCACCTAATGAAAAGGAACAACTCGCTGGAGAAGACCCCGAAGCTGGGAATGATTGATGGCAAAAGGAGAAGGGGACGGCAGAGGATGAGGAGGCTGGATGGGGTCACTGGGGCGGTGGGTGTGGGCTTGGGCACTCCAAGGGATGGTGGAGGACAAGAGAGCCTGGAAGAATGTTGTCCATGTGGTTGTGATGGGTCAGGCAAGACTTTGCGACTAAACAAACAAACAGCAAACACAATTCCACCCACAGGGCATGGGAGTGAAAATCAGGAGGAAGAAATTGATCCCACTTTGAGCTGAAGAATGGCACCTCCTCTACCCATTAGTCCATCTGTGAGCAACTGGACTCAGTGGTGTACCAGTGAAGTGCAGGCATGTCTCACGACAGTTCACGCAGTCATGCTTCCAAGCCAAGTTCAGCAATGGAGAGCAGTGTGGTGTAGTGGTTAAGAGCATGGGACTGGGACTCAGGCGATCTGGGTTCCAGTCACCGCTCGGCCATGGAGCCAACTGGGTGACTTTGGGCCAGTCACAGACTCTCAGCCCAACCTACCTCACAGGGTTGTTGTTGTGGGGATAAGATGGCGGAGGAGAATGATGTAAGCTGCCTTGAGCCCTTTGTAGGAAAAAGGCAGGATATACATCGCAATATAAATAAATAAATGCAGGCAGACATGTTTAATCCACATGAATAAACTACTACTGCCAGAAGCAGTACCCACTGAAAGCCCATTCAGGAACAAGCAACAAACTATGTTTGATTATGATAGGGAAAATAGATGGTTTGCGGAGAAAATGTACTCCCCTGCTCCTCACAGTGAGTGACTCAGCTGAACTCAAAGGGAAGACAGACGTGTGGTGAGGGGACCAGGCCTGCTTCTTCAGGCCTACCGCCTTCCAAGCCGGTCACCTCAGAATCTGGATCTGAACTGGAAGAGGCTGGGTCAGAATCCCTAGCTGCAATGAATTCCTAGCCAGCAGGTCCAATAGCGGGCCAAGAGGCCGGAGAAATTACCTCTGCTGAACAGGCAGGACCAGAGAGGGATGGACGTGACATCAATCCCATCATCTGGCTTCAGAACAATACAGCAGACCAACCGAGTGGCTTTTGGAGTTCCCACAGTCTGACTCACAAGCAGCAGGAACCTCCCTGAGGGAGAGCTAACTCTTGTTGGGAAAGGAGAAGAGGGATACAGTGCACAATCGACTTTTCAGCATGAAGGAGAAGCTCCCTAATTAGCTGACTTCCTAAATTGCCTGATGTCTTCTGGTAACCTGTGCAATATTTGTTTTGCATTACAAAGCCAGCCCAGGGCCTGTTTTAACATAATAAAGACTGTGGTTAGAAGCCTCTTATCTTCACTTGCTTAGAAGGAGAAAGTGGATGGGGAAAGACTGGCCTCAGGCAGGTGGCAGGTGGACAAAAGCATCCCTGCTGGAAAAAGGATGATGGGCCTGGCTCCACTGCCCCTTCTCAGCTGTCAGCAAGCAATACCTGGACGTACTCACCTGCATGTCTGAGTTAGTGAAGCTGCAAGCCGACAGGTAGTTGGTATGCATGGCGACTGATTTCTTCTTGGCTGCCATGTTCTCGTTCTTCTCAAACGTCAGTGGATAAACGGAGCATTTGTTGTCCAGGCCACTAGAGTCAAAAAGGGAAAGAAAGAACAAAATGGTGGATGCCTCCGTTGCACAGCACTCCTGGAGCATCAACCGCTCACTCCACGGTGCAGTGGCAGGTTTCCCATTTCCTGCAATGTCCCATTCTGTGGTTCACCTGGGAAACACAGACTGACGGGGGAGTCTCTCTCTCCTACTTATTTCTGCTAACTGAAGAAGCACTGGGGCTCGGAAGAGTCTGCGCTCGTGTCTAGCCTAGCTGAGCTGAAACTGGGGGCAGGGGGGTGGCGGGGGGGAGGAGAAAAAAATCCCCACCCCCTCCAAAAATGTGCCCTAGGAATGCTTCCGACCAGCTTTTTTCCACTATGCCAGATGCACCCTTTCATGAAGATTAGGACCTGCCCATTCTTTTGCATGCTTTAAGGTACAACTTTAGACATCAAAAAAGCCCACCATGCCCAGATATCTGGTTGGCACAGATAAACTGGCTTAAACTTGTATAGAAACATAGACAGTCAGAAGGGGCCTCCCGGGCCATCTAGTCTGACCCCCGGCTCCAGCCGGCTCCGCTCATGACATGCCCACCAAGTGCATGTCTAGCCTATCTTTGAACAATGATCTGTTTGTTTTATTAGATTTATATTCCACCTTTTTTCCTTTCAAAGAACTCAGAGCAGCTTACATAATTCACCTGCGCTCAATCTTATCCTCACAACAACAGCCCTGTGAGGTAGGCTGGATGAAGAGCCTGTGACTGGCCCAAAGTCACCCAGTTACCATCATGGCTGAGTGGGGACTAGACCCAGAACTGCTGAGTCTCAGCCCTGCACTCTTAACCACAATGCCACACTGGATTTTTGTACCCTTAATGGTTTTAATTGTGTATTTCCGTGATGATGACATCCCCTTTTTATCTAAAATGGCATCTCTACTCCTGAGCATTTGACAGCCCATGATGGGAATTTTAGTTCTATCAGGTGCTGGAAGCTGTCCTGTCATTTGTTTTTAGCTTGTTTTAATCTGTTTTAATTCTTGAACATTAAAGGTTTTGGACTATATTTTATCTTGCTACGAACTGCCTAGAAAGCTTTGGCTACTGGGTAATACAGAAATGTAATAAATTTCTATCAAAACTGGGACTCTTTTTATCATTGGCTAGAGAAATGGGACTTCGTATAGATTTAAATATGTTTCTAAGTTATCACAAATGGAAAAAATGTGGGGGCTGACCTGACAGGTCTGATGTTTCTGATGATTGATGTTGTTTTTAGTTTTTCTTTGTTGTAGGGTTATTTTGAATAAAATTTATTATAAAAACAGAAATATAATAAATAAGTAAACCTTCTAAAAAGAATAAACTGTCCAAGGAGACCCACAAAGACAGTCCAGAAGCTCCACCTGGCCCAGAAAGTCCCGGCACAAGTGCTTCAGGGACCCAATAACACTTACTCAACTCCACGGCTCTTGTTTTGAAGGACCTGATTTTGACCTTTACAGCCCTAGACAGCCGGGTCTGGGAGACCTGACGGCACTTTTCTCTAATCTGGTGCCTTCCAGATGGTTTGGACTACAGGTCCTTCATCCATGGCCACCACAGTCAATGATCAGCCATGGTCAGAGTCGTGGTCCAAAGACTTTTACAGAAGACCATCCTGGGGAAGGTTGCTTCTTCATGAGACTGGTAGGTACAGATGCTTCTATCAGAGAGAAGCTGCCCTGTGCTGGGACTGGAGCTGTGGAATTCCCTTCCAAGATGTCGTCTCTTGTGTGCCTGTCTTTGTTTTTAATGCTTGACATTTTAAAGCATTTTAATGCTTTAATTTTAATGCATGACATTTCAGTGTTCTTAAATAAGATTGATTCTATCATTTTTGCTAAAAGTTGGGGTCCAGGCGGCAGAAACACGACTATTTCTACCTGACCGTACATGTATTTTTTTTTTAAATCACACCATGAAAATATTGTCATAGCTCCATAGCAGACCAAGTCTGATTCCCCTCGGTCAAAACAAGACTTTCCAGATCCCTTTAATTAGCGTGCCTCCACTTACCCACAAGCAATGGCGCATCCTGATGGGGCGTAAGCACATGCCATCACCCAAGTGCAAGGCATCGTCACAGCATGCTCCTGAAACACAAAATGCCCCTTGCATCTCACAAGCTAATCCGCAGATCTGTACAAGATCGCTAAGTAGAACTGAGGTGCTGAACCCATTTCCACCCGGTTTTATTATGCAGAAATAGAAGACCGCAATTCATGGCACCGTCATGACTGTGACCCAAGAGGAACATTTTAATGTGCTATATACCACCAGATCTTTCGGCTTTCTAGCATAGTACCAGAGATGGACAAGTTTGCCCATATTCGACTTAGAGCTTTTCTACAGGAAGCATTTCTTGTGTGCTCGTCATTCTTTATTCATGGTTGTTCATGAGTTTTGCTTCTATTTTTTAAAAACGCCAAATTATTTTTTGAGCAAGGGAAATAGAGTGTTGAATTATCAGAACAATCCAAGATGCTTCTTCTCTCACATGCATTTGTGCTCTTTCATGGTAGCACAGTGCCACCGAGAGGCTATATGACTGAAAAGCAGGAAAGGAACACTTCATGGAGTGCCTTATTCTCAATTCTGTGACCAAACCAGAAGCTGTAACAGATTAACAGCCTCATGTAGAAAAGCCCTCGAAAATGAACTGAGTAATTTCCCCCAAACTGAGAAACAACTTGGCTCCTTCCTCTTGGGGCCTCCCTGTCATCCCCTCACCCAAAAAATCTCCTTTCCCCTCACAGCCTTACAATGCACATCTCTTTTTCCAAATCTGAGAAAACATGGAGCCTCCAGGAACTAATCAAAAGGAGGTCAGCCAGAAGGAACACAGGCAAGTGACATCGTGGAGAAGAGACCCTCCCCAACCCACTGTTACTGGAGGATTCACGATGGGGCAGGTGCAGAGAGAGCTGACCCGAAATCCCACGGCACTCTTGAAGGCTCCCTGCGGATGCTGAGTGAATGTGTCCCGCTTCCAATTCTCCCGGCGCTCTCGGTCTCTCCCGCCCCTTCCTTCGGGCTGAGGTCTGGGTAAGGCAGCAGTGAGCACACTTCAAAGGTACCCTCCTATCTGAAACTGATGCGAGGAACTTAGAGGAGAACAAGGAACCAAGAGTCAGTGTGTTCTGAAATTAAAACACACCTTTCAGGCACAGTTCAGCCTGGAGTTTGGCTCATCCATCTGAGTTTTGAGGGTGCTGTGGGCCCAACAGACAAGACAGCACCTCTCTCTTTCTCACACACTCCCCCGGCTTTGAATGGAGAAGAACTGGGGCCTCGCTGCATTATGCACCAGAGCTATTCCACGCACCATCGCAGCTTAGCATGGCGTCAGAGAAAGGACTCATCCTTCACAAAAGGACAGGGTCAGTGATCAGGGCAAAGACTGGAGGAAGTCTGTGCATCCCTGCCTTTCAACAGAAATGCAGTGGGAGACAGGATGCGACACCAAGACCTTTCTCTTTCCCATCCCATATCAACCTCATCAGTTCAGTCTTCTTGATGGCTGGTGGAAAATCAGCTCCAAGAACTCACCTTATTGGTTGTGAAGGCATCCCAAACAATGACCTTCCCATCCTGTAACAGACAAAGAGTAGCTATGACTTTCTGAAACAAACCAGTCTATTTTCAAGTTTTATTGCCATCATGTTTCCTCCATTTATGTTCAATTTTTCATTCGTGCTATAACAGAAAAGTACCTATGGCAGGGGTCTCAAACTCGCAGCCCGCAGGCCAATTGCCGGGACAGGTGGGGCAGGGGCAGGGGCCCTGCGGCCTTCAAAGTGCCGGCGGTGCCTGGGCCGGCCACGGGATGAGCGACCCACCACCACCGCGGTGGTGGAATACTTGATGCGGCCCAGCCTCACCCAAACTCTACTTCCAGCAGCCCCCAGGTAAGTTGAGTTTGAGACCCCTGATCTACAGGAATAATGTTGCTTAAATTAAGCCAATGGCACTGACAATATCAATGACTGGATCGGGTCCATTAGGCTTATCTGAATCTAGGTCCTTGCAAGGACCCACCATGGAAGTAAGCTTGGGAATAAAGGGCCACATCCTGCCTACACCTCTCATAAGTTTCTGCACCAGTTCCTGTCCTTTTCATGAAAGCACTTGACCTGAAATAAACAAGCATGCTCTCCTTTCCATTAGGAAGGGTTGACTGTGAACAAAGACAAAGTGTTACCCAGTATAGAAGGACAGCAAGAAACATTACCCTCACTTTGAACTGGCTTCATGATGTTTTTATATACCCAAATCTCTGAAGCGGCTTTACGCTGTGAGGTGTTGTGACATCATGGCATGGCATGACATTCACAACATCAGACCAAACTAACTGAGATCCCAAACAAACAAGAAATAAAAAAGAAAGATTCCATTAAAATGGTATCAGAACAATAGCCAAGAGGGGCTGCAAACTGTCTTGAAAAAGGTAGAGTATCGCTGAATTATTTAACATGTTTATGACAGCACTAAAACAATAACAGAAGTGAAAGAGACAGATTATAAATAAATTAGAACAAGTGTAGAGTTTTGAAATGCAATATATCATCTGATGCAAATGGATCAAACCAAGGTCTTCCGGTAATACATTATATTTGTGTTACTACCATTCTTAGATCACTGTAGAATTAGAGAAAACCCAGTATTTGTCTTCAGCAAGATAGACAGGAATATTAAAATGAACAAATACAGGAAAAGGAAGCAAGAGAAAGGGAGTATGTAATGGGAAAGTAAGTCCTCACATATCAGGTGAACGAGGAGTCAAATTATCAGATCATAACATGCTGATTTAGGGACAATATCCTAGGAATCAAATTTATGCACCCCATAAAGGCATTGCAGAGGTCATTGTGGAAGGCACTGAAACAGTGAAACACTGGGGCTGTGGAGAACATTCTGGACCTCCCAGAAGCTTCTCCTTCACTTCAAGAAAATTCAAGAGCACAACCAGCAAACATTTTCCCTAGATTTTCTTCTGTGCCTTTAAGAATAGCCCCAAATCTCAAAAATTTAGGCCGGTGAAGCTCTTTTGGACAAGAAAACCTTCCACTGCATGTTGAGTGGCTTCTTAAAAGGTACGTGAGCTAAGCAATAGTGCTAAATTAACTGCTGCATCCAAGAGGTAGAAGGCATTAGCTGTGGAAGAGTTGGTTCAAATCCTCTAAGCCACAAGTAACTTCAGACCTGTAGTATCTAGTCTGCCTTTTTACCTTTTGATAGTCTCTGCTGTTAAACGGATGGCAATGAGGAACCCTTCCTGAACCAACCCAGGAGCTCTCTTCTTCTCGCTCTGCTCTAGCGCTACAGGTGAGTCAACCGCCTCAAAAGGCACCTCCTTACCTGAGAAGAGCTGACGATCCTCCTCTTATCTTTGCACCAGTCCATGCAGAGCACTTTGTTGCCATGTCCTTTCAGCGTCCTTCGTGTCTTCATTACAAACTGACCCAAAGCCTCCACTCGCTCCGCCACCTGATGAACTGCAAGGGATTCACCACAGTAACTTGCCATGCGCTGCCACAACAGCTCCCCCCTGAACAGCGGATGGATGCAGGACTGCGTGCGACACTTTGACAAAAAGTTTAAAGTTGTCAACAGGCCCGTAGCTAGAATTTTCGTATATGCTGCAAGTGGATAGTCCCTGAACCATGGATTGTTGCTGAAGCATGTCTGAACCCAACCTCGCTAACAAAATATGATTTCGCAAGAAACCAGTCACAGTTCTCAAGCCAAGAACCAACCATGGATTCTGTTCATCGGTGCTACACTGTTAAACCATGGTTTGTTAGCACAGCTGGATTCGGCCAAGACAACAACCCACATGTCAACAACTACCATACTCTGCCTGCACTCAACCTTTGAATGCGGTTATGGAGGTTGTCTGAACACAGTCTTGTCTGGGTCTGCCAGGTTACAGGATAGGAACTGTTCTGCAGGATAAGATGAGCAACTGCAATTTCTCCTGCCTTGTCATGATAAAAGAGTCCCCAAATGTGAGGATTTTAATGAAATATGAAAGAAGTATTGAGTGGGAAAAACTGCAGCCGCCTCATTTTATTCTGCAGCACACTTCAGAATTTAACCATTCAATAGAGAGACCATAGCTAGGAAAAGACTCCTAGCAGATGTCCCCTTTCTTCAGGTGGAGCACTGAAGGCCAGGGCCAAAAGGCGACTGAGGGGGCCCTTCTAATTGACTTTCCTGGCAATATTGCCACTTTTATTTTTGCTTTTTGGCAGGACTCCCAAACTCACTAGCAATGGGTAATGCCTTTTAGCTTACTTGGCAGAAGCTCAGACAACCCATTTCTGTCTCTTTAAGTCTCAGGTTGATGGAGTATTAGCCTCCCAAAAAGCATGCACTTAGAGAAATAGGAAGGATGCTGTTTTCAGCTGGAAACCAAGAGGAGCACTCTTGCACAGCTTCAGCACAAAGGCCAGAGTCAAAATGATCGTCTTTGCTTGCACAGAACCAAAGGTCAGTGGATGAACAGCCATTGCTAGTGCTGTAGGCCCATAGCCCACTTCTGGCTCTGGCTGAACAGCTTTACCTAGATTCCCTGGCCTACATGTGGTGCGGAGTTAAGAGCATGAGCTTCCTCCCTGCCATAGCAGCATGTCTGACCCAATCCATATCCTAGATAAAATCCAAAAACTGACCTGTTCAGCTTAGACCCATGCGTGGCTTTGGCTATTATTCACATACGACTTGGAGTAATATTATGCCTCTGTGTAGAATCAAATGGTGTTTGGGAAGGGAGAGGAGGTGTACTCTAGCTCCTTACCACATGAATTTGGGCAAACTGAGTTTTATATTGGAGCATATCTAATTCAGACAGAGCAGGGCACGGCAAGGCACAGTCTGTCAAATGGTTTCTCCTATGCTACCTTGTTCTCTGAGTCTGATACTGAACATCCACCCAACCCAACCTGGCTTAGAAGAGGACTCCAAGATAGAAGAGGCATCATCCTACACTGGAAACATGGCTTTATCAGAGTCTTTGAATTCAGAGTACCACCTACACACAATTCTCATCTTTCCCAGAATGGCCTGCAGCTGCACAATCAAAACTGCTGGTGTTCAGAGTAGCCGGGCTTCATGAAGCCCCTGAAGACCTCTGCATCTTGCTTAGACAACAGCATTTCCTAAGACAGCGCCTTGCATCACAGAGCTGTCCAGGGTCCTGCCAGTCCCTGCCTTGTCTGGGCTTGCCATCCAGCTTTACTGGACTTGGCTTCGCTATACCCTTCCTGACTCAGGCCTACCCTTCACATGAGTGCAACTGCTTCAGATCAGCTCCCCTGGGAACCTTGGGCTGAGCTAGCTAGGGCTTAAGCAATCCTCACTAAAATGCTCAGCTTTTGCACTCTCCAGTCTCAAACACTTCATAGTTCATGTAGCACTTAAGTTAGGCCAACCAAAAGGTCACAAAAATGGACAAGCTTTCAAGGTCCCAGATCTGTTCATCTGGCAAGATGTTACAAAAGGGAGGAGGAGAACCTGATGAGATTGAAATCATGGGTTTCATATTCTGCATCATCACAACCTTGAGATGAATTGGGGAAAGAAGGGCCTGCTATGCCAACTAATAGGAACCTTTCCTGTCTGAAAGTTGTGTATGTGTTTTGATATATATGACTAATTGATAAATCTCGCTGGGGAATTATGGGAACTGTAGCCTAATAAATCTGGAGGTGCCTAAGTTGAAAAAGGCAAACCTAGAACATCAAGCGACTAAAACAAAAGATCAAAAGCAGTTATGCACATTACAGAACCCCTAGTTTCATGTAACACACCTTCTTGCTCAAGGCATTTGCTCACACAGTCACCTTCCCAGAATAGAGCTTTAACCTAAAACAGGAAGATAAAACTATGGAAGCAAAGTCCCTGTTCTCCAAGAGTCTTTGCCTGCAATTCCTCACAACCTCAACCACAGAGATGTGGCTTGAGGGGCCCCATTTGGGAGAGGCTGATCTGAATGCATTTCAGACATGACACAGGGGAAGCAGGTGCTAGAATAGTTATAATAACCTTGCCATGCTGAAATAGACATAATATCAGAATTGGATTGGGGCTTAAATGGACCTGGGTTTAAATTCCAGCCAAATGGCTCACTGCATCACCTTCAGTCATTGTCTCTGAGCTCAGCCTAACCTAGGCTAGCTTAATGAAATGTTGGGAGGATGAAATAAAATTATCATTACCCTAATCTCCTTGGAGGGGAGAGAAACCAATCTAATAAGTAGATCGGCAATGATAAACTTAAGCTCTTCAGATGTTGTTGAACTCCAACTCCCATCAGCCAATGGTAAGGAATGATATAGGCGTTGGAGTCCAGCATCTGTGGGAACAAAGATGTCCCAACCATCAAAACAGATAATAATATGATTAGTAGTGATTATTTCTACAACTCTATGCATTAAGAGGTCTTCTTCTCATCTCCCCCAATAATATCAGGCTAAATTTAACACATTGCTCATTTCTGAGCAGCCGACTCTCCTTCCCTCTCCTCTGAAGAGCACCATAAATGAACAAGGATCAAGACGCATGAAGCATGAGAGCCTCAACAATTAGACAAAATCTCTCTGTCAGGAAGTGACCAATTATGCTGTAGTTCAGCATCTTCCAGGCTGGTGTTCATCAGGTGCAGCAGTGACCGGTGACTCAGATGCCAGTGGAGCAGCATATTCACTCCAGGTTTCAGCTTGAACCTTAAATGAGGTTTGGCTCCATAAAAGTTCAGATCACTGCATTGCCCCACTGACATTGGACTGCGCAGCCTCCGCTCTCTAGATGTGCTGGATTACAACACTCATCATCTCCCGAACATGTCGGCAGATGCAGCCCAGCACGCCTGGAGGACACCAGTTTGGGAGAGCCTGTGGTGTGGAAACAGACTGCCCCTCCGCCATTCCAGCAGGAAAGTCACATGCAATGGGGGAAGGCATTCAGAAGAAAAGGGAATCATTTTTTCATCCAGGATTAAGCAAAAGTGGCTCCGGGATGCAACTGTTACAAGGGGCAGAAGCCAGGAAACTACGCCCTGGGCTTGAGGGCCTCCCAGCATCCTCTGCAATTCCTTCCATGGCCCACCATGCCACTTGGGCAGCGCCTCACCATCTGCCCCACAGGTGCTCCTCAACTCTTCTGCATTCCTGGTACAGTCAAAATACCGCGTGTGGAGCCTTGGCCTCTTGCCCCATCCAAGCACGGCATTCTTGGGTGACCACAGGACCAACACGGAAGTTTGCTTCTGCTGCGCTCCACCTTGACCGCTCTCTAGGCAGCCCTCTGGAGGGCCCGTGGGAGCCTAGGCTTTGGCCCCGCGCCCCAGCCGCTGCCCCCGCCGCGCGCCCGCGGCCCCCCTGAAGGCTCTCTTGCCCAGATCCGCCGCCCCGCGCTTGCAGGGCCATTCCGGGCACCGCGCCCCCCTTCCGCGCAGACCCACCGCGCGCACTTTCGGCCCCGCAGCTCGCCCCCGTCTTGCTCCGGATCAGCCACGCGCCCTCCCTCTCCCCACGCCCACGGACCGCGCGCGCATCTGCCCAAGGGGGGCTCCCCGCCGCGGGCGTCTCCGGGGCGGCTGAACAAGGAGCGGGACCCCGGCAGGGGGCGGAGCGCGGCGCGGCGCGGCCCCCGCGCAACTCCGGCAGGGCGGATCTGGGTCGCTCGGCGCAGCACGTCACGCGCCCAGGCAGGCGACGGCCGCAGCCCGGACCCCCCGGCCCCCCGCAAGCACCTCCCGGGGCAGCAGGCGCAGGCCGCTCCGCCGCCGCCGCCCGCCCCGCGCGTGTTGTGCCCCCCGCCCCCGCCCGCAAAGCGCAGCCCAGCCCAGCCCAGCCCAGCCCAGCCCGCAGCTGCGGATGGAGGGCAGCGCCCGCGGCGCGACTTACGTTCCACATCGTGCAGCTTGGCTCGCTCCTCCTCCAGCTTGCCTTTGAGGCTCTCGGCCTCGTTCTTCAGCGAGGCCAGGGTCTCGTTCTCCTGCAGCCCCTCGGTTGCCATCTTTGCAAGGGGAGCGGCGAGCGGGAGCGGGAGCGGGAGAGACGCGGGCAAAGTGAGACGGGGAGGAGCTCCGCGAGCGCCCGCCCCCTCCGCGCTGACGGACGCTCCGGGGCTGCCGGCGCCCTCGGGCACCCGACCCGGGCGGCGCGGCGCCCCCATCGGCGTGACGCGGAGGCGCGTGGCCACGCCTTGAGCCCCCGGGGGCGCCCGGTGCGGGGGCGCCCGCTGAAAGCGAGGTCCGCGGGCCTTGGGGAGCGGTTGTGCTGGACCCCCCTGGATGGGGTGCCTGGCGCACACAGGTCCTGCCCCGCCCCGTTTCTGGGATGGAATACCTTCCTCTCCTTGACTGTGCACCCGCTTTTAGAAATAGGGGTATCCTTAGCAGGCAGGGTCCTTCAAAAGAGGCGCACGCCCCTTAGAGCATTGGCACATGAGCGCATACAAAGGGTTGGCCGGTTGATCCCGAGCCCTCTCTCTTTTTGGTACCTAGCACCACGCCTGCGTGGGATGCATCTCAGTCGCAGGAAACTGCCGGCAAAGGGCAGACAACTCGTGCCTGATGCAGCTGGGACTGGACCATGAAGCCCAAGGCTCCCCTGCTCACACACGCACAGCCCTACTCAGATTTATGCATGTATTTTGTTTCTACACTGTCCAAATAAATAAACCTCATGGGCAGTTCACAGCCATTGAAACCATAAAATGCAACATAAGATACACTGTAAAACTTCCAAGTATAAAATAGAAGTAAAAAAGAAATCTTTATGTAAAGATTTAACATAAAATGGAGTTTGCATCTGGGTTTGTGTTATTCCAGTTTTCCTGACCGTGCTATGATTTAAGTGAGTGTGAAAGGCAAAAATAACAAATAAAGCTGTCCTACTTTGAACATATCAGGAAAAGGCAAAATTCCCTGGAGAAAACAATCATGTTACAGAAAGTTGAAGGGCAGAGGAGGAGAAGCCCAAAAAGGAGATGGGCGGACTCCATCAAAGAAGCCACAGCCTTGAACTTGAGAGAGCTGAATGGAGCTGTGGAGGAGAGGTCACCAGGAATCAGAAATGCACATAACCTCAACAAAAGGTTGAGAAAAAATGAAGGATTGTTTATTTAACCAATACTTCCCAGTTCAATTAGTCAGCATCTGTTTTGATGGAGGCAAATGCCCCATCCTAACTTGGAGGGCAGGAGTAATGTTTAAAAATGTAATAAATGAAACATTTAAAATGGATTGATTGGGTGAGGATGGGAAGGCACAATGGACTTTCTCTAAGATATGGTTTATTTTGAAGCAAGGGCTTTTCCGCAACGGTGCGTTTATTGTGTGCTCGTCATTACTCACAGCTGTTTATGAATTCTTAGACAACCTGTGTCTAGCCAGTATTTATGGTACATTTCTTTTTAACAGATGGGAAAATGGAGCATTTAAATATGAAAGCCGAAAAACCGCAATCTCTTTTTCTGTATTTGTGTTCTTCTGCTATACCACAGTGCTCCCTAGAGGTTATGCAGTGGAACAACAAGAAGGCAAATACTTGTGGAGCAGAGACAAAATAAAAACTCCAAGCCCCTTTTCTTCTTAGAAGTGCTACAGCCGTCCTGACTCTGGTATAAGTTGAAGGCCTATTATTCAACAACTTTGTGGAAGCTGATCAAAGCTGGTTATGGCCTGGATGAGAGATCCCCAGGGAACTTCCAGCATGCAGACTTGAGTCCCATGATGGATGAAAAGTGGGATATGATGAAAGGTCATCTTATCTCAATTCTCAAAAAACAAAGACTGAAATAGAGGCACTCATAAGGGAGTTCATTAACACAGTTAATTAGCACCAGCTACCATGGGTGTTTTTGTATAACTTCTCATTCTGTTTGATATGTGGGAGGTCTGATTTTTGCTTTTTCTGCTTTGCCTTCATACAGCGCTTCCCTAATTGAATTTTTCCACCCATAGCTTGAATCAGGACTGGGGATTTTTATAACCATGCCAGGATTTTTCTGTTCTGACCTCCACTGCCTTGTTAATATGCCACTGCAATGATGTCACTTTTAGGTGCTTGCCACTGCTTATTCTTTCCGCTTTCATGCTCTCGGACCTCGCTCTTCTCCATTCTTCCCCTACTGATTTAGAAAAATCTATGTATCAAGTGAGGTGGTTTCTGATCTCTGAAAACGTGTGCCATATATCATGAAGATATATATCATAAAGAGATATAGGTATAGATATAGATATCTTTATGATACCACAAGAGTCACTGTGACTTTCCCATTGGAAAGGGCACCGGTCGACCCCTGGCTGAGTAGCACACAGCTGGTAAAGGCATGGAAGCCCCGCTGGAGAATAAACACTGCAGTTTATGGGTGAGTCAGAAACATCGAATGGAGCCTGTTTTATTTCTTTATACGTCTTTATCATCCATAAATAGCATCAGTGCAATCAAGCCGTTACCACTCTTGAAGGAGAGAAGAGGGAGGAGGAGGCAGTTACTCAGCTGACATCTGCAAGTGAAGTGAGCACCATAGTGCTCTAGGAACTGAAATTCAAGCCTGTGGTGTCCTTGATGGAGTTAGGCTGAGGCCCTGTACCCACTTTTCTGGAAGTAACTTCTGTTGAACTCAGTGAGGCTTACTCTTGAGTAAACACAGATAGGATTGTGCTGTTATCTAATCACTCGTGCATATACTTTTTCAAGCGGTGTACAATATAGGCATATTCATGAATATCGAAAAAGCACTAAGATGCAATCTCATACCATTTCCACACAGAGCGAGCAGTAGCTGAGTTTTTCAGACTTGCGATAAATCTCCCGAAGGGGCCTCTCTTTGGAACAATTGTCACATGGGCCAAATACATTGGCCAAAAAGGTCTGGTCACACATGGTTGCTAGTTGCGAGCGCTGGCAGAGAGTAGAAAAGAAGACAGGCAGATGCTACAAAGAGTGGCAGAAAGCTTTTCCTGGTACTTAACAGCATCTTAAATAATATATACTCTACAGCTGAAGGCAGGACAAGTCTTTTAATCTCAAGAAAAGCACAGCCACATTAAGCAAGAAAAACACCTTGGTATTACAGTGGGAGTATGTATCCACCATATGTTTAAGCAGGGTTTCCAGACAACTGGACATTTAAACAGGTTTGCTTCTTTCCTTTTCTTTCTGGAAAAAAACCCAACGGTGCTCTTGGAAGGAGGTTCAGGAAGGTGGGTGTCATACCAACTGCTTGGACATATAGGAAGATAAAGCTTTTAAAAAACCCATCAATGTAAATAAAAAGATTGAGTGTGCTGGATATATCCAGATGGAATGTACGGTAATCGTGTTTTAGCAAGCTGATTAGAAGCCTCCTTATGAAGGCTTGCCTTAAAAGGCAGGGTAGGAACAGAATAACCAAGCTAAGCATGGCCTCTTGAAATCTCCCTTAATATGCTATCCTATTCTAGCACTATACTTGCTTTAAGCACAATATTGTAATCAATTTTCTTACCTTCTTTACTCCGAGTGAGCACTCTGATGCGTGGCGAGGCAAGAAAATAATCAGTCTGTAACTAGAAGCACACAAGGACAAACTTAATGCTAAGGTAATCTACTTAGAAGGTATTAAGGCACAATCCTGCTCCTTTGTTTGACGGCATCTTCTACATGGCTAGTTCTGGAGACAAACTGATCTTCTCAGCCACCAAAGGCAACTCTCATGGGAGGAAATGAAAATCCTTAAGCTTCGCCGGTTGCGCCTGTTTGCAGCTTTGGAGCTTCCTTGCTTTATTCCCTGTAACCTGCTTCCAGCCATGCCACCCGAAAACATTCCCCGCCAAGGCGCATGGCAGATTGCTACAGCTCAGGAGGCACTTTCCCAATGGGAGACATCTTGAATCCATTTCTGTTGTGTTCAGCTTCCTGTCAGCCATTACCTTGCTCATGCTTAGCCCATACTAACAGCTAGAAAGTTGCTTTACTCTGGCGTAGGGATGTTATTCCTTAAGCTGACCCCTCAAGTCTTACTTATCCAGTGTGCTGTGGCGGCCCTTATTTTCCAGCCAGGCCTTAGAACATGGAATCTAGTTAAAATAGTTCACCAGGCTCACACTCAGAAAGTCTCATAGCACCTGTTTTTCCTGAATCCCACTGTTAGGTGTCCGTGAGCCCCAAAGAACCCCTTTTGGAAATCTCTGCATTATTTGCGAGGTTTCACCACTGAATTACTTGCTCACTGGCACTGGAAAACTCGTTTTGTTGTATCTTGTGCGTGAGGATCAGGCCAGCTGGACCAGAAATGCTTCCCGGTTCTTTTTCTGCTCTCAAAGGTCACCTGAACTTCTCAAGAGGTCCAGAGTTAACCACTATGAAAATGTAACACAATAATAACTGTAAGAGTATTATTCGGCTGTTGTTGTCAACCAGTCTTAGGCAGCTTCCTGGATGGAAAAGAAGCACAGGCAGCTTCTCCCAAGTGCACTCACAGTTTTCACGTATGGCGATGCAGGATTACGACCATTAACCAGTGAAGAGCCGTCTGTTCTTACGGGAGCAAAGAGCAAAGATGTCTTCTGTGCTCTCATTCTTGTTGATGCTTGTTCCTGTGAAAATCGTCAACATTTCCTTCCTGCTAATGTGTGACTCACCTAACACTTTCACAGAGAAATACAAATATGCCAGGACTTGGTTACATCCACATGCATACAATTTGTTAGGAAGTCTTTTCCACTAAAGCAGCAGAACTAACTTCCAACTAACAGTGCACTATGCAGGCCCACTCAAAAGCCTACTGAGTTCAATAGAAGTTGCTCTGGGAAAGGTTCTAAGATTGTAGCTTTAATGATGTATAGGACCCTAGTTGCACTGTATGGATCACCACACACCCCTCAGGGCTGAAGCATGGAAATGTGGAATACGAGAAAACACGAAGCGTTTAAATGCAACCGTTAAAGGCTATTACATTGCAATGCAATGCCAAACTTTCTGGAATGTGGAAAGATGGAAGCCAAGCCATAATTTCTCATTTCTGAGAAGCATTCTGCCTCCTTCCACCTGAAAAAGGCCAGTTAGGCAGGGCTTTTCCCAAATATTGTCCCCATTTGGAGTGTGACGGCCAGCACCCTACATTGTATAGGATGCGAAGGGATGGCCAGGCTGTTAATGCCCTTTGTTTCTTCTGCCATTATCAGCAGAAGTTGGGGAAGAGGAGTAAACAGAGGGGAGGCTGCTACTGGCACGGGTGAGTCTGGCCACCAAGAACTACTGAAGGATTTCTCCTGCCCATGCAGAAATTCAGGGGAAGCCTTACTAACACTCCTGTTCACAAATATGTGGAATTCCAAGAGGCCATTTATGCAGAGCTGTGTTGAAAGCACCAAACACACGGCAACCAGGTAACCGCCTGATGAGCAGGAGGTGCCATTTGCTTCTGCAGATTCTGGATTGTGCATTTTTGCAACTCGCCTCCACCTAGAAGCATCCGCTAATACTATACAGAAAACAGGCCAAGATGTAGCCTCCATGTCACAGACTGCTTTCTACAGAAGAAACTTATGGTAGGAAAATCTCAGTTTCCCCCTCTTCTAGGCTCCCTTCAGTCTGGCTTTCCAACCAATTTGGAGACAAAATCTGCACTGGTCAATGTAGCAGACATCTTGCATCAGGAAAAAGACAGGTGTGTATCTGAGTGGGTTCTGTTGGATTCCTCAGCAACTTGAGCATCTGAATTGCCATGCACCAAATCGAGCCGAAGAGCATTATGTTGCAGTGCTTTCGGATCATCCTGGAAAGCAGATCTCAGGTGGCAGCGCTGGGAGACTCCGGTGTGAATTCACCTTATCAGGTTTCCATTTCTTACCTGAATTGTTTGAATATTACCCTATGCAACAATGATTGGACACAATATATTAACATGCTATGACTGACACTGTCTTGTATCATTATATTAAATATCCAAGATGTTTAACAACTTCCTTAAAATATACATATGCAGTGATGGAAATTTACAAACAAGATTATACAAACACTGTAGCAAAAGTGTTACAAAAATTGCCTTGTTAATCCTTCATTGCAGAAAGTATTTCGTAATATGGGGAACCACCATGGACTAAAAACAATCGTTTTAGCTTGGCTGGGTCCAAAATGAAACATCTGAAGACTACAAAGAGTTCCACTCTAAAACCAGAAGAAGGGAGACAGTTTGATTTCCAAATGCTTTTCAGGATTAACCTCCATACTAAAAAGTTGACTTCACAGTGACTAAGGAAGCACTTGAGTGACAATCATTTACCCTTCCAGCAAAGAGTCAATGTACAATCTGTTATATTCTAGTAAGAAAGCCAAGTTTGAAACTGCTGGGGATTTCTATCATTTCCAGAGCATGTGGAGAGGGGGTGAAGGGAAATGTCACTTGGAAGAGGTATTTTGTATCTAGCATCAGTTGTGAAGAATTTTCTCTGTTGTTCAGCATAGCCTGAAATTAGAATAGAGAGATGAGGAAGTAGCAGGAACTAAAACCAGCAATGTGAGATTAGATTAGATTAGATTGTGATTTAATAGCCATACCTGGACTTTACGAACAAATGATGGAGACACTCTCTTCTCAAAATCATCTATAGGAGTGTAGGAGTTGAGGATTTTTACTGTCTGCAAAATTAGTTGAACAAATTAATCAATTCCTGCAATATGTAGTCTAAAATTTGAAATTACAGTTCCACAACCAGAACTGAAGTAAGTACTGGGGTCATCCTGAAAAAACAGCAGAATGGAAAATAACATGGGAAAAGGAAGTAGCAGGTTGTGAAGGGAAGCTAAGCAAAGACGATAAACCCGGTTAGATTCCTTTTTTTTCCAGATTATGCCTGAGGTTCTATGATCACAGACATAGCAAGAAGGGCAAGAGGCATGCTTTAAGAAAGAAAAATAGACAAGAGAGAAACAAATTGTAAGACATCCCAGTAATTATAATAAGAGAACAGAATTGTGTTTTGTAAACGGAGCACGGTCGTCATCCAATCCACAAGAAGGTTGAACTTGCTGGTGCCAGACGATCAAAGAGAAGGGAGTTCGCATCCGTTCTGGTGAGCAGCTGAGGATTTTGATGAGCACAAGCCACAGGCTAGTTGCTCAGGGCCTTCCTTCAGCTCCCAGCCTTAGAGAAATCACAGCCTACAGTCAGATGAGGGCCCTTTAGCAGTCCATTCAGCGCCTTTAAAAAGAGCGAAGCTGACCATACGATGGGTTTCCTTGCCCTCTGCTGAGACAACGCTCTCCTATTGCCCAAACAGGAGAAATTTCCAAGCAGTAGGACCCACACGTTCACTTGCAGAGGGGCGGGCAAATGTGTGACCCTCTAAATGCTATCGGACTACAAATCCCATCAGTCCTAACTGATGAGAGAGTGGTGAAAACCGACGAGAGCTGCAATCCAACACCATCTGGAGAGCCACAGGTTGCTCACCTGAGCCCAGAAAAGCAATACCTGCACTGCAGAAAGGGCTGTGCAGCGTTCAGAGATTTCCCTGGCGTCGTCATCTGTGGTCTTTTTGACCTGAAGGAGCCATGCTGCCTGGGAAAGAGGCTCTAATGTCTCCTTGGCAGAACTGCCCTGCAGATTCTTGTCCTTAAGCCATTCTTCCAGGTAGCTGATGTTACACCTGGGGTCAACAAGCAGAAGGAAACATGGTGATTTTTTTCCATCTCCTTTTGCCCAGAAGATGGGGTGCTCCCAGCTGGAGGGCCTCCAGGACCTCACAGTGAACAGGCATTGTGCACCTATTTCCTCTCGTTTTCCACTGAATGGATCTTCTGGCGCATGGAAAAACATGGAAATCAATCGTGAGAAACGTTACAGGCAGAAGAAGAGTTTGACTGGTCCCACCATTAGATTCCAAGAACAAGGCAGGAAAAAACTCATCAAGAATCTTCCTAGGCAATAGAAGCATCACTTCACATTCAGCTTTTCCACAGAAAAAAACGAGACATGAGAAATATAAAACCTTGTGTTAAGTGCCTCCAGAGTAAACACGGATGGTCAGGCATAGTTTCTATGTTAAAAAAATATTTATTTTATTTCTTTATTTAGGGAACTTCTATGCCGCCCCATTTGCCGAAGCCTCGGGGCGGCTCACAACCATAAATAAGTAGAATCCTATAAAACAATATAAATTAAGTCAATATAAATTAAGTCTCCCTGGCCAAAGAATAAAATAAATAAATAATATGAACAATTAAAATAACGTTTGAATAAAAAGGTCTTCGTCTGGCGCCGAAAAACAAATAATGGCGGCACCAGGCGAACCTCTCTGGCGAGCGCATTCCATAGATTGGGCACCACCGCAGAGAAAGCCCTCCTCCGAGTACTTACCCTCCTAATTTCCTTCACGGAGGGTTCCCGGAGAAGGGCCTCTCCCGCTGATCTAGGACTTTAATTTATTAAACAAAATAATTAACGTTCACAATCCTAAGCTGCTTTATTTTGGAATGCAACGTAGAAACTGAACTTTTTTTCTGTTGTTTCTTCCTAGCCGCATTCACACATTAGCAAGATGCAAGTCTTTCAATGAAGATAAGAATCCGTGACAGTGAGACAGGACAAGACAATCTTTTTGAAGCCCCAAACTCCCCCTTCTGTGCCAGCCAAGACATTGTGCTCCTTCACATAAATCCAGAGCAGCATGCTGCACTTCCAAGCTTGTTTAAGGGTTTATTGTATGTGTCACAGCATACACCTGGCTGGAAGTTCATGGGAATTGTAGTCCAACACTTCCTAAGAGCACCAGGCTCCTGCTCCCTTTACTGGTTTGCTGATGTGCTTTTACATGATCCAAATTTCCTTTGCATTTTGGCTTGCATTATGTTGCCATTAGCCAACTCTGAGATTTTTTTAATTCACTAAAAGATACCGTGATTTGTGAAACAATACGGGTTTACCTTATCTGCATGCCTTTTCGGCAAGAGCACATGTCCTTGCGGAGGAAGAGGCTGTTCAGCGTGACTGCCGCTATCAGGAAGAAAAGCTGCTTCATCACGTGCTTCACCAGCTCTGCGTCCAAGCCGTTGTGACACATGGTGCTGTAAAAATAGCTGAGCTGCTGCAAGATGGACGTCATGGTGTAGGCATCTGTATCGTCAATGCTGGACGAACGCTTGCGGAATCCGGTCGGTTTCAAACCAGAAATCCCTTGGAGGCTTTCGTACTCCAGCATTCCCGGCACTGCAGAAGGGAAGAGCGAGCGAGCACATTGCAAGGGCCTCTCCAAACACTCGCGGCCGTTTGGCTCCAACGCAAGCCATGATGTCAAAGCCACTGAACGCTCGTAAAGATCGGCGCGCTTGTTTTTGCAGCGACGCAAGCGGGGAAGGCCACCGGAGTGGGCCGGTTTGGAGAATGCCAGATTCAGCGCACATTTTGGTCTGGGCCAAAAGCGGAAATGCAAATGCTAAGGGAAGCTGCCAGATAGTTCTTGAAGCAGAGTCTCAAACTGCACTATCCATGCTTCCGTTCACACAAACTTATGTGATGTTGTGATCTATGAATAAATTACTAAAAATAAATATTTGACAGGGTACAAGTCCATGGGCAATAGCCCACTTTTGTCTTTAAACACCATTAATGGTTTCCAGCAATACCTCAATACCTCATGTAATTCTTACAAACCTCCATATCTGCACGGGGGGAGGGTGCCTCGCACCCTCCTGAACAACTCTGCGGCGCCAAGCGAAAACCTTTTCAGTGTCTAAATATTTTAACAGTCAACCCAGTGGGTTTTATGGCTAAGCCAGTTTGTACGATCTGGCTTATAAAGCGCTGCCCTGCCCGGTTGTGCCTGCTATTCTCATTGGTTTTACTTTTACAGCATTTTATGAGTGCATTGGTTTTATATGCCTTGATGAATTGCACTTCTGATTTTAATGTCTGTGAACTGTACAGAGCACCCATGCACTATAGGGAAGAATACAAATATAATAAATAAAGAGACGTGGGGGCAGCTTGCACTATGCAAAGGGAACTGGCCAGTATCTTCAGCCCCCGTCCAAAGTGCCAGCTGGGGCAATTCTGACTCCTCCCCTGGTTTCACTTGCCTCACACCTTCTCCCACTGGAGGTGAGGTGGGGCAGGCTTAGCACTTGCTCTCAGTCCCAGAGGAGTGTGGTCCTGACCAAAGGGAATCCGATTGTTCCCCCTGACCTGCAGGGAGTCCGTTCCCCAGCACCTCCCCAGTCCCCGGGGCTGTGTGAGCAAAGGGGCTTTGTGAGGAACCCCAAGAGGCCATGCTGACTGGAAAACGTCCCCTGCCCAGGTAAGGTAACAAATTTATTTATTTACTTATTTATTTTTGATTCATATCCTGCCTTTTTCCTACAAAGGGCTCAAGGCAGCTGACGTCATTCTCCTCCTCCATCTTACCCCCACAACAACGACCCTGTGAGGTAGGCTGGACTGCGAGTCTGTGACTGGCCCAAAGCCACCCAGTTGGCTCCATGGATGTTTTAATAAATGAGCGGGGACTCAAACCCAGATTGTCTGAGTCCCAGCCCCATGCTCTTAACCACTACGCCACACTGGCTCTCAAATCCCCCCACCTCTGTATGACAGGGATCCCCAAGTGACCGAGCTTGGGTTTTGGGGAGCAGAGACAAACATGCTGATCTGAACTAGCCAGTAGTGAAGAGCATGCGACTGGGACTTGGACGATCTGGGTTCGAGTCCCCGCTCAGCCATGGAGCCAACTGGGTGACTTTGGGCCAGTCACAGACTCCCAGCCCAGCCCAGCCCACCTCACAGGGTTGTTGTTGTGGGGATAAAATGCAGGAGGAGATGTAAGCTGCCTTGAGCTCTTTGTAGGAAAAAGACAGGATATAAATCCATAAATAAATAAACAAACAAACAAACATACTGCAATTTGAAGCCCAGTCTTGCTCAGAGTGAAGTTTCTCTTTCCAGTTTCGCTTGCAAGATGAACAGGCCGACTTGCTCTGAAAGGAGCCGGGCCATGCAAATGGCAAAAAGACTCGGGCCCCATTCTGCTCTGGGTCTCCCGCAGAGAAGCTGCACTTTGCCAGCATTGTGTTGCGGATTATTTGTCCCCGGGCAGCTGGGGCAAAATTCACAAGTACATGCAACTTTTACGACATCACAGCAGCTCAGCCAATGGTTGTCCCAGCCAGTAACCAGTTTTTAGCCCATATAAGAGACTAATTCATATGCCTACTAATTCAGAAATAAGTCAAACAATGTTCAGTAGTGCACAGGATTACAGCCTAAGAATACACACGCACAAAAGGACACATGTACATAAACACGGATTTTTCAGACATGCATGAGGAAGCAAGAAAATAATTTACTCCTGGATATTTGGCACTCTGTAGGAGCATCAAATAATTCAGAACTGCTACTGCTTATTTTTATTTGCCGCCACCTTACCTATCATTGGCTGAATATTGTTCTCCATTACAATAATGAATTGATGATAAATACGAATGGCCAGGTCACTGAGAACCTGCCTGTATTCGGAAAGATCAAAGTGCTTCAGACTGTTCTTATTTTGCTGCGCAGTATTGTGCTTCATGAACTCCTGAAAGTCAGTTGTACAGTTATTAACATAAGACAATTAAGATTGCACATAAACTTCTGGTGTTAACCTATTACACTTCAGCTAAACTATTACCAACTATTACTATACTCAGAAGAGCAAAGGGCTATTAAGGGCTCCAGTCACAAGCACCCACACAGCCGTCTTCCACTGAGCACTAGTAAAATATTAATGGAATCATGAGCTTGCCCAAAGTATTTTAATGGAACACTCCAGCTTTCTTTTTGGGACATAGCAATTTCGGAAAACTGTTCGGAGCCTGCCAAAATGCCTTTTGTGGGGACCCAGAATGGGGAACAGACTGGGAGGGGGTAGGGATCCCCAAATTATGTCAGGTCGCTCCTGGGGGTAACAGCAGAGAGAATGCCACTCAGGTCAGGCTTAAGGCTCCTAAGCTTCAGAGAAAGGAATGAAGCTTCAGTTCCCCCATGTGTGACTGCACAGATCACCTGATCATTAAGAGGACCAACATCCCATAATAGGCAGGTGAAAGAGATGACCAAGTTACCTTAAATACTTAAAAAGAAATGAAATGCTACCTTGGCATTATTAATTTCTTCCACTGCGCTGTTTGTGATCTTCGTAAAGATTTGTCATACTTTACTTTCATCATTTTACCACATTGTTCTACTAACCAAAACGAACCGACTTTCTTATTTGAATGCATTTTGCCATTACATAGATTCACAAAGGTGTGGATTGAAAGGATGGATTTTTCAGGTCAAGTTGATTCAAATGGGCAATATATACCAGAAGAAATTGTCTCATGAATTGTATTGCAACGTTTGTTTAATTTCTATACCACCCAAGAGCCAAAGCTCTCTGGGCAGTTTGCAACAGCAAAAGTATGAAAATGATTTTTACCTCTTCTCCACTGTATTGTTTCAAGCAGTTAAGAAAATGGCATGTATTTGAGAGCCAGAAAGACAACATCTCAAAGTCTTCTACATGTTCCTAAATCAGACAATGCTTTCATTTAATATTTTACATATTGATAGAAACAGCTTAGCTCTTAGGATTTAAGTAAATGTTACATCATCTTCCCCAAACCTGACACCCTCCACCTGGGCTGAACTGCAACTTTCATTATTCTTACCCAATTCAGGAGTTGCAGTCCAACAGACTGGAGCAAACCAGATCAGAGAAGGTTGCATTTATTGATCAATTTGCTTTCTTTTCCTACAAGGAACCCAAAGCAGTTTACAGAATCCTCTTTTTCAATTTATCCTCAGAACAACTCAGGGAGATAGGTTAGGCTGAGCAACCATGATTGACCCAAAGTCTCCCAGTAGCTTTAAGGCTGAATGGGGACCAGAATCTGGATCTTCCAGGCCAGTACTGGAACCACTAAGTCACAGTGCAATTGGTATGTGTTGCAATTGCAAATGAGGGTATAAGCATAGAATTGTAGAAGAGTAGAGTTGGAAGGGGCCAAGAAGGCCATCTCGTCCAACCCCCTGCTGTTGCAGGACACCATGTTGCACCATCCCACTCAGAGGGCTGTCCAGTTTCGTTTTGAATGTCTCTAGTGTGGGAGATGAGAAGGAAGGACTCCCTGGAGAAGACCCTAATGCTGGGAACAACTGACGGCAAAAGAAGAATTTTGCCATCTGGACCCATTTCAGTCCGGCTTCAGACCCGGGTACGGTACTGAATCTGCCTTGGTCGCCCTGTACAATGACCTGTGCAGGGAGAGAGACAGGGGGAGTGTGTTCCTGTTGGTTCTCCTGGACCTCTCAGTGGCTTTCGATACCATCGACCATGGTATCCTTCTGGATAGGCTAGTGGGATTGGGGGTCAGAGGCACTGCTTTGCAGTGGTTCCGCTCCTATCTCAATAGCCGATTCCAGAAGGTGATGCTGGGGGACTATGGCTCTGCGCCATGGCAGCTATGCCATGGAGTACCACAGGGCTCCATTCTATCCCCTCTGCTATTCACCATCTACATGAAACCGCTGGGAGAGGTCATCAGGAGGTGTGGGCTGCAGAATCATCAGTACGCTGATGATACCCAGCTCTACCTCTCGTTCTCTACCAATCCAGGTGAGGCAGTGGCTGTACTGTACCGATGCCTGGCCGAGGTAATGGGCTGGATGAGGGCCAATAAACTGAAGCTCAATCCAGACAAGATGGAGGTCCTGTTGGTTGGCGGATCGGGCTTTGGAGAGGGTGAATTGAACCTAGTCCTGAATGGGGTTGCACTCCCTCTTAGGGACAAGGTCCGCAGCTTGGGAGTGCTCCTCGATCCAGAGCTTTTGCTGGAAGCTCAAGTAAAAGCGGTGGCGAGGAGCGCTTTCTTTCAGCTTCGGCTGATCCATCAGCTGAGCCCCTACCTGGAGAACAACTGCCTGGCGACAGTGACACACGCGTTGGTGACTTCCCGACTTGACTTCTGCAACGCGCTCTGCATGGGGCTGCCCTTGAAGACGGTCCAGATACTTCAATTGGTGCAGAATAGAGCTGCCAGGTTGCTGACGGGGACTGGGCATTGTTTTCATATAACCCCAGTTCTCCGTCAGCTCCACTGGCTTCCGATTGAAGTCCGGACCCAATTCAAGGTGTTGGTTATGACCTATAAAGCCCTAAATGGCTTGGGACCTGGATATCTAAAGGAACACTTGCGTCCATATATGCCCTCCCGCCCCTTGAGATCAGCAACGGATGCCCTTCTCCGGGAACCCTCCGTGAAGGATATTAGGAGGGTAAGTACCCGGAGGAGGGCTTTCTCTGCGGTGGCGCCCAATCTATGGAATGCGCTCCCCAGAGAGGTCCACCTGGTGCCGTCGTTATTTGTTTTCCGGCGCCAGGCAAAGACCTTTTTATTCAAACATTATTTTACTTGTTAATATTATTTATTTATTTATTTATTTATTTATTTATTTATTTATTTATTTATTTTATTCTTGGCCAGGTTGACTCAAATTGTATTGTTTTTATATTGTGTTTGTTTATTATTGTGAGCCGCCTTGAGGCTTCAGCAAATGGGGTGGCATAGAAGCCTCCTAAATAAATAAATAAATAAATAAATAAATAAATAAATAAATAAATAAATAAAGGGACGGCAGAGGATGAGCTGGATAGATGGAGTCACTGGGGCAGTGGGTGTGGGCTTAAGTGGACTCCAGGGGATGGTGGAGGACAGGAAGGCCTGGAGGAATGTTGTCCATGGGGCTGCAAAGGGTCAGACACGACTTCGCAACTAGCAACCAAGTGTGGCAGAGCCCACCACCTTTCCAGGCAGTATGATTGATTCTAGTAGGGAAGCCACAGTGCCTGCAGCTTTCTGGGGTAATTTTCCACCGCTTGTTCAACTCGGGCTGTCTCTGCTGAAGGTGGCGCCTCATGCCATAGCTCCCAGCCTAGCTCCAGCTCCAGCAAAGCTCCCAGCCTAGCAGCCCTCTAAGCTCAGTTTTAAAACCTGCCTCCTGACCACAAAGCCCAGTTTGGATACAGTATTTTGTGACTATGGGGTGACGTCTTCCATGTAAAATACATGATACTGCTGTGTCCTGAGTGTAATTTGTTTCTGGTGGGAATTCCTTGGGTTCTACTTTATGGAATCTCCCATAACCAAGATGGGGGGAAAGCATGGATAACAAATTGCCTCCCACACTTTCATCTACTTGGAGTTGTGAAAATCATTTCACGAGGCAGACCGTATGTCTGTCAAAACATGTTAAAACTGAGTTCAAATTTGGGGTGGCCTTAATATAATCCTAGCCACTATTTCGAGCAAAAGCACCATTGCAGTGGTACCTCTGAATTCCCATTCGAACAGAGCGTTAGTTCTTTCCTTTGAAAACACTCCATCGGATGAAGAATGCCAGCCATGTGAAAAGAAAGCCAACTGGACGCGAGTTCCTACCTTAATCACTTGTTTGATACCATTGATGCTCATGTTCATGAAAGATTTCAGCATGTCGTCATCATTCAGATAGTCTGCGTATCTCACACACATGAAGAGGATGTGAGCTGGGAGTCCCGGTATCATATTAACCACTACCCCACGAGGCTTTAGATCTGCATGTGTCCAAGAACCAAGCGATATGTTTTGTTATATAGAAAATGATTCTGCATGTCAGCCCAGTTTAAAAGCAAATGAAACTATGTTCAATTAATTTTCTTTCCCTCCCACCATTTTTTACTTTAATCTGATGCCACCATTTTAAATAAGTGTACCATGGACCCCGAAATAAGAAAGTTAACAAAACCCACTTGTTTTTTCCCTATTTCACTGTTCAGAGACCATTTATATCAAATTCTGCTCATTGATTAGTACAAATTAAATACAACTGCCCTTAGACAGTCCTACTATAAAAATGCAGAAAAACTGCCTAAGCTGAATGAAAAACTGCCAAATTACAAGTCCTTTCACAGGTAACAAAATAATTTTAAGCTACTTTAAATTTAGACAGTCTGTAAGTGTATTACAAGTAATCTTCTCTAAGAAAAAAGAAATTGTGTTAGAGAAAGCATATAAAATGTGAATTATTATTATAAAGTATATAAACATATTACTGGTGAGATTTACAGATTGAAAATGAATGGGAAATGAACTATAAAGAAGCAGAAAATTAGTTTGTGGAGGCATAAATAAATTACACCTCTCAGAAAATGAAAAGAGAGGACAGGTTTGCAGAGGCTGTTCAGTTTTGTACAAGGAGAAGGGGGTGATCATAGCTGGGGCATAATTTTTGCAGGGTCTCTGGTGAGTGGATTTGACGTTTTTGGGACTAGTTTCTGAAGGCCATTCAAAGAAAAAAAATGCTGTAAGCACAACAAGGAAAAGATTTCCATAGAGCTGGCACCAAGGGAACAATTATAGGCATGTTTAGGCAGAAAAAATCCTATACTTCCCACCACTTCTTAACACAACTATGCCTGCTGGGGAAAGTTGGAAGTTGCTAGACTTTTTGCTATCTAAACACGCATCAGACTGCACCCCAAACAGTTTAATTTCGAGCACCATTTCTAACAAATAACTTACAGGAAGAGTAAATCTGAGAAGGAAAAAGAAATTCGGGAGCCTGGAGTCTTCCAAGTGCTTAGCTTCAAGAAAGAACAGTTTGGAAAAGTTGCAGAAAAAAACAAAGATATGAGACATATTTTTCAGTGCTATTCCAAAGCAGCCTGAAACACCATAGTGACTAGTACAGTGCAGTGTTTTCAAGGAGACAGACGACAAGAAAGAAGGAAAGAAAAACTTTGATAACTATTTGGTGTTGCTTATGACTATACTTAGCTAAAATGTTACCAAGTACCAAGAATCAAATTCTGAACAATTCTTGCTTCATCTTCCTTTCTGTACTGCAACATTCCAAGATATTCTTCCATCATGGATGACGCAGGCACTTCATTGGCTGTTAAATATCAACAAATGTTTACTGCCAGAAAAAAATCCTCACTAGCATTTGACTTTGTTTTAATGTCTAAGAGACAAATCATGGTGTGACAAATAATTTACAGACATTTCTCCTGTACCAAGTACAAGACCAGCCCATTTTGGCACGGCAGCGATGGCCAACGCTACCGAGATGCTGTCACAAAACAGTTTTGGGTTTGGGTCAGCATAAAAGCGCAGACACCATGACGGCTCTCTGTGAATCACAGTCCGCAAGCCGGCATTGGTACATATGCAACGGTATTTGTGGCAATCAGGTAACCCGACTCAAGATGCGTGTTTCCTTGCCTGCCCTTTTCCTTTCTTGCTTTAGGCATAATTTAGTATCACCTGTAAAGACACTAGGGAAACAGGTGGCTCAGTGGTTTAGCTCCTGCCAACCTTGCAATTCGAAAGCATGCAAATGCAAGTAGATAAAAAGGTGGGAAGGTAACCTCGGTGCCTAGTCATGCCGCCACATGACCACGGAGACTGTCTGCGGACAAACGCTGGCTCCCTCGGCCAGGAAACGGAGATGAGCACCGCCCCCGAGAGTCAGGCATGACTGGACTTTAATGTCATGGGGAAACCTTTAGCTTTATGAAGACACTAAGTGTGCGTCTGTAAATCAGGAATTCAGATGATGTTTTGAAAATGATTTGCAACTGTGTTTTCAGGGGACTGTGGCGCGTGCTTGTTTGGTTAATGCTAACCTAGCAGTAGCACACATGAAATAGAAAGGGAGGGGAAGTTGGGTCTAGACACGGCAATGGGTGTGCCTCAGCAAAGAAAGCCACTAATTTAAAAAACATGGTGTACAGGCAAGCAGCATTGTATTTGGCCCAGATAAAGAGCAGCTTTGGCTCAAAGTCCATTCCTTCTAGCATTTGATAGCAAATCATCCCTAAAAGGATTTTAACTGACAAGGCAACAGAGTGGGAGGAACTTGTTCCTAAAAGCTCCCAAAAATTTGATTATAATGTCGGTATCCTTTTCCATATAGTATCTAATTCAAAGCTTCCAAGCATATACTACAGGCACTCACCGGTTTCTAAAGACTTTCTAAGAGTGTTGATCTGATCCTGAAGTTTCTTTATCAATCTGTCTTTCTTATCCAGCTCTTCCTCTAGATCCTGTAAAGTCCAATAGAGTTGAGGGAAAATGGTCCTTATGAATTGGCAGATCCTCATTTCATCTATTACAGAATGTTGAAGCCACTCAAGTGTATCTCTACATGCAGGATAAAATTCTAATTTCTTACTGACCAATACTAGTCATGCTAGAGAAAGTATACTATTACTTGTGCTGGACAGGAAAATCAAGATTTGAAGCACAAGGCTAGAGGGGGAAGACTTGGGCCACAGGAAAAAGCTTGCAGAGTAGAGGTTCCCATTCCCAGAAGTGCTTCCTGTCCTCACCGTATTTTCCATGGTAAGGTATGCCAGATCCTGCCGTATTTTGTCCTTGGTTTCATTCTCTCTTCCAAGTTGTTTTGCAATGTGAACATTTGCCTCCTCGAACTCTTCAAATGTGCCCATCAACTTTTCTTTTTCCTTGGTGAAAATTTCATTTTGAACTTGTAATGCTCTAAAAAGCATTAAAATGTGTTAGTTTGGGGGGCAGGGTTGTACATAAAGCAAATTCCTGTTATAACATTGTTCTACTTTCCAGCCATGTGAAGCTCATGCACACTTTCCCTTCTTGCCTTCTTTGGAAACTAGGGGCTTATGTACCCTCATTCCTTTAAAAAGGGGATGATCTGCAAAAGTCAGCATGTGACTGACCTTCATGGCAGGGAACTGAATTAATCATGATCATGTGCTAATTGCAGCCACTCAAATGGCTGTTGAAAGGAGAACGACAGGGGGTGTTTTTTAATGGTTGACCATCCTTTGAGAAGTCTGTGGCAATTTCTCACTAAAGAACCAACATATATTCATTTTAGAACTTTACTATTTGAGGTCTAGCATCCAGCTAAACTATGGTCGACATGTTTTCAGTAGTACACTAACATAAAAGTAGCAAAACTGCAAACGGATTCAATTGCTTATACCTTCTTTGTGGTCCTTCTTCTTCCATGTTTTGACGCAAGAGATCTGATATTTCTTCCATTTTCTCTTTAATAATAGGGAACATAGTGTTACTTTGCCAACCTAGACTGGAATTTTGCTGCTTTAATAGGTTAAAAACAACCTACATTCTCATATTTTGCAGGTGTGTAAGCAGGGGCTAAGAGCATTGGCCAGGAATGCTGCAGCTTCATGATTCCTGCATTGAGGAGGCTAGTCTAGATGACCTTAAAAGTTTTTTTCAACTCTAGAATTCTGTATTTCTAGAAAAGAGGCTAGAGAATTCATAATTGTGTTGTGTTGTTTTTATCTTGTGTTGTGAGCAACCCAGAGATGCTGTGGCACAACTGGGCGGCACACATATGTATTAAATAAATAAAATAATTCAAGGTCCCCCTTTATACTAACTAGAATCTTCCCTGATTATGACAAGGAAAATATGAACCCACAGCTGCCTATTAGACAGAAAGAGACAGGAGAAACAATTTTAAAATGGAAAACTATGTTGTAAAATACTCTCTATTTATATCAGTAATATGCTGGTAGCAGCAGCTTCCACAGTCCATAAAATATACAAAAATAGTATGAATTACTCAGCAAGGCTGATAATACTTTATACAAAACATCAAACAAGAAAAACATTATTTTAAAGAGCATTAAAACATGCTGCATAATATCTGCATAATATAATGTTTATTATCCAAAACAAAGGTTATATCTGAAAGCCAGCATAAACACCTTAAAGAATTTAGAATTATTTTGTTATATGCACAATAATCATCATTTCCTGATTCCTTGGCCACTTCAGCCAACTTGCAACAGCAGCCAAAATAAAAGTAGCCACTCGCTTTAGGATTCTAGATTTTTTTATCTCACCAAAATCAATAGCTGTAAGCACTTTAAGCCCTGTGATAAGGCATTCTAGGGTACAATCCTGCTATAATGTATGCATTTAATCAATTCCCTGTACAGCCAATTATATGGATTTTAACTTGTTTTATCTATGTTGTAAGCCGCCCCGAGGCTTCGGCGAATGGGGCGGCATAAAAATGTTTTAATAAATAAATAAATAAATAAAGTCATTAGAGCAAGCTACACTACTACAAGAAAAATCTCATGTCCCTGCCTCGATCTACCAAAGAACTTGAATACTAAGAAATATATACAATCGAAGCAACTTTTTATTACGTGTAATGTAAAAAGAGCAACATTGAACATACAAAAAACGGTGCCTAGAAAGCTTCATTCAGTACTGGAAGCTGCTTTAGTTGATTTGCCTGGCCAGAGGTGGACAATGGGTAGCCTTCCAGATGTGCTGGTCTACAACGTACATCGAGCCATTGGCCGGAGGGGCTAGGCTGAAGGGCAAGACATCTGGAGGGTCACCTGTAGCCCACCCTTTTTTCAGGCTATTGTTATCTCCTCTGCATAGCAGCGGCTCCCCAGGCTTGCAGATGGGCTCTTCCCCAGATTTGTCTTGGGGATTCTTTTAACCAGGGATGCCAAAGATTAAACCTGCACCACTGGTACACGCAGGATGTGCTCTGCTACTCAGCTGCAGCCTTTCTTACCAAAAGGTTCCAAAATAGGCCATTACCTTTATTCTTGGCAACTTCATCTTGAAGACAGTTTTCAAGATCCATCTTCTGCTTCTGAAGCTCAAAGATCTGCTGCTTGAGATCTGGGATCATCTTTGCAGAAAAGGAAGAAATATTCAAATACCACGGAGTCCCACCCACCTATCTTTGCTGATTTCCAAGCTTCTGTGCACCTTTCCCATGCTACAACTTTGAAATGCCCCAACTTAGAGAATGGCAGCTCCAAGCCTGTGACATGTCTGTATCTTTGGTCCCATTCCTTGCACCATTGCCGAACTGACTACCTGCAAAATTCAGAAGCAATCTGTTTCAAGAAGATGTTTCTAAGTTTCATAATGTTTAAACCTCACCATGTTTTCCGAAGTTAGTCGGGTCACTTGGAGCCGAATACTGTCGTTTATGTCATTTTCCTCCCTGAACAGCTTCTGTAAGTGGTTTATTTCTTGACTAAGATGTTCAACCTTAGAATTAAGACCTTCTATCTCCCTTTCATAGTTTTCTTTCTGTGACTGGAAATGGTTTTCCAATACTCTGTTTAAGGAACAGAATTAAACATTTAATAGTAAAATTAGTCAATATCTCTTTAAGATTAAAAAAAAATCAAAAATAAAGCATTTTGAGTACTACAAATTGAAGGGCACAGTCCTACGTATGTTTAGAGAGAAAAATGTAACTGAACCCCCAGCATTCCCCGGAGAACAGAGAGAGGAATTCTGGGAGTCGTAAGACATCTTCTGTCTGAACATGCATAGGACTGCACTTGGTTGCTTTTCTGTTTTGCTTGCATGAGAGGCAGCTGGTCAAGAAGGTTAAGATCAGTTGATTAGATCAAACTCCCAATGTTTCCAGACTAAATATCTAGTATTAAAGGAAAGAAAGGAAAACAGTGTATATAACCTAGAAACTGCTGGAAGAAAAATGTTCAGCATAAAACCTTCTGATGATAAAGAAAAGGCTTTTTCAAACACATCCCACACAACAGAATGACTATTAAACCTGCAGCTTTGTCAGCCCCTTGTTTTCTTATCAGAACATGTGAATTTTGTTTGGCTGGGTCAGGCGCTTGGCCATCCATCCTGGGACTTGCTACCATGACTGGATGCTGTTCCCCAAGGCACAGCCCAAGTGGCCTTCCAAGTTTTGTGACTGTAAGAGGGAATCTGGGTTTCTAAGGCTCTGTTTTATGAAGCTTCAGAAAAAGACAGGGTTTTCCAGGGTTCTACTTATGCATGCCGTGCGGCTCAGCCACTCAATAGCCCCTTGGCCAACAGAAGAAATTTGAACTGTGACTTTACAGATGCTGCCCCAGCCGTTTGGGGTCAAGAGTGCCAGGGCCAGTCGTCCCCTGCTTGTGTTTCCAAGCCAGGAACCCCTGAAAGCAAGAAAGCCAAATGTGGCTCCATGAAATACATGGGGCAGTCGTTTATTTGCAAGGCTGAATTTTCCAAAAACGCAGTCAGTTAAAAGCATTTCCCCACTGAGAGTATACAATCCTGGTCCACAATAGCTTCCACCAACAGCAGTCGACTATACCGATGGTTCCTTAGGATGAAGCAAAATCAAATCAAAACCCCGGCCAAATAACAGATCATGAAGCTGACCTTGTGGCTTTTTTAAGGCCTTCGTAGGCAAACCAGAGTTCCCCATCTTCATTTAAATGCTCCAAATCTTCAGGAGACAATCTATTACAAGGCAAAAGAGAAGTGGGGGAAACTATGGAGAAAATACGCCAAACGAATATGAGATTGGTAAAATAACGTTTAAAGCAGATGCCGTTAAAAGGCAGCGGAGTATCTGTACCTGCTCCTTACATCTGCAAAGTCATAGCTCTCCCGAAGCTGCCTTATGATGTCCGACATCTTGTCTGTAAATAAATGATCCCATGTGAGTGATGAGTTACCACTTCGGAAGCACCGTCATGCAGCCGCATTTCACTTCGACCGCTCACAAAATCTGAGCTGATGACCGATACACCATCGGCCCAGCCCTGTCCAAATTACCTCTCATTTCCCGCTTCTGGTACTGCAGTTGCTTCTCCAGATCCAGCTTCTGAGTCTGAATTAGTTCAATTTCTTTTTGCAGTTCGGGGATTATCTAAATTCAGCAAACATTTAAAAATGAGATACAAACCAATGGGACAAAGTGAATAGCAGAAACAAGGAGATTCTGAGACTGAGATTCTGAGTTTAAGGCATGCTTGTGTGGATTCAGAGATCCGATTTGCATGTAGCATTGGTAAATCATGGATTAACCGGAGGTTATTCCGTGACTTATGAACCCAAACAATGTAGGTTAATCAATAGCTACTTGGATACTATATTACAAATTGGGACAAACTATTCTAGCCTTCAGCTATGCACCAAAATACATGTTCCTCACTGTCTGGAGAACAAACTGGAGTATATTCCAGTTATAGAATCTATCACAACTACAGTAACTTCTTCCCTCCCCACCCACCATTGAATTCAAAATGTCTGAAAAATCATTCAAACCTTGTTTATTGTTTAGAATACATTTTATGTTTTATGATTTAATGTCCTGTATTGTGACCTGTTTCCAGCTTTTGGAACAGGATAAAAATATAAACAAAAAGGGAGATTCCCTTCGGACATTTTTCTGTACAAGGCCTGCCAGATGGAATCAGTGCAAAGTATGTGACACAGAGCGTATCCCTCAATTTACACAGTAGGATTTCCTAGTGTAGAAAGAGCCCAAAAATAGGCAACAAATACAATTACAATGTTCAATGTACAGGATTGCTTGGCATTTTTTGGTCATACTAGTAGCAAGTGTTAATTTACACCTGACTAATATTTATTAGCCCTAGCAAAAGTCTAAATAATTCCCCTACCTTTACTTGGTTCGTAAGTTCTTCTACTTCCATTTTTAATCCATCCTGAATCTGTTGTTTTTCTTGAACTTGTTTTTGGTGCTGAACATTTTCTTCTTTGAGAGATTTTATTTCTGCCTTTAGCAACTCGATTGTTTTTTCATAGTCTTGCTTCTGGTTGTGGAAACTTTTCTCAAGAATTCTGCAAAGATTCAAAAGAAATCGCAGATTTTTCTCCCCATATCTCTAGGTGCAAAAAGTGTTAATTAATAAATAGCTGGGGATCCCTGATAGTGACAATATAAGATTAGAAAATGTTCTAATTCCAGAGGGAAGAGGCTCATAAACATAATTTTGCTGTCTAGTCTACTATTTTTAAGTAACAAAAGAAGCACAGGGTGCCCTCTAGGCTCCTGAAATGTAATGACAGGCCTGAAATCTTAGCTTAATTTCTGTTTTTATTTCTGTGAATACTTATTTCTTCATCTGAGCTGTTGGAAGAACAGCACATAAATGTACTCAGACTTTCATTTAATGACATGCAGGTGGCGTATAGATTCATGAGTTGGAGAACCTGGAATCTAACACATTTACACAATCCAAAGGAATATCAAGATTCAGTTCTGCAAAATGTTTCTGCTTAATTCAGATGGAGTAGTTAACTTTCTCAGTACTGGGGCCAAACTCTTAACTTAGTAAGGTACATTGTCAGGTTGACCAGACTATCTAAATTTACTACCTCCAGCTAATGATTTTTATTCCTTTAACAGATACTTAATTATTTTGCAGAATAACAAAATCAAAGAATATAAGAAAACTGCCATTTAAAGTAACAAGTCAAACTCCATACATTCGTTGCTTTTCTTCTTTCTGAACATCAGCAAAAAGCTGTTTCGTCAAGGCATCCATTTTATCTGCAGAAAGATAATGTTCTTTGAAAAACTCATGCAGAATAAAATCATATCAACAAGCATCATAGGCTGTAGACTAATAAGCAAAATTAACAAGGCTTTCTCATTTTAAATGAGTATTACAAAGTAATTCACAACAACTAGGATAGAAGGCAAAGGAGTCTGGAAAAGCCAAAATGCTACATATGTGAAAATCAGTTTTCAGGTTAAGAAACTACAGTAAAACCAAGATGCAGTTTAGGAGCTGCAACATTTAGGAGGATTTAGGAGCTGCAACATTTCCCTGCTTTTTTGACACAAAGTCCTCCAATGTTAGTTTCATATCATGATGTTCAATCCGCCAGGGAGCAGCCTGGTGTATCCCATTCATTTCCGTGAGCTTGCACAGAAAAACTTCTTAACGAACTACGCCCACCATCTGTCATAGGCTGCTAGTACAGCAGAGAGTACATTCCATCATCCTTGCTTGCAGAACAAGCTTTGCTCTGCATCCAGCTGCCAATCCTCCAGATCTTGTTCATGGCTTCAAAGTGACCCAATAAGCGTGGGAGCCATTGTCACGAAAAAGAGGGTAGCAACACAGACCCAAAACATAGAGAGGAAGATTCCAAAAGGCAGAACATAAATGGAACATAAGCTCCCAGTGCATTCTGGGAAAGTATCTTCCTCTTTTCTGTTAACACCAAAAGGACCTACTAACATCACCCTTATTTCTGCAATAACTCCAGACTGGTCAGAATCATCACACCTTTCATTTCCTCAGTTTTCTCTTGAAGTTCCTTTTCTAGCTGCCTCTTCTGTTCTTGTAACTCCGCATGGTGATTTTCAAGTTTTGTGACCCTCTGAAAGGAAGAAGTAAAGACAGGAAAACATCTGGCATCTGTCAAAATACTCCAGATCTTTAGAAGCACCCACTGATTTCCACTCATGAATGGTTGCTCCCAGTGTTAATCCTGCTTATTGCTCCTAGTTAGTTCTCTGTATTTATAGGTCCCTCAAGATTAACCTGTTCGTAGTCATCTCTTTGCTTCTTTTCCTTTTCTTCATATTTTTTCTTTTGCATGGTTAATTTTTCAAGATCCTTCTGAAGCTTCTGAATTGTTTCTACATCGCTGGAGTGGTTTGAGGCTAGAGTAGTCAATCGTTCCAGTAGGTTGTGATTCTCTTTATTCTAAAATTAATAAAAAAGAGCATTAGAGCAGGTGCAAATAACATTATAAGTCTGTAAAATAAAATAAAAATATCCCTTTCAAAGTGAATAGCAAGAGCTGTGCCCAGAATGACAGGTGTGCCCACCTGGTTTTTAAAAATGGTCCAGGATCTGCACAAACCACTCGGCCTCAGATGTCACCTGAAGGAACACCTTTGAGTACAAATGAATTTGTAATCCTGGTACTGGGTTGCATAGTCCTACTTAAGAGCAAACCCACTGAAATGAATGGGACTTAAGTTACTCAGGACTATTCTATGTAGGACTAACATTAGATGCAACCGATTATTCTGATATTTAATACTGTGACTATTGTGAACTATGGATATAAATTGTAGGATTGAGAGACTTTTGTATACTACTGAAAATATTTGCCTTTAATTCAATAAACCTTGCAGGTGGCTCACACAATTTATAATCAGTTAAACAGGAAATTGAAAACGCTACCTGGAAAAAATTGTACTGAGAAAGAAACAGGCAAGCAATGCAAGAAGCAGATTCAAAACTCACACATGCACACGTGCGCGCGCACACACACACACACACACACACAAAGCAACAATCAAATACCAAGGAAAGTAGAGCTGTTTCCATCTAGCAGATGACAACTGAAGGAGCACTGGTAGAATAGAAACCCTAAACAGGGCATAAGGGATGGAAAGTCCCTATTTTCTGATGGCTAACTCCCAACCTCTGAAGAGGGAACCTGCAAAACGGAGCCTCAGAAGAAGACCGCATGGAACAGGGCAGGGGTATTTAATGGCCCTATTAACATAATAGGAACCCCTGTTTATAGAAGCAATTCATTCCATAGCAACCCTGTTTACAGAAGTGATCAATCACCGATTAATTTATGATCTAAAATGTTTCATTAGAGTAACATATACAGACCAATTTCGTAAAGCATTAACAGATATTTCTTAACTACCTGGTCTTCCAGCTTTTTCTGCAGTCTCTGTACTCGGTACGAAAGCTGAATATTCAGCACGAAACGTCGAATATTCTGAAATCTACGTCTAGCAAGCCAAGCCCGGGCATATTTCTGCAGGACTAAAGCTTTATGTTCTTCAAGCATCTTTACAAGAAAATATAGAAAACACCTAGTCATTTAATACCTAGTGATTTAATTGTGCTCTGGGAAGACATTTAACTTTCATAGGCTGAGATTGTAACAGAGCAAAGTAGTGAGGAAATATAATCAGCATGTTAAGAACACAATACACAAGCCAAAATGCCCCAGCAGTTGCGCTGTGACATCTTCATGAAGCCAACAGATGGTGAACAATTTAGATACCACAACTTCATTCCCTTATTACAGCTGACACATTCCTCAAAGTCTTTTCCTTGAAATTTTAAATTATCTTTTTTATTTTTATTTTCTTAACATATACAAGTACATAGAAAAAGCAGAATGTATACAAATGTATACAAAAACAGAGAAAAAATGTAGAATAGAGAAAAAAACTAGTATAAACAGAACAAACAAAATAAACAGGATTGCCAAGGGAATTTCAAACAGATACAGCCTATGTTACAACCCCCAAACTGACTCTCTTTCTTCCCATGCTTGATGAGAGTTTACCAAAAAGAAATCATTATTCTAGAAATTTTGAATTATCTGTACCTTTCTGTATTTCCTCCTTGCGAGAAATCCTCGGGCAAATGCCTGGATTGTCAAGGCCGCCACCCGGATGAGCTGGCAAAGCTTGCGCACTAGGTATCCTCGGCAGTACTTCTGAATGGTGATAGCTGCCCAGGCTTCCTTCAGGGCAGTCGCAGTTACGGCTTTTCTAGAGATGAAAGAGGAGCACTCTTAGCACCTGAACTCAGCTCCCTTCACGGACCTTCCTGGGATCGCTTCACAGACGCCTGTTTGCTTCTACAGGGTAAGTGCAGACAGAGCACCCCTGCTCCACCTAATTTCTAAGAAGCCATTTATCTTTAACGAAGATGCTATTCTCCTGCATCATTTGTATTTGGGATTTGGAAGCCAGATTCTCCTTTTGACTTGTGCTTAGACTGCTGTGCAAATTACTTTTCTTTTCAAGTAACTTTTTGTGACCCATTTTTATAGGAAAATATTTTTCTCATAGATCCCCCGACAAGCAAAAAGGGAAAAAAATGACAATTTGCCTCCTGGGAAATGAGGAGTTTGTGACCAGATGTGTTCATCCTGGCAGCTGTCTTATGAATGGGCAAGCTATCCCCCATGGCGGCCATTTTGTGAGAGTGTCCATAACCCAACATTGCAAATGTGTCCCTTAATCCCAAAAGACTGAGGACATCCTTGCCATGTATTAGCTCATGTATATCCAGCAGGTGTATTTGTTTTGTCACAAATATTTAAGTCAGGAAACCAAACATTCAGGTCAGAAGCACCCTGTGGACCAGTGTAGGAGGAGGAAAGGAGCACTTAAAAGTTTAGTTAATAGGGTAATCCATTCAAAAACTGAACTATGTCTGAGAAAACATGCTCCGTAACTGTGAAGGCAATGCACCAACTTTATTAGAAAGACTGAGCATATAGGACGGTTAGTTGAAACAACAAAAAAATGTATTTGGCTCCAGGTTTTCCATCTAGAAAAGAGATTGGCTCTGGATTTCCAGGATAGAAATAGGTCATTTTCAGCCCTGAGACACATCACTTTCTGCATTGCTATATGTACAGCTCACCCATCCCCACATAGTGGGTACTTATTCTTACAAAACTAACTCACAATTTTGGAAATCTATTCAGAAAGCATTCTGTTAGGTCCCACTATTCAGTTATTTGTGGATATACAAATACTGTATATGAAGCAGAACACATGCTTGTCTAGACTGGAAAACGTTTTCCTGTAGTTACAGGGAGATGGAATTCTGGGCAAGATTCCTCTTTTCTCAGTAGCAAAGTTTTCCCCTGACATTACCGTACAGTTCGCTGCCCTCGGAAGTACTGCTGGATTATAATCGCTGCTTGTCGGACTTGTAGGAATTTCTTTCGCTGTAACCACCCTCGGATGTTCTTCTGAATCACAATACATGCTTGCCTCAATTTATCCGAGCGCAGTTTTTCCAAATAAGCCACCTGTCCTGACCTGAAGAAAATTTTTGTTTTGCCAAATTGATACTGGCTTGGGTCCTGGAGAAAAATCCAGAGTGATAGACATGTTAAATATATTTAAAACACTCCAGCAAAGTTTTCACTGTAGCCTTCAGAAAGCAACAGGACAACACGGAGGCTAACAGGGTATGTTTATGTTCATTGCCAGATGCCAAATGAATTCTGGGTGTATTAGTGGAAGTTGCTGCCTGGGATTCCTGACTCATTACAAAACTTCTGACCTGGATTAAGCGCTGCAGAACAATCTTGCAAATTTGTTTCTTATCCACGAGAGACAGTTCGTGCTGAGCCATGAGAATGCTGTAGCGGCTGTAAAACTCAATGTAAGTCCATCTGTGAAATTAAAAGGCAAATATGTTCATGAAATAGATATAAATGCTACAAACACTCGAACCCATAGCTACTGCAACATACCTAGATGGGTAACTCTGAGAACTAAGCCGAATTGTTTCTAAAACTCCACATGCTCTCAGTTGCTGAGTCACTCTTTTGCAGTCAAACCTAAGGGACCAAATTAAAACAGTTATTTTCCATCAGATCCATTAATAATTTTGTCCTACAAGCTGTATACCTTAATGGGAGCTTTTAGCAAGTGACCAAAAAGTAAGTTACATCTGAATTTTACCTAATGAATTAACTGGAATGCAGATGCCTAGCCACCTTCATTCTCATGACTAAATTTGTTTATAATATTAAGCATAATATTACATTTCTACTGAATAAATATACTCACTCAAATGCTACCTTCTCGTCATTTGGTTTTATGCATCGCACATAATGAGGAGTGGTTGCATTTAGCGTTTCCATTAATAAATATAAGGAATTGCGGAACTGGAAAATATTAAAGCAAAAAAGAAACTGTCTACTTCAAACTTTCCAACAAAATAAGAAACTTCAGTGCTATCTTGGTACTGTAATGACAATTGGTACTGCTTAGGACAATCCCAATATTTCAGCAGGCCGTTTTACAAATCAGTTATCTATGCATGTATATATTCATCTGATTGGGGCCCCACCCTTCCAGCAAGAAAAGGGGAGTTTACAATGTTAAATAAAACATCCTGAACCCCATCTCAGAATCCCACTATGAGTAAGGAAATGAAAGCAGGGGAAATGGCTCCTCCAACACTCCTTGCCACACCAACACTGAGTTCAGACTGTTCCAAACCGTGGGAAAGGGGTCGGTCCTGTTTCCTCTTCCCTTTCACCAGCCCTCCATCCGGCAGCTTCAATATGGACATGGAGAACCACCCTTTTTATATATCATGGGTGGAAAATCCCAGGCCAAATGTGGGCTCCAGGGTCCCCCAGACCCCTACTTTTCCCACCCCCTGATCATCTGGTGGCTTCCTGCTATTTATGCATTTTCCTCCATTACAAAAGGTTGACCTTCCTCTCCCAAGGTTTAGCTACTGGCAGTAAGAGCTTTAAACAACACAGATATTTTTGGTATTTTGGCTCTGGCCCTTTGTCCCCTCCCTTTGCTTTCAGTCATGTTCACCTCTGAATATGGGCTCCTGTAGCTTTGTGCCAATGGGGCTGAAAAAGATCTTTTACTCTGGGTATCTATGAAAGCGATATCAACTTGCCAAGAGAAGAGAAGTGCTGAGAGCCAAAAACTAGAAGCATCGGAGATGATCAAATTCTGAGTTAGGTCCAGTCACTATGTGATTGTGGACCGTAGATTTCCCATTCCATCACAGTGCTGAACCGAGAGGTCAGAAAGTTAGTGAGGGATAGAGGAGAGAGTGTCAAACTATGGTTGGGAGACCCCCGTTCAAATGCCCACTTATTCACAAGTGTTATTGGGTGACTCTGAACCAGTCAACGCACACAGGTCGCTGGGATGATACAATGCGGAGAGGTGTAAATGCGGTCAGCAAACGGAGAGGTGTAAATGCGGTAAGCAAACCAAACAAAATGTCCGCCATCTATTTCTTACCTTATTGCCCACCGTTGTGCGAAACTGTTTATTCGGCGATTTGATCACCACCTTTGCAGACTTAACCTTGATCATGGAGCTGAAGGGGGAAACAGGTCCTGGACTGTCTTGAAAAAAGTTGGCACACAGTTGAAACTAAAATGAGAAAGAAGTTCATTTGGACAGGATTACATTTTTTCCCTAAATTTCTGAAATCTTTTGAGTGCTGAAAGCACAAGTGGAGGAGAGTGAGGTCCACAGAGACCTGCAGAGAATCCATTTGCCTTCCTATTTGTGAATGTTCATGAAGCAGGTAAATAATTAAAAGAACATTTACAACAGGGGACACCGAAGGCTGTTCCACTACAAAATTTCTCTGTATCATAACCTCCCCAAAAGAAGTGACTAACGGACATCGCCAGAGCAAATTATTCAATGTCGCATGAGCTGCATTGCATCACCAATAATTAGCTGAAATATACACTCCGGTGTTGAAGAGACATTGCGGTGTCCAATGGGAAGGAAACAAAAGCTTTTGGTGAATAAGTGACAGCCTACGAACCACAGACATGACAGGTAAGACCCCAGAGCAGCAATCTACTGATCAGACACTTGCTGCCGGCACCCAAGAATTTCTCAAAAATTCCCCAATAAGCTCATGGGCCCAAAAAGCTTGAAGACGCCAACAAAGCTGCTATCGTGAATACGAAGTAATACAGCAGCATATTTACAAACCTTGCTTGTTTTCAGGATTTCAGTCAATACTTCATACACAGTATCTCTGTTTTTCTCCAAAAATCCTTCACTTTTGTACTCCACCTGTGCAAGAAAAGCAAAGTCAGCCATTGCTAAGCAATATAATAAAAAGCCTATAAAAAGGAGAGACATTTCCGTGGCCGTATCCATAGCTAAACTGAAATACCAAAAATGTTGTCTTCAGCTGTGGTCCTTTTTAACCAGAGCATTGAAATATCCCTAGATTTAGCAATTGCAGGTTCCTGGTACAGAAGTATCTACATCCACTTATCCACTAATTGGTGGTTTCCCAGGTCTTGTGTAGCCTTTCCCCATTTCTACAAGGTTGAAATGCCTCTGCTAAGGCTCATCCTGCCTGTCACTGAGCCTTATAGCAAAATAGCCTAAAATAGGAATGTCTGAACGCAAAGAAAGAGGGGGAGAAGAAAGCGCACTGCATCTGATTCTGCTAATGATAGACTACAGTTTCTTGTAATGTCTGAATGAGAACATTCGCAGGAATCCTGCTTTCAGCTGAAACAACAAACCAGAGGAGGTAAAAATAAATGCACTGAAGCTGGTTTTAAAGCCTAGTTACCTTGATACAACAAAATCACAAGTAAGTTGGAACTGCAATGCACATAGAAATTTTCTCCTTGGAGAACAACATGGCTCTCCAAGGAGAAAAAAAGCATCTTCGTGATGGAGAGGTCTATTTGTAGATCACGTGCATATGGAATTTTGGACCAGGATGGCACGTTTATAGAGAATTTGTTCAATGCTGAAGGGTGCTTGCTTTGTTTCTCCCTCTTTCCCATCCCTTTCCTCTTCAGAAGCCCTTTTTGGCTTAGCAGCGAGGAAACAGCTGAATGAAATCTAGGAACACACACGCGTTAGACTGCCAGGATATATTTTCCATGGCTGAACATGATATCTGGGTCTCAACAGGGTGCACCACTTTTACAGGAACCGACATCCCACCTTGTCAGCAAAATGCTGGACTATAAAAGAAGAATTGGACATTCTTGGCTTTTCAAACAGTGGGTTCTTGTTTAGAAAATTGTTATATAACTTCTGAAGCCAGTTTTCATCCGTTCCTTGTGGCAACTGTAAAGAAGTGAAAGAAGAGGAGAAAACATCTAAAGATGTGACCTAACTGTGGAAATTCATTCACTTACTGAGGTTGCTGTTCTGAAGCACAAGGGACCCATACTTGGGGGTCTGGCAACAGGGGCCACGTGTGGTACCCCAGGCCTCCTGGGACACATTCCCGGAGGGGAGATCTAGTGTCTACTGCTTTCACCACTGGTGCAGATGGTCTGAAGATGCTACTGCAGTTATGTGCTCAACGGGGGTTGGCTGGCAGAAGGAGCCATGAGGGTCCCACAGGGTTCAATAAAACAAAGACAGGGAAACTCAGGCTCACGGGCTAACTCTGGCTCACCTGGGCTCCCCATCCAACCTTCTGGGGTTTCGCAAAGACCACACCCCTTTTCTCTGGCCCCTCCCCTTCCTCTCAAGCACCAACCGTTTGGTGCTTCTGGGTTTGCACAGTTTGGTGCTTCCCAGGTTTTGTGCAATGGAGCCTCCTAAGGCTCAATTATGGGTAGCAAGACCATAAACTGGACTGAAGTTTTTGGGTTTTGTTATTTTGGCCCCACCAGTTTTGCCTGCGCTCCTGTGATGGCATGATGCCTGCAGGTACCCTAACCATCCGCGAGAGGCCTGGTGCAGATTACAAGTTTTGTCCAGCATGTTGCATGCAACCTTGTTGTGCAGTCAACATGAGCATGGCCAGTAATGTGGGACAGGGGCTTGTGAACTCTCCATTTTACCCCCAGAGCACACAGCTGAGGTTATGGAGGAAAAGGTGCAGCAGCTTTATTAGCCATTCAGGAAAAAGTGCAGAAAGGGACAAGGGAGGGTCAGTTTCAGAGCACAGAGCAACCACTGGGTTATTTATGTATTGTGTTCCTATAGTGCCCCATAGCTGAAGCAGTCCAGCTGGTGTACCCCTCCGATAAGCTGTCTACCTGGTTCCTTGAAGTTCTATGCTCTCCATGGGAGGGTCCCCGGTGGGTTAAGTTTTTCCACTTTTTCGGGGAAAGTGCACCTAACACCTGCACCTTGGTGCAATCCCCACTGTTCCCCTACTTCCTCAGAGAACTGCACTTCGCACCAGTGCCAAGACAAAGTACACAAACCCCCTTGCCAAGGGGACTATATCCGGTTAGGTCCCACCCTCCTTGCCTGGAGAATCTAGAAAAATCTCTTGTATTTAGCCTGAGTAGAGATCTAAGACTGATTGCAAAAGGGAGATTGTGTTTTCTTGGACCTAAGTAAGATGGAGTCAATACATTCTGATTGATTGATTGATTGACCTATTCTGAGTGAGCCACTCCAGGTGACCATCAACAGGTCTATCCATCCCTGAAAGGTAAGCCCCTGAGCGTTTCTCTGAAACAGATTTTTGCCCTTGGGTGGAAAGAAGCTCCTGGCCCCTCGGACTTTGGCTTGGCTCCTTATCCTGAAATAATTTGTGACAAGGCACAGACTGCGCTCTTAAACGGTCCATCCCTGTCCAGTTCTCCAGACTGCCTGGCCGCAGAGATCTGTAGAGAAGCTCCTAAACATGCAGGTTCTCTGGAGGAGTCACACAGCCTGAAACAATAAGCTTATGCCCAGAAAACCTCTAAGTTAGTTCCTACATGAGTGGGATGCCTTGTTGCAGAAGGAGCAGAAGCAGAGCTGCATTTGGAAGAGATACCAATAAAAATAAGGCAAACATGTCAGTTTGCAACCCGGTCGACTGCGCCTCTACTAAGAATTAAGAACAGTGCAACTAAAAGCACAAAAACTTACCAAACACTCTTCATCCAGTAGTTCTAAAATGCCCATTTTAGCTTCAATAAGGTCGATGACAGGTTGGTTGTCATAAAAGTCAATTAGCGTCCACGGGATATTTTCCTTCATATATTCTTCTTGTTCAAGTTTAAATACATGCTAATAATTACATTGCCAAACATTGTCACAACAAGATCAGCTATTTCATAAGGCACATCCAAAATCAATATTGCTTAACAAAGCAAGGGGCACGTGAAGGTCAAAAGACAGGGTATGCATGTAACCAATCACTAGCTGGGAAATTCATTAAATATATGAGTAGGATTCAATTTTTTTGTGTTTCGGGTTGAATATTAGGTTTGTGCCCGGTCAATAAACCACTTTGGGAGGATACAGAAAGTAGGACTATCTGGATCCAATCCAATGATCCTTGGAAAAGATGTTTGGAAAATTACTTGGGCAGTTACTTCCCCAAAACACCAAGCCGGACCATAATGCAGTGTAAAATAGGTGTTCAGAAACAGAAGCTGTATTACATATTTGAGCTTTAGAATATATAAATCAGAGAACTACAGGGCTAAAATTTCATATTCCAAGGCACCGGGGTCAGCACTCTGTTTTGGACAGAGCATAAGATTCCTGCTAGTCGCATTCCTGCTCAGAGATGAAGAGAAATTTTACATTTCTTGGTGCTTTTAGTCACCTAGGCACTTAGGCATCCTGAATTTTTCAAGCCCTACTAAAAAGGTAAGAAAATGAGCTTAGTGAAATATCATACCAGGTTAAATTGCTGCTGTAGTTTTTCATTGGCATAATTGATGCAAAACTGCTCAAAGCTATTCATATCGAAAGTTTCAAATCTGAAACAAATGTTTGGAAATTTAATAATTAGGTTTTTATTTAATCTAGGGTCATAATTTCCAGTTTTGTTTTGGTTGTCAAGACAGGAAGACCTCTTGGGGGAGGAAAGATCACTTGTTAAAGTAAAAGTCAACAGCAATTTTCAGCAATACTTTTATGCTGTCCACCATTAAATTAAATTCCCAGTGAAGTTTCTCCTTAGACTTTGGATCATGCTGCATGATCCAAGGGTCTTCCATGTTAGGTTAACATACAGTAAGTCCACTCACAACTGCACTAATACCACAATCTAGCTCCATGTAATGGGTCTGGGGGCCAAGTGAAGAAAAGCGTGTGAACTGCTTTCCCCTTATATAAGTCTGCACAGGAGGAGAGAACTCAGCCTCCAAAGAACTGAAAAAGAACAAGTATGAAACATTTTGAATAATGCTGCAAACACCAGAGAAGCAGAGTTCTGCCATGACTTATGATGGGAGCAGGAAACGGGTCATAATCAATACTTAATAAAAGCCTACGAGACTCCCACAGCCTCGTCCGTACTGGATATGCTGTCTGGAAGGAATCCTGCCTTTTACCTAGAACAAAATGCTGTGACTTCAGTGCAGGAGAAATAAAATATTTCTGCAATAGACATTCGAGTTGGAAGGAGAATGTCTGTAAGCAACATCCTACAGGAACTAAACCTACGAATGTGAAATACTTATTGTTCTTCCCGTTTGCCTCTGCCTCTATTTCTCTCCCTCTACTTTGTATCTCTTGCTTGGAAGGGGTCCACCCTCCTCAAGCTTTCCATGCTGGTCCAATCACTAGAAAAGTCTGGGAAAACTTCTGTCTGAAATCCCGCCGAGCCACTAACACTGAGCGTCAACAATATGGTGCTCCTCTTTCTAGACTGCAAGTCTCTTGAGGCAGGGACCTGTCCCCCCATTTCTGGTAAGGTGCCATATAAAGAATAATATTTAAAAAAAACATATTGGTTGAGCAAACAACTGATGATGCAGCAGCATCCTTGACATCTCAGAAGATGTGACAGGTTTTACAACAACTTCAGCAATTTTTAGCCTTCCTTCAAGAGGGGCATATCGATTCAACAGGTTTTGTTTTGCTTCCCCATTCCAAATTTTTCACTGGCAGACTTGCACAAGGAATCTGCAAAAAGAACAAGCTGACTTTCCCAAAAACTTTCCCCTGCCTAAAGGTACTTGAAACCCGACTGAAAGATCCCATGAGTTTCCAAATCCAAAGAAAGTTATTCAAAGATCAATGCCGTTTCAATAAGAGGGTAAATGCTTCCAGCAATATAAAATACCTGAGCCCCGAATTTAGTTCTCTGAACTATTATTCTCACTTTTCACTGCTCCACGCTACTCCTTGAGACAGACTACTTTCTAATCATTTGCTGAAGTAAGGCAAAGTATAAATAAATGTTCACCCTTACCCGTAGATGTCCAAAACACCAATAAAAGTGTGTTGTTTACCAGAAAACTTCAATGCCTTGTTAATTTGTTCCACAATGAAATCGAAAAGATGAGAATAGATCTTTTTTGCCAAGGCATCACGAGCATTAACGGCTTGAAGTTTTGTCATTGGTTTTACTACAGTCTCGGAGGTAGTGATAATTTTTCTGTGGCACAGCCACTGGGCCATTTTGTCACTTTCTAAATCCAGTAGTTCACAAAATATATTAAGATGTTTATCATCCAGCTTTGAAGAACAAGGATAAAGACAAATAATCACCAGGTGTTGTCATCACAAGCAGTGTGCACGATACGACCCTTTCATTCCTATATTACTGACAATTTAGACCATTTGTGCTTCGTGATTCTATTTCTAGAAATAAAACCTTTGCTCTTTAAGTAGAGGAAGTGGGGGAAACTAAAGGCCATGAGGCGGGAGCATGAAGGTCAGAAGAAGGGGGGAAAGGTTTATTATTTGCATTGTATTGGAAAATGAAAAAATAATGACAAAACAATGTTTGATACTTTTAATAGGAAGCATGTAATAACATGCAAGCTGAAGGTTGAAGGGTAGGCTGGCTGTAAAGTTCTCACTCCAGATAGTTTAATCCTCAAAACTCTTACACTACATCCAGAGTCTATATGGCTATCCTTCTATATAGTCTCAAGGCAACATAGTGCTGGAAATTTTGAAATATCAGATTTAAATAGACTGGTATTAGTGCAAAATGTTCAGTGGAAATTGCTCCGGCTTCTGAGGTCCATGGGAGAAATAAGGGAAGAGTAAAGGAATAAGCATAATTCTAATTCATTGGAACAAAGTACATATGTAATTAGGTTGAAGTCAGAAGTCCCAGGGCTGGAATAGACAGTCTCACCCCATAAAATATTTTCAGGGTAAGCAACCCCTTTGAAATATGGAAGGCCCTTGGGAATGTTCCTCCTTATTGAGAAATCATGTTCGGCTATGAAAAACCTAGGTTGAATCCCAACCCTGAATTTGAAAAAGGGCAGGTCGTAACTGTAGATAAGAAAGGAAAATTGCATTGCTTAACAAGACTGTATCCTAGAACAGCCTTCCAGACATGTTTGGACCGCAACACCCAGAATCCCCAGTCCATGGCCCTGCTGGATGGGAATGCTGGGAGTCGCAGTCCAAATGCCTTTGAAGGCCACCAGGTTGGGAAAGGCTGTCCAAGAAGAATTCAGTTGCCAAGAATAATAAGAGCACCATTTCTTGCTGCATTTACCAAGGAAATGCAATTGCTTAATAGAGTCTGCAGGTAAATATGTGGACTTGCCATGGTTTGCCAAGGAAAAACAAGTCACAAAGCATGTTGCTGGTGATCCTTACCCTAACAGAAGATCTTTCATCACTGACAGACATGATCTGGACATTGCCTAAATGCAGAATTGCTGCCAGTATTTTAAAGACATCCATCTGGAAATCTTCTTTTAGGCCTGAAAGGAAAACAAATAAACAAATCACCATTCCGCTTTAAGTTCTCAAGAATAGGAAGGAAAGCAAGTCTTAGAAACGTAAAAACAAAGTGAGTCAGAAAGGGTCTCCCGGGCCATCTAGTCTGACCCCAGGCTCCAGCCAGCTCCGTGCATGACATGCCTACCATGTGCATATCGAGTCATGGATGTGACCAAACTGTGTTAAAACGATAAGCAAACCTGTAAGAATTCCATGCGAAAGCGCATTTGCAAACGAGAAGGGGCAGGCAGGTTGGGGCAGTGCTAACCTGGTTCAGAAAGAAACAGCTAGAGTGGACTTTCCACAGAGAACTGGTTGGTGAGCGGAACAGTCTTCTCCTACCCGGAGAATCTTTCGCAAAGGTGCCCCCACACCCCGACACAACCACTGCAGCAGATCTCGTCGCCATGACAGTTTTTCTTGTTTATGAAGGCAAGCCCTACCTAGCAGGGAGAAGGTCTTCCGCGTCTCCGTCATATTGGCACTGTCATCCACTCCTTCAATCAGACTGTTTCCACCCATGTTAGTGTAGTTAAATTCTTCAGCACTTGCTGTAGATTAAAAGCAAAACAGGTTAGCCAGATACTGTGGACCTTAACATGGGAATAGTCTCCTGGTGAGCCACCAGTGCTCAAATGATGATATCTTGTTAGGATTACTGAACCTATGACGTCTGTCATACTGGGTTGCGATTTTTCCCCATTTTGATTGCTCCTCATAAAGATATTCCCATATCAGGGCTTGGAAGCTCTAGCTTTAGTTTGACCATGTGAAAAGATTCTACAAGTTGCAATACACCTTACTGTACCACTAAAAAGGAAAGGAAAGGACCTTGCTTAGAAGAGTGTGCATCAACCTGTTCAAACAGAGCGATGAAAAGATGAAATAGTCAAATCTTTTTACACATACCCAGTTTAAGATGTTTGAATTCTGGTCTCTGAGCTGAAGCACACAGCTGATAAAATATATGGTAATTTCTTTCATTCTCTGACTGCCAACAAAAGGGAAAAATGATAAAGTCAAAGCTTAAGCTTCTGAGCCAGAGTTGATTCACTGAGACAACAACTGTATGGATCACTTTTTTGAGTATATTGTGGGAGACAGCAAACCCACTACCTCACTGCATACTGCTTACCAAGTTCTGTAAACTGACTGCAGAATTAGTCCTGGAGGGAGAACGCTGGTTATAGTTCTAGGAATCTGAAATCCTATGGATAATAATACAATGCAAAATCCAGTGCAACCAAGTTTTAGCCTGATACTAAATGTAGGTCAGCAGCTTCTCTGACAGTGATGGATCTAATTATCCTTCCTCTCCAAATCAGACACGCCAAGTTCCATGTGCTCTGCCAGGATGGTTGCTTTAGTAAGTGCCTCAGTTAAAAACTAACAAGAGCTGGCAAGTGGAATTATGGTGCCGCTGGGGAGTACTAATTAAAAGACTGCACTCAGGAACCCAGGCATTGTTTCTCAGCATTCTTTCTGAGAAACCAACATGCAGAAAGAGCTTCTTCATTTATTTCATGGGGTTCTACTTTTTCTTTTGCCTAATCTTTGTCAGGCTTCTGGCTGCCCCAAGCCAGGAGCGCTTACGTCCATATATGCCCGCCCGCCCCCTGAGATTAGCGGGAGAAGCCCTTCTCCGGGAACCCTCCGTGAAGGAAATTAGGAGGGTAAGTACTCAGAGGAGGGCTTTCTCTGCGGTGGTGCCTAGTCTATGGAATGCGCTCCCCAGAGAGGTCTGCCTGGTGCCGTCGTTATTTGTTTTTCGGCGCCAGGCAAAGACCTTTTTATTCAAACGTCATTTTAACTGTTAATACTATTTATTTATTTTATTCTTCGGCCAGGGCAACTTATTTTATATTGTTAACTTGTTTTATATTTTTACTGTATAATATTTTAATTGATATATTTGTGAGCCGCGCCGAGGCTTCGGCGAATGGGGAGGCATAGAAATTTTCTAAATAAATAAATAAAGCCTTGAGGAGAATACTTTAGGAGGAGACACGGACAACTCAAGTCTGGTAGCAATGAAGCTTTGCTTGAGGTCCCAAGAACCCCTCTGACCACGGGTCATGCTCCAGTTCCTGGGTCTTCTCCCATGTTCCACAGCTCTCCGGAGCACATTGCAAAGGGCCAGGTGGGGTGCTCACATCTGTTCTGAGAGTGAACAAAGGGTCTACGCAGGAGCAACAGGCAATTTTAAGGAAGCAGACTCAAAGGCCAGTTGAGCCAGGTTCAGGAAGTTTTACAAGTCCTCTGTCTTCACACAAACCTTTGTTGGGTTACTGACAAAAACCTGGAAATTAAGCAGCACAAGAACTTGCTTCTCCAGAATGTGGAAGGATCCCATGGTCTGCTAAACTATGGGGATTTAAATCAGACAGGATCCACTAACAGGAAGACTAATATGTGGAAGATGACCTGCCAAGGTTAACAAAGAAAGCCTTTGTCTCGTTGTTGAATTCTACTAACCTGAAAGACAACTCTGGATTTTTCAAGCAGGTATGTTCTCATATTGGCACCGATGATCTGGTATCTCCGATCAAAACTGATTTCTGTATATTTGCCAAAGCGACTGCTATTGTCATTGCGTGTGGTTTTAGCATTACCGACAGCCTATAAAGTGGAAAATAATCTCGATCTGTGTGCCTCAAAAGGCTGGTTCAGAGAGGCGGCATTTTCAAATGCAGCCAAATTCTGGTTATCCGTCTGCGTAAGCTGCATGCTGTCTGCGGCGGTTGATTCTGTCTGAAGACTCAGCGTCTTAAAAGCTCCCACAGCCCTGAAAGTGCATCTATGAGGATATCTACAGCTGCTCTATGGCCCGACTGGACTGGACTGAAAGCTCCTTTGGTGCTTCTGTGCAGTATGTGGTGGCAGAGGAGGAAAGCCTGATTCCAGCAGTGGGGAGCAGAAGCAGCGGGGCCCCGCTTGAGGTGCTCCCCACGCCGTCCACTGGAGCGGCCGAGGGCCTAGAAGCCTCCCCCGCTTGGACGCATCCTGCCCAAGGGAGAGCCGTTTCTGATGTCTGGCAGATGCCATGAAATTCATCTACTTTAGGCCACAATCCTATGCATGTCCTACAACCTCCGGTATGTCCCAGCCTGATGGACAATAGTTAACATTAGTATTATGAATAATGTCGTTGTTGTTGTTACATTTATATCCTGCCTTCTTTCCTCTTGCAAAGAACCCAAGATGACTTACGTCTTCCACCTCTCTGTCTACTCCTCACAACAGCCCTGTGAGGTAGGCTGGGCTGAAAGTCCATGCCGGGCCCAAAGTCACCCTGTGAGCTTCACGGCTGAATGGAGACTAGAGCCCAGATCCCCTGGGTTCCCAACCCAACACTGTAAGACTTTGGGACTCACTCTCAGGACTGGACAATCCATTCAATTAGTACAGAACGGAGCCATCCATCGTTCACCATGTCATGAGCAGAGCCAGCTGGAGCTGGGGGTCAGACTAGATGGCCCGGGAGACCCCTTCTGACTCGCTCTGTTTCTATGTGTCTACCTCTGTTATTGGATTGGATGCCAGCACTTTATCCTCGACTCGCGTGTTGCTGCTGGACCTGCTGACCGTCGCAAAGTATCTCATAGCGTATCTGGCGGAAACGGTTTTCCCAGCACCTGATTCTCCACTGACAATAACGGATTGATTCTTGTTGTTCCTGAAGCAAGATCATAAGATCGTATCACTCAGTTATTGTTCAGAAAAGTTTAAAAAATCATTCGCCTCTCTATCCACTTTTAAAAATGTAGTAATACACAATCACAATCTGGTGCCATGTCTTCTACAGCAGTGTAAATGAACTGATGCAAGGTCATATCGATAGTACATTAGTTTTTTTACTTTTTTAATAATTCTTAATTTTTCAATCTAAAATGCAACCAAAAACCCCTTGCATCCAAAATAGAACAAACGAAATTAAACATATAGTAATTATTTTAATACAGTGCCCTGCCCAACCAGGACCAACAATACAATCAGAAAAAAAAAAACCTCATTCAGACATTTCAGAACATTTCCCCTTCCAAAACTGTAACAGTTCTTTCAAAGGTTCAAATCCTTTCCCCTTTTAAAAAAATGTTCAATAAATACACTCCAATCATCATTAAACTTATTTTTCTTTATATACCCTTTTCACACTTTAATCTCATATCTTAATTTTTCGTTAATAGCTATATCCCAAATTTGTCTATGCCAATCAGACAACTGGCAATCATATTTTACTTTCCAATTTTAGCTACAATTAATCTCACTGCAGTTATTAAATTTGTTATTAATTCTTTATTATTTCAGCTCTGCTGATTTTTATCAAATACTAAGAGTAAAATACTACATTAGTTTTAACTGTCACAGTTTCTCCCCAAATATCGTAGAAGATATAGGTTAGTGACTTGAGCTTCCCAGGAATCAGTGGAGAGCCAGTGTGGTGTAGTGGTTAAGAGCATGGGACTGGGACTCAGGTGATCCGGGTTCGAGTCCCTGCTCAGCCATGGAGCCAACTGGGTGACTGGGCCAGTCACAGACTCTGAGCCCAACCTACCCCACAGGGTTGTTGTTGTGGGGATAAGATGGAGGAGGAGAATAATGCAAGCTGCCTTGAGCCCTTTGTAGGAAAAAGGCAGGATATGAATCGATAAATGAATAAATAAAACGCTTGTTTTATCTCCTGACTGACTTCAGAAGAGTCGTTTTGCTTCCTTGCAAAGCTTTCCAGAGAGACAGGTGGGTGTTGACATTTCACAAAGAAAAGCCCCAAGGCTCTTTCGAGCGCATTATGGGATGCCCCAAACTGTACCTTGCCATTTGCTTGTAAGCTTCCTCCGCCACAGCAAATATGTGCGGATCCATGTCCCCCATATTCTGGCCACTGTAGGCATGGATTATGGCATCTCCATATATTGGCAGCTGTTTGTAGGGGTTCATTGCGACTAAGATTATCCCTATAGGAGGATTAAGAATAGAGGTTTATCTGTAAAAGCACCTTTATAGATAATTCCTGCGGAGTGTAAACTTTTGCTTACCACTGTAGGTGTAAATCAGCTTGGACTCCACAAAGCGAACTTTGAGATTATGCAGAACAGCCGGCTCATGAAGGTAACTAAGCGCCGTGAGATCATTTTCACCCACGAGTATGTCTGGATTTCTCAAAGGTGGCAAAGCACTGGGATTAATTGGATAATCCAATTCCTGTCAGTAAATGAAACAGAAAATTGTAACAGACAATGTTTATGTTGAAGGTGTATCTGCTGCCTTTTAAGAATGATCTTCTTAAGGCTAAGGACGTTGCAAAAATCTATTACTGACTCAGACATGTTCAGTTTTCAATTAACCTAACCTGCAGCCTCCACAATTGACGGCCTTTTTCTGAGCTGCACTGATTTTGGCCCTGGTCTTTTTTTTTTCTTTTTTTTTGGATTCAAAAAGATCCATTTTTGATATAAGAATGAAAGACACGTGAGAATTGGCAGAACACAGGCAGATGGATTTAACAAAATCTTTTACTTCTCCAGTCAGTGCAGGGCAAAAGAAAACAAAGCTTGGGCTCCCAGCTCAATTTTTGAATTTTTGAAACCCGAAGAAGGGCCTTCCCTGTGGTGGTGCCCCAACAGTGGAATGGGCTCCCCAGAGAGTGTGCCTGGCACCGATGCTTTTTTCATGTTGGTGCCAGGCCAAAACGTTTTGATTTTCCCATTATTTTAAATGTTAGTAGTGCTTTAAGACTGATTTTATGTATCATTTCTGGATGCTGCACCTTATTTATTTTATTGTAATACCACCCTGAGACACTGTGAAGGGCAGGATATAAAAGCTTTAAACTAAAAAAATATTATTTTGCTGATATGTAATATTATTATTATTATTATAATTGATACATTTAATTCTTGTTTCTTATGTATTGAATTTTGATGGATATTACATCCTGTTATAAGGTATAGAAATACTTTAATTAATAATCGAGCATGTTAAGGGGCCTGTGTTTCCACAGACAGTATCCTCTACTACCCAGCTGCTAGTAGAACTGATCATCCTGTAGTGAGAAATCGCAGTTACCAAAACATCTGGACGATGGCAGCCATGCTTGTTTCCAGTTGGCAAAGGCCATCAGAGCTTTTTGAGGGACTGCCACTGAACCTGCTCCAGTCGGGAAAATTGGTACTCATATTTTCACACCTGCTAGCATCTCCCGCACAAGCAGTCAGTTCTGTTATCGCCAAACCAGTGGCAGAACAGCACCACTCTGTGATACCACCCCTTGTGTTGAACACACGCATTCTCACCGTGCCGTCTTCTAACTGGAGGTGAAGGGTGCAGTCCCCAATCTTGTAGTCTTTTGTCATTTCGGCAGATTGCCAAACCTCTTCAGCATCAGGGATCCAAACTCTGTTGTACTACAGTAACAAAAATGATACATTCTTCATTGTTAACAGACACAGTTTTCATCCCGTTCTCAAATGATCACACCACCATAATATGCAATCAAATTCAAAACTATACCCCACTCTGCCAATGTGCAAATTGTAATTTACGGTTACCCAGTACTCTAATTACCTTGTTGTAGAGAATTCCAAAGGAAATTGAGAGCGCTTCTGAACCTACAAAAGCAACAGAGATGTCCCCCTCCCAAAAGCAAGCAAATTAATGTTGACTGCACACAAGGCAGTCAATGTTGAACATTTTAAGCACCGTTACTTTAAATTAGCTACAGATCTTTAGTTCCTCTGTTAAAATCAGTGGATCATAGCATTGCTCCAGCCAGCATCTTCCTCTGGCTGCTAAGAGCACCCCTCAGGACTCTGCATGTCTTTAAGGCCGACGGCTCTCTGGTCCTTTGCACTGCAGCGAAACCCACACAAGCAGTGAAGGTTGGATTAGCTGCTTGCTAATTTTCTTTTGCCTTTCCCTTGTTATGTACAAAGGCTACATTATTTAATTTTAATACTGCATTTATGTTTACTGCATCGTAACTTTTGTTTCATTTGAATTTGTTGATAGTTTTGTAACATTTTCTCCCAAATTATTTTGCCAATAAATTGTTGTTTATAGCAAACTTTGGGAACAGTCTGCTTTGGAAATACATTATACAAATAAGCTGAACTAACAAATTTTGGCTGGTCAGTGCATATAAGAGCTACCGGTTTTTTAGGTGGAGTGACCAGAATTCCAAGTGTGGCCACAAACCACCTCCACAGCTTTGTGTAAGGGAAATAAGATTGTAGCAATTTCAGTGTTGATTCCTTCCTAATGACGCCTCACATTGAAATGGCCTTGGAATGCCATTTTCATCACCACAATTCCAGCACCCCTTTCCTGGTCAGTCACTGTTAGCTCAGATCTCACCAGCATACACTGAAGTTTTCAACACGTCTCACTTTATTTTTGCTTTTGGTGACCCACATTTGACATTTTGATGCTCATTCACTCAGTCTGGAGAAATCCACATGGAGATCTTGCAATCTCTTCCTGCTTTAGCCACCCTAAAAAAATGGTGTGCACCTCATTGCTAATTCCTAAGTGCACATCATTTTTGATCAAGCTGGACCGTGTTGGTCCCAATACTGTATAGCACAGGGCAAAATAGTACAAGACATGTGTCTTTTCAAAAAAAACATCGCCCACTCAGCTCTCCTTTTGCTTATTTCTACACACTGAAGTCCAGATGCTGCTGGCTAGCTTCCAATTATATAACCAACTGGCCAGTTCCCACGCAGATAACTTGACTCGGGAGCAATTTATTCAAGGAGGCGTCTTTCACTCAGCCACTGCTGCAGCCCGAAGCCTCTTCTTCCTTCTTGAGCCAGCAGTGGAACTGATCCCAAAGCGCACCTGACCAACACTGAAACCTTCACCAGAGCAAGGCTATGTGCATGCAGAGGCCAAGGCACAGCTCTGTCATTCATCTCAGTGCCGAGACCCCAGGCCAAGTCGCTCAGGCACCCATGTATAAGCAGCATAGCGCTTTCTTCTACACAGATGAAAGAACGAATTGGTGCAGATGAATTGGTTTCTGACAGCCCAAAGGTACAGGGAATCCCAGGAACCACGTACCTAAGGTGGGCCTGTACGCCACGCGCACGGGATCTGCCCACATCGTTCCTTTATCCATGGGAGGGCCCCTCCTTCCTCTCCCATGTACTTATTCTCGCCACATCGCCTGGTATGCATCTGACAAGCCAGGGAGACTGGTGGTGGTTGTTTAGTCGCAAAGTCTTGCCCGTCCCATCACAACCCCGTGGACAACACTCCTCCAGGTTCTCCTGTCCTCCACTGTCCCTCGGAGTCCACCCAAGCCCACACCCACCGCCCCGCGCTGCAACTGAACAAGTACTCTCAAAAATATGTATTTGAACATGTATGTTCTCTCAAGGGACACACCTAAATAACCTGCCAAGAAATGCAAGACTACATTAGAAAAGCATGAAATACATTGGAAAGCTGCATCCTGACTTGTCCAAGAGGTGCGTGAGTTGCATAGGAGGTTGCAAAGACCCCTTCCTCAAGGATTATGTGCTCTGTTCCAGACATATGAGTGCGCTGCTCCCCTCTTCCTAACAGAAGCAGGAACTCCATGCTAGCCTGTGTAAGCATAGCGCACTGTGCGCTACGCATGTCTCTATCCACATACTGTCACATGATGCTTCTGCCTGAACATTACTCTGACCAGATCTAGCAGCGATGTGGACAACTCCAGGTACCACCATTGGTAAATGCATTACAGATCAGGAAGCCCTGCCTTGCAAGTAAACACAAAGAGTTTACTTTCTGACTGAGTTACACCCAACCTTCTCTACTCCACCCCGAGTTGGAGAGTTCCTTCAACCACTCAGGGAGGGATGAATATACATCAGTCCAAAATTCTAGCTTTAGACTTCAGTTGGCATGCATAACACCTCCGATACAGAAACTGGGGAACAGCACATTCCAACGAGAGTGTCAACAAGCAGGATGCCAGGTACAAAGTCCTCACAAGACTTCCCAAGTACCGGCAAAATGTTTCCAGTCTTCTAACATTCCTCATTTTAATGGGTCATTTGTAAATCGGAGACAACTTGATAGCAAACAATTTGGAACAGAACTTTCAGCAAAAAAATAATACTTGAGTATAAAGTTCATATTTAAAGCTGACAAACACATACATATAGAAAGTAATTCTTGCTTGTCTCATTAAGTACTTCAGTCTTCCCAATGGAAAGGAACCGATGTCCTTAAAAGATGCTTGCAAAAGTTTTGCCCCTCCCTGCTGCGGCCTGGCAACAGGTCCGTTGCCCAGAAGAAAGTTTTTCCCAAAGAGCATGAAACACATAACTGCTCCTTCACTGAGAATAGGACTCAGTCTTATCACTTACAGTGACTTAGCAACCATATGGCGGAGTGGGTATTCGGACCTAACACCAAATCATGGTCTGGCATTACTTTATTATTATTATTATTATTATTATTATTATTAAAACATTTCTATGCCGCCCCTTGCCGAAGCCTCGGGGAGGCTTACAACACAATAAAATACAAAAATAACAATATAAAATTAACAATATAAAATAAATAACAATGTAAAAGAAGTCGCCCTGGCCAGATAAAGAAGCAAATATTGTTAAGAATTAAAATGTTTAAATAAAAAGGTCTTCACCTGGCGCCGAAAAACAAATAACGACGGCGCCAGGCGGACCTCTCTGGGGAGCGCATTCCATAGATTGGGCGCCACCGCAGAGAAAGCCCTCCTCTGAGCACCTACCCTCCTAATTTCTTTCACGGAGGGTTCCCGGAGAAGGGCCTCTCCCGCTGATCTCAAGGGGCAGGCGGGCATATATGGACATGAGCGCTCCTTCAGGTAACCAGGACCCAAGCCATTTAGGGCTTTATTACACTGGTCAAGCAGGAGAATGTGGGTTTAAAAGAGTCATTTGTGGGGTAGAACTGTATTTTTACACTTGAATCCATCTACTGTTAGATGCCCTACCAACAGCCTCTAGGATGGAGGAGGGAAAGGGAAAGAGTGTAAGCAAGTTAGTTAGCTGGGTGTTAATTAGCTGCCAAGGTGCTGTAGTTGCTTTTCATGGCCCTAAATAGCTCAGAACCAAGTAATCCATGAGATCGCCTCTTCCTGTATCCATTTCCCTCATTTTGACATCCTGGAAGACTTGCTTTCTGTACTTACCTGCTGATGCTCACCTGGGCACACTGGCAAAGGTCTTCTTTAGGATGACCACCATGCGTAATCCTCTCCCCAGCAAGATCAAATCGACTCCTAGCATGGAGTGGTTTTGCCAAAAGCTAGAGAATGTCTGTTTAGCCAGGTGCTTCCCAGACTGCTGGCATTGCCTGCTTCCTTGGCTTATTTGAATACTATCCTTTTATGACTTTTTATTGTATCTATCAAGTTACTTTGTAAACTGCATGGGGATTTTTTTAAATGAAAAGTGTCATAAAAATGGAATAAATCCAGGATATTATTTTGATGGGTTGCTGAAAATGCCTGGGACAACCTTCCTCAAATAAACAGATCTGAGGAAGTCTGAGAACCTTTCAGATGCTTTTGGAATTGAAAACAAGGTGCAATTCATTCCTTTCCTTTGTTATTCTTTCCTTTATGTTATGTAATAACATAGCTATCTTTAAGACTGGATTTGGAAACTTGGTAGCATTTTGACTGAAGTGATGGAGGTTTTAAAAGATACACTGAAGTGGGGGTGATCACACTGGGATTCCTATAAGATCAGCAAAGGATTTATGCATGGAATGTTTGCCTACTATGTTCTTTGTTCTGGTATGTTTCTGCAACCCATTTATTGTAAATTGAGATGGCTTTTGTACATGAGAGGGTTTTAAGAACATGCATAGTCGGGAAGATGCTTCGCAGCCTCTTTTGGACGCTACTTCTATAATGTTGGCACTCACTCCTCTGTGATCCCCACAACACCAGCACAACCTTATTGGGCGATTACTGTTTCCCATCCCGTATATGCAACTCCCGTTAGAGTTTGGCGTTCCCCAGTCAGTGTATTTGTGCAGGTGAAGGTAGGGGTATTTCTCTGCAGTGTAATTCTGCAACTGCTGTTAAAAGTTACAAAACCCGGGCAAGCATCACAGCCACCGCATTCACTACACGGGCGTAGGGCTGCAGCCCGCCTTGGTCTCTCTTTGGCGCCATTCATGTCAAAGGCTGTACTCGAAGCTCCCAGAGGAGTTTACAGACCTCGGCAACTTCACTGACCATCCTGGGAACGCTTCTGCCTTCAGACTAAGTAACCCCGGAGGGGTTAATCCTGAGTCGGTGGACGCTGCAGCCATGCCTTAGGCCGAGTGGGAGGGCTGATCGTCCGAGCACCCCAGTCCCGCTCTCTGCAAAGTGCTTGGCCAGAGTTTTGGCACACGCGGTGCCTCCAAGGAGGGAGGGAGGGAGCCAGAAGAGGCCCTTCCTCATTCCGCCGCACTAGCGTCGCCAAGTGCGGCACCTTTTCCGCGTCCCTCCGCGGCGGGCGGCCCCGGGCGTTTCTCACCCTCCCTGCCCTCTTCCCAGGCAGCAGGGCGCCCTCCTGCTCGCCCCCGACCCCGCGCCGTCCCCGCGCCGCGGCTTCCCCCGCGCCCCATATGGCGCCCGGGGCATCCCGCGTTGCCGGGCATCAGCGGCGGCATCAGGGCTACTCGGGAGTAAGGCGGCCGCGCCGGGGGAGGGACCGCGGCGCCGGGCTTGCACGGGGCTCCCCGCCGACGGGGGCTCCCCCCCCGGGGTGCGCCTGCCCGGCCGGCAGCGCCGTGGAGCCGGGCAAGGGCCGCCGCGGCTTACCTGCGTGTACAGGTGGGCGAGCGCCATGAGGCCCCGGGGGAGGCGCGCCCCGGCGAGCGGAGCGAGGCCAGGGGCGGGCGGGCGGCGGCGGCGGCGGGGCTCCCTCGCGCGTGCCCTCCCGGCGGGCGCCCGGGCGGAGGTGGAGCCTCCGGCGCAGCGCCACGTTCGTTTGCCCAGCGAGCACTTACTGAACGGCTCCCCCCCCCCGCCGCTCCCCTCCCTCCCCTCCCCGCCGGGAAGGCTGGCCCAGGGCCGCGGCCGCCTCGCTCCCCCGCCCCGGCGCCCGGGGAGTCGTACCTGGCGGGAAGCAGGTGGCGGGCGGGGCCCGGGCTTGGCTGCCCCCGCGGAGGCCCGTGGGGGTCGGTGGCCACCTGAGCCTCGACTCGGCGCCGGAGTGCGAGCCCGGAGCCCCGGTTAGTCGCGCTGGACAGGCGGTGGACGAGTTAGATCGGGATGAAGGCGTCTCTGGGGTCGCCCCGCTGGAGTCAGGGTCAAGTGTCTTGGAATCGGTGGACAAGTTAGAACTGGACATAGTGATACGTGGAGTAGATACGCGGAGCCTTCTTAAGTCATGAGTCAGTCGTGACTTACTTGTCGCAGTCATTTGAGTGGGTCTACTCTCAATCCGGACTGAACCTACCTTTTGGGGGTGGGACGTAGCAGAAGGAACTCACATCGCGAGGGTTATCTCGAGCATGTCCCAGCCCTAGGGAAGAAGCGAGCAAATTCAGCAGATAGTAAGCACAGGAGTTAAGCCCCCACCCGACCCTGTTTGGGCGGGTTCTCAGGATACTGCAGCTGCCGAGGCTATCGCTATTGTAGGGTGGGGAGCGAGGTCAAGGTTTGGCGGAATGAGAACCTCTCCTGGTTCTTCAGTAGAAGACTGACCTGTTGCAAAGAGAAGGCCTGCCTCCCCCCAGCACCATCTGGGTTCAGAAGAGCGCCTGCATGCACTGCCCTCGGTGCTTGGGGAAGGACCGTTCAGTCTCATCAGCTGTTCTCCTGGAAAAAGTGTGTTTGTGAGAGACTGACCCACCCTAGCTGCTGCTTCCACTTTATAAGAATGCCATAACATCCCAAAGTTTCAGCTGTCGCCACTGATGTGAGCCGATCCCTCAGAGACCCTCCAACTAGCTGCTTTTATTATGAACCATGAAAATGGCACACGGCAGTGAGCCAACGCTCAAGTGTGCTAGCAGAGTTTTGGAGGCTGAATATTAAAATAAAAGGCAGATTGAAAGGAAAACGTTGTTGGGCATGACAAGCAAGCCCTGGGCTACTTTGTCATCATCCAGGCTGCAATACTGCCCCGCCACCAAACCTGGTTTTTAATTTGCTTTTAGTTTGAGTATTGCAGAAAAGTCGCTCACTACTTTCTATCTTCCTGGTTGACCAGACACATACGGCTTTTTCTGGACTGTATTTACAGTGGCTGCAAGGCCCCTCCCGAGTAAATGTTAGTAGCCCCCCCTCTCAGTGCACTCACGCTCCTTTCTCTGCAATTTTTAGTAGGCCAGGGACAGGTAGTCCAACAGAGGTTCCTCTTCCACCATGAGTTGTGCCAGCGAAAGATGGGAAATTGCAATGGAGCAGTATCTGAACTGCCACTAGTTGCCCACTCCTAGTTGCTCAGCATTGCTTAGGTATGACCTGTTGCAAAAGTGGCACCTGTGACTAACAGGGCCAATTGTCATCTAAAACAAATTCTATTAATGAACAGAAATGGATTTTGGTGCAGAGATTCCCACAAATGCAGTGGAAAGTTTAAGACAATCTACTGGGTAAGAGGCTTTGCTCTCAGTTATGTTCATCACGGGGTTAAGGCCACTTGCTTAGATCAAGCTTACTATCAAAAGGATTTTGAAGGCCCAGGACAAATATATCCCCCTCCCCCAGAAAATGTTCCCTTTCAACACCCCCACACACAAATCCATTTGCTTTACTGTTTTCCCCTAGTTTTAGCTGAAGGATGGGCTGCATTGAAGCTGAGATACAAATAGTTAGAAACAGTCATTTCTAGAAGCAGCTCCCCAACTTCCAACTTCTTAACCCAAAGTAACTACCGTAGTTTGATAGGGTGAAAATTGCTAAGAGCACAAGAAATGGAAGAATCAATTTCATAGGCCCAACTCATGCATTACTTCAGTTGCTGAGGAACCGTATCCGTAGGTTTGCACCCATGGCGTGGGAGGGGTGCATTTTGAGGTTGGTGAAAGTACTACAACACAACACAACACTTGAGCTAAAGCTGCAATCCTATACACACTTATGAGTGTATTACTTATTTAGCCTATTTTAACTCTACGGAACTGCTCCTATTCACACAAGAGACAAAAAAGACTTAACTGTTGTTTTTTTATTTGGACATTTTCGTGATAGCTAAGATACAGCATTTTTGTAGCATACATTTACTAAATACAATGTCCGACACAATGACAGTTCCAAGCATATGTCATTCTGATACCATTTTGGTTTCCATCTAAGCACTGTGGCAGTATCTAGTAGGGGAAAAACTGTTGTCAAAGGCTTTCCTTCCAAAAAAATTGTACACATTTTAAAATAGTAATTTTTGAAGAATTTTTAATGCAGTACATTGAAATGTGTCCAGTTTACATCTTAAATAAACGAGACCCTCAGCTTTCAAATGCTGGTGGATTTGAGATATGGGGAAAACGGTAAGAGGTGTTATGATCCCAAGTGGACTTTGAGAAATGCACTACTTGGATCAAGAGGACTTATGTCCGTGTACCAGCCCCAAAAGAGAGATGATCCATTGTAAATGCCAGCCATGTATAGAACCAGGACTGCCATAATTGTCCCATTTACACAGAAAGCCTTCCATCTGGAAGAGAGAGGGTTGTCTGAAGGTCACAGCCATGTAGTCACAGAAGGAGATGTGCAAATCCATTTCACCAATCCACAAAGGATTCCCCTTTTAATCATGGTGGGATTCCGTGTGGTAGCGTGGGGCAAAGCACACACGCAACAGCTGTTTCTCATGTAAATGATGCATGTAGCAAACAGGATCTCTAGGTTGAGGCAAATGTATTTTAAGTGCAGTATACTAGTCCTTACTTGTAAAGGTCCAGGGTGCAATCCTGCATACCCCTACATGCAAATATGTTCCAGTAACTAGTTAGGACATTAAAATTGTGCACAAGATTCCATATATTAGTATTTAATAAAACGAATTTTAAAGGTATTTCAAGTTCCATCCCAGACTGAAGTTGAAGAAACATTTTGCTAAGCAATGGACACAAGATTATGTTGCAGAAATGGGGGTGGGAAATCTGAAACCTAATGAGGTAATCTTTGTTTAATACTTCAGATTTGTACATTTCAAAGGGCTCTCAATTAGTTTTCCAGCATTTCCAGACTATTCCATATCGAATCAACAAAAAAATTCAGACATGTCCACATTAAAAGAGCATAACCATGCTTTAAAGGAAAAAAGGATGACCAGAATGGTATTAGATTTAAAGACTCTAACCCTGCAAAACTCAAATGAATTTTATATTGTGAGTTTTATATTGTGTACCATCACTAAACTTAAGAAAAGTGCATGTAAAATACTGTTACATAAAGTACTTGATGAATTACAAAATACTAGTTAAACATAGAAACATCTTCCGTTAAAACATGTGAAGCAGCATAGAATTTTAATGTGATAAAATGTAATATTGTTAAACAACTGAAAATAAGGATATTGTCTATAAACATCTACCACCTCTGGAAGTAAACAAGGTACAGTAAGGCTTTTTATTTTTTACAAGTAAACAACATGAAAAAAATAAAAAAAATACATTTAAACATTTATCACTTCTGGAGTAGTCAAGTTTCTTGGGATTAGTTTCTTCTACCAAAATGAAGCGCAGGATTCCAGTTAATTCAGAGGATCAGTAGGATACCGGAGATTTTTTAGTTAGGGTTTTAATTTTTAAAAGTGCTGCTGTCTCCATAAATCAGTTGTATTACAACTTTCTCATAACAAGCTAGGAATCCAGTGAAAATTTGAGAAGCTAGTATACTCCAACATAATTAAAAAAGTCATGACCATCTGAGGCTGTGGTCAATTCTGGACTTATTTTACATTCGTCACTCCCATGTTTGCCCAGAGCTCCTTGATTATAACCTACCACTGCTACCTATAAGCCACAGAAAATGTCTGTTTGACACTGCATTTTAAAGTCGTTCTGGAGAGAAGAAAAATCCGTGTTAAAAGTCATTTTTGTAAACTTGGTGCCAAATGTAAAGTAAACATATTCAAGTAAAGACCTTTTCATTTACCATAAATAAATTCTTAATGCTTGCATGTAAGTACCTGAATAATTCCTAAAACAACCAGCAACATAAAAGCTCCGTCAGCAACAAAATCACACAAGATGTGGCTGGGGTCAGGGGAGAAAACCCAAATCAGCTTTTAAGAACAGTACTATCAAAACTGACATTCTCTTTGCTTTTATCAGGGATCATGTATCGGTTGCATGTCTTTTTCATGTAAAAGATATTTGAAACGTACTGCTCTTCTCAAGAGACTGCAACCTGGTTCTGAGGATGTGCAAAACTCATATTGGGTACCAGAACATTTTAAACAGTATGCCTTTTCAGCATATAGATATGTTTTAAAATAAAAAATTGCTATAATACATTAAGATATTGCACGTGACAATTTCTAAATATGTGATTTCTTCCTATGTATAGCTGAACATCACTAATCCCATTTCTTTAAAAAAAAAAGCAGGCCCAGAAACATGGAGCAAGGCTTGTCAGACATCGTTAGGTCAGGCCTGGCCTGAAGCTAACGAGCATCCAGAATGTGAGAAATCCTGGCAAAATCTTTTTGTCAAGCAGTGTTCTTGCTTTTAACCTGACCAGTGAAATACTCCCACTGATGCAGAAGCACAGTCTTTTGATGTGCATCAAAATCAGGGGTTGCTTTACATCTCTATCAATGAATGCATAGCAAGTTCTTAAAGTATCCATGGGATTGGGGATAAAATAGATTTGCCTTTATTTTCATTTAAAATGCATGTCCTCCCCCAACAAAGAAGCTCTCCAAAACAAGTATTTAAATATACACACTGCCATTACAAATCTGGCAGCCAAGGTGAAAAGCATACGCCAATATGATAAATAAATACTAAAATATAATATGGGTGGGTTTTGTTCATTGAACTCAAGAACTTGAATACTTTAGTAAATAGACGTAAACCATTATGCAGCTTCCAGTTTGTTATTTGTGCTTAGTTACCATTTCCTATTACCAGTGATATTTCTAGACATTCGCAGAAATCCTGTAAAGACTGGACTATTAACGTTGTGGGGTTTTAAAATCTGTACTTCTTTCCCCTAACTATTGTCGTACATTTAAAAGAACACGGCACACAGCAGCTTTTTGATATGTTTTGAAACAGTACTAACTAATGAACAGCGACACGGCACTATGTGGTAAGACAAAAGACTTTTCGATACTTCAGCATTTATGCCACTCTGACATAAACAGGGAAGCTGCTTGACAGATTATCTCCTGGGCTGAGATTTATTATGAACCTCTCCTATACAAGCTCCCTTGAAGTGAATGAAGCCTTCTCCAAGAGTATGACATTTTATGCCGCCCCTGTCCACTTGAGCGGAGTTCGTGTGGGCCAAATTCCTGGTAGGTTGTGTTCTGTACTGCCAGTTTGCACTTTGGTTCCAATCTCTAACATATATAGAAGATAGCCCTAAATGCTTATATACTTCACTAAAAGTCATGCCTTACCTAATTCCCTGGTCCTCTCTCATCTGCATCTGCCAGCAGATCACATATGACTTAATTATGGAGAAATGTATTATGAAGGAGCTAAACTGCCCCCTCAGCTTTATCAGAACATGGATCAGAAACACAGGATGGATCGAGTGTACACGGTGAAGCGTTCATGTTGGAAGCAGCTAACGGCATCTATTCCACAAGTGCACAGGCGACCGGAATCTGCGGTGGATGGCCACTTCAAACATGATGGTGTAATCTCGGATCCTGGAATGTGTGAAGTGGTCCTCCACCTGGCTACACTGGGGAAATGGGGTCCCCATCAGGTGGCGCCAAGGGTAACGGGTTCCTCTTGCCCACAGGCAGTGGTCCGAATAGCAATGATTTCTTCTTGGCCACTTTTGTCCTCAGAGAAAAAACAGAGAGGAAACCTGTTCCTTGGATGATTGGCCACCAACTGACTACACCTCTGACTTCAAATCTAAGACAGCTGATGACCTACAGGGAGATTTAAAAACACACTTTAGCTCTGTACTGAAAAATGTCTAATTCTGAAAACATTATGTAGACCTCAGGATGAGAATGGTGAATTTGTATAAATGGGTATGTTTCCATCAGCTTTCCGCTGTGAGTCAGTTATGCAGCATTCCAGCTTTCTGCAGTGCATTTTAGGGTATCAACAATATTTTCTCCTGCCCTCCCTCCCTCACCCCCAGCTGCGTTCATTTTAATTGTTAGAGATTAGAGATCAACGGCTAACTATATCCTTGCACCTCAGACGCGAGTAAGGAACCCTAGGCCCAAACTGGCTGGAATCTGAATGGTTTCTAAAGCAAGAGATGAGGGATTAAATGGAAAAGTAACAGGGAAAATATGCTTGGCATCCATCAGCAGCTGAGGAGAGTCTTTCCTGTCCCGCATACGCATCTGCAAAGAGAAGAACAGACTGCGTTAATATATTATGTATTTCAGCAGATGTATACCCCAGCCTTCAAAGATTGCAAGCAAGGCAACATGAAATTTAAAAATAGTCACAGATAAAACTATGGGCGCCACTGTTGTGAAAAAGAGGCAGCACAGAATGTTATTTCTGAACTAAGTAACAGGGAGAGTCTCAAAGTTATAGCAGCGTACTTCATCTGGACTGCTTGTGTGCAGTTGGTAGAGGGCTGTTGGGGGCATTTTTGGCAGACGTTGCAGCGTGAGGCAAATACGTGTTGCCACTGACTGGGTTTTGCAAAACACAACCACCCCTTGTGGACTGGTACACAGATCAAGCAAGGTGGGTAGTTTAGGGGAAGCAGCCACCCTGACAACCCATGGCTTATTCTAGGGCTGTAGCATAGGTCCAGCAAGAAGAGAAATATGGCCATCCTTATCTTGGACATGATCTTTATCACCATCATCTTACAAACTGAACATGTGCTAAGGGAAAGGGCAGAAAATATTTCTTACCTGTATTGTCCGGATAAAGGACACAGACACCCTTTCTTCAAACTCATTGACTGGAGTATACAAGTTCAAAACTTTCACAATCTGTTAGAAAAACAAATATACGTTCATTCATTATATTTATATGCTACCCCTTTTCCTTCCAAGAAACTCAAGACAGCTTACAATTTTTTTCCTGCTCTCAACCATATCCCCACAACAACCCTGTGAGGTAGGTTGGACTGCAAGTCTTTGACTGGCCCAGAGTCACCCATGTGCAGCCTGGAGCCCAGAACGCCTGCATCCCAGTCCCACACTCTTAACCACACCACCACACTGGCTTTCTTATATATCTTTCTCTTGTTAACAAATTTGTCCTTGATATATACCCCAACGGTTTAAACAAAGCTTTCAAGAAGTTTTCACTCCACCCCTACCCTTCTCTTAGTTTTGAGATGTGTAATTCTTCAAAAAAATACACTCTTTATAGGCCATAGCAATGATGATCTGGAAAGAATTCCAAATATGTCTTCCTCCATAATAAAACGAAGATACTTTGGCCTTAGTGTACCTTTGTATATTCTCCCTTAAATAAGTGAATGTAAAACCAAGAGTTTAAAAAAGAGCTGTCCGTACAGGAACCTGCATTTGACATGAACATTTATGGAGCTCAGTCCCTTCGTATAATTTAGTTCTTACGCTTGACGCTTTGGAAGTGAGTCTTTTACTGTCAGAGGAAAGCAGCCGATCAACACACAGCACAAGGGCCAGGCTGGAAGCGTCCTTCCAACTGAGTCAGGTACCAGCAGGAGGAGGGCTGAGTTACCTGTGCAGTAGTTAGGGAGTTGCACATGGAACAAATGGCCTCGGCGTCCTCGTCGGTTTTCTTTTTCACCTGCAGCAACTGAGCTGCCTGGATAAGAGGCTCCAGAGTTTCCTTAGCTCCACTATTCATCAGATTTTTGTCACGCAGCCATTCTTCAAGCTGACTTACGTTATACCTGTATGTTTAATACATATACACAAATTACCACAGCCTTTAAGATCATTTTCAATCAGCCTGAGCTGGAGAAAAAGATTCTTAATCTGCTCTTGCTCAATTACTGCCCTTCATAAAATATTCTGTAAATTATTGAACAAACATTCTGTTCCACCAGTGGCAGCAGCTCCTAGTTCCCAGCACAACTGTTCAGTAATTATGCACAATGCCCTGAGATGGAAAAACCTTTAGATATTTTGGAGTAAATGCCCCCAAACTCCAGCCCTTTGGCTTTTACTTTACTTGCTGTTTCAATGCAGGATAATTTTTTATTTTATTTGTCATTAATTAGACTGCTTTTATATTAAGCATAGTAAGATCCCACCCCTCCACACAAACAATTATTTTTATTTTTAAAAACCCCAATGCTTGAACTAGGCTGCCATATAAAAATAAAAGCTAATAGCTAATTTATCTTGTTTAGGATTTATATTATATTATTGTAAGCCATCCAGAGACGACAGTGATGGACAGCCTATAAATGTCCTAAATAAATAAAACATTACATGAACATTGGATGATTTAGCAGGTCATTCCATTAAAAAACATGAAATTGGAGCAAATGCTCCTATTCTCTGTATGGTGTGCTAATGAAAGAGATACAGGTCACTTCTCATCCCATAAATCACAGATCAGCAACTGAGCTGGTACTTGAAACTGGCCTGCAGTATTTTTTTTATTTATTTAAAACATTTTTATCCCATTCTTTCCAATAAAACGGCTCAGGACGGCTTACAATGATTAAAATCCTTTCCCTATGATGTCCACCAAAAATCCAATTTCCCTCTCATGAGGAGACCCCTTTTTCGCCTTGAAATGTTGATGTTGGAACAGGCAGGCAGGCAGGCAGGGTGGCCCCAGTGAATGTACGGGCTCTTGACCTTTCTTGCGCTGGCTCTGCCCTGCTCTCTCCCCTCTCCTCACACAGCATTTTGATCCTTCTATCGCTCCTGGCAGCACAGTTGCAAGCACTAATTCTCCCTTGCCAGCTGATTCATCCCTGCACCACACTACCACAAACAAGCAAATGCATCTTTTACACCTGAGATGATAAGTCAAAGTTCCATCCTGAAGGGCTTGGTCTGGAAAAACAAACTTTGCTTCAAGTTGCAAGGTCTTCTCTGATTAAATATCGGACATTCTCAAGTCCTTTTCCTACCCTTTCCATTACCAACAACCTTCTTTCTACATGAGGGACGATATCAGGACAATGAAGGCACCTCACCACTGCATATATGAGCATCGTGTGACCCGGACTATCTGCTGAACTCCTGCAAACCTTCCCCTACTGGAGAGAGGGTTGCATGAGAGAAAGGTGTGCAGGAGCCAGATGTATTCCCTGAGCAATATATGACAAGGTAACTAACCTGCAGCCTCACCATGTTTAGAGACTCAGCAATTTAGCCTTGGTCCAGATCCCTTCTCTGCAGGACAATAAATGCCCAAGTCTGAAACAATCCCCTGCTTTAGTAGAATGCATTATTGTGCCCAGCAGTGTATCTGAGAAGGCTGGAAACGGAAGAGAAGGTAGTCTCACCTAATCTGCATCCCTTTGCTCCAGGAGCACATGTCTTTCCTCAGGAGAAGGTTGTTGAGAGTCACAGCCCCAATGATGTAGAACATCTGTTTGACCACCTGCTTGATCAGCTCTGGATCCATTCCATGTTGACACATGGTGGAGTGGAAGGCATTCAGCTGCCGAATGATTGAGTCCAGGGTGTACGTTCCTTCATCAGCGATGCTGGAGGTTCTCTTTCGGAGGCCAGTTGGCTTCACCCCGGACACCCCTTGGATTGTTTCATGTTCCAGCATCCCTGAAACTGTGTAACACCAGCATTAACATAGCTAAGAACCCCGAAGGCAAAAACTAAGATGTCAGAAAGGTCAATGTGAATACACTTAATTCGTTTGTTTTAAATATTCATATGCTACTATCTTTTAACAAGAAAGAATTGTCAATTTGGATTGTGTTTTATACATCAATCAAGTTGTGTGTATTAGGAGAGGAAATGATATTTATGTATATCTGAATAAACTGACAGAAATTTGCAAGCTCCAGTGTTAAAATAGCTTAATAGGCAATTATATTAACTGGACTTAACTCAGATGTCCAAAATTATTTTCCTTAAACATACTTGTAGTGTCAGTCATACTGCTTTAACAAATAGCCTGTTGTACCACTGACCCGCCTGGAAACTTCCTACCAAGCCAAGACACAACACAAAGAGTTCAGACAACACAGAAGCAGAGCAAAAGAATCTGGCATGGTTGGTAGTGAACAATACTTTTTATCAATAAACGAGGTAGAGACCCAAATGATGCATGCAGAACCAATTAAAATGTCTGCCAGATTTTGGGTAGCAGGAACTTCTGCTACTCACCACACTCCTGGAAAAAATCTTGGATGTCGACTGGTAGCTCCCTTATTTGGTGTTGTTTAGCCACAAAGTCATGCCTGACCCATCGCGACCCCATGGACAACACTCCTCCAGACTCTCCTGTCCTCCACCGTCCCCCGGAGTCCACTCAAGCCCACACCCACTGCCCCAGTGACCCCATCCAGCCACCTCAACTTCTGCCGTTTGGTACTCTCCATGGGGTTTTCATGGCAAGGATACTGGAGTGGGTTGCCATTTCCTTCTCCAGTGGATCAGCTTTTGTCAGAGCTCTCTGCTATGACCTGCCCATCTTGGGACCCTAAAGAGCACTGTATGAATGGAAGAGCACTCTGCTGGATCATACCAAAGGGCTATCGAATGCAGGATTCCGTTTCTCACAGTGGCCAACCTCAAGGAGATCACACAGGCCATACCCCTCTCCCATCAACGTTCCCCAGCACGTGCAACGCCTCATCTTGGGGGCAACATCACCATCATGACTAATAATCACAGATAGTCTTATACTCCATGAATTTGTTTAACCTCCTTCTGTCTGATTCCCCCAATCAACACAGAGACATTACCCTGCACTCCCATTTTGATGGTACACACAAGTCAGGCAAAATATTTTCACAACCGTTTAAATGGGGAAAAGGCTGATGTCAAAAGCTCTTAAGACTGAAATGCTCTTTTTTAGTAGAAATGTTCAAAGAAAATCAGAGCCATCAGAATAAAGAGCACAAGTAAAGAGGGCCTTTAAAGGAGATAAATTAGAAAAGGGAAAACACGGGTTTCTGTTTTGTATTATTCCCATTTCACCTTACCAATCATTGGCTGCAGAATGTTCTCCAAAACTCTGACAAGCTGCTGGTAGATCTGAATTGCCAAGTCACTTAACACTTGTCTATATTCAGCAAGATCAAAATTGGTGAGGCAGTGTTCATTCTGACGAGATGTGTTGTGCTTCATAAAGCCCTGCATTTGAAGAAGGTAATAGTGCATGTTGAAGTTTACATTTCTATATTCCCCTTATCCAAAAAGCTCAGGATAGACATCCTGTTTTATGTGAAGCAAGGGCACAGTCCCATGCATATTTGGATGAGAAAAGGTCCTACCACCCCTGTATTCCCCAACCAGCACTGGTTTTGGGATACTGAGCATTAGAGGATCTTTTTCTGTCCAACTAAGCATACAATTGCCCCTGAACTCCCTGCTGATCTACCAACCACCCACCAAATGGCAATCCAAGGAAAGGTATCAGTCTGGCTCTGAAAAATGCTTTTCTTGCCTGCTGAAAAGCTCAAACCATATTTTCAGATTAAAGAGGAAGGTCAAATGGAGAGGTGGGGACCTCCAGCCCAAGGGCTGCATGAAGACCTCAGCCTCCTTGAAACCCTACCCCCTTTGGGCTCTGGCATCATCTGCTGCTTGAAGGTGGACCCCAAGAGTTGTTGATGGAAGGAATGTGGACCTTGGCAGCAAGACGTTTCCCCAACCTGTTCTAATGTATTCATTACCTTAGCCTGAGCAAGGTATTTTGCTCAGGCTAAGTCAAAACCAAAGGCACACACAGAAATGGTTAAACTTGCCTCTTCACCGCTGTATTGCTTCAAACAGTGTAAAAACCTGCATGTGTTAGACAGCCAGAAGGAAACTGTTTCAAAGTCATCACCTCTTTTCTGAAAGCAAATGAATACAGTGTGAATTAAAAGACAAACTGAAGAAAACTCGATCAATGTTAGTGGCACTTGCTTTGCAATACTATTTAACAGGCATTTTAAATTGCACTGAACTTCCATATCATGTTCCATATATATCCCTTTGCAATTCCACCCCTTTCTATTCCTGCCATACATTCCTCGGCTACAGAAGTCTTCTGAATAGGATTCTGTGCAGGTAAAGGTGATGCACAGAGACCATGAAGAAAACTTACAAGTTAACTGGTAAACAGTGAGATCAATTTAAGAATGAATTTATAAGAATTATGTGATGCTGTAACACACACACTAGTGTTCCTCTATTGAAGAGGCCCTGTAATACTTGGAACAAAAGCACCCTCTATTTTTACAGATAATGTGTCAAATGCCTAAAGGGCATCTGCCCTTTGGATGGTATATAAGTCAAATAAATTCTGTTTTTCTCCATAATGTCGTCATGTGAAAAGAAAAGGTGATTCCACTTCTTGGCAGAATTTTTTAAAAGGCACACAACAAACCAAGGGGATTAGGTACTCCTGTCCCATAAACCAGCAGAAAAACTCACCTTCAATATTTTTTTGATGCCATTAATAGTAGAAGTCAGCAAGGACCTCACTTTCTGATCATCATTAAGGTAGTCAGCATGGCGGACGCACATGAACAAGATGTATGCCGGCAATCCTGGGATGAGGTTGACTGCCACCCCACGCGGTTTCAGATCTGAGAGAGAATGCAGAAATATGCATGCCCACGTTCATGAAATGGTTGTGGTATTTTACACAGCCTGATAAAGCACTCCAGTCTTAGCACACACTCCTTTAACTACTTAAAACAAATTAGATTCAGTTGTTCGATAATATGAACCCACTATTCCTTTAATTTCAGGATTCTTTTACCCTGCAATTATCGACTGCAAATACTCTGTGCCCATTGCAGGACAGAATGGTGTAAAGTTACGGAAGGGGATAAGGAGACATGGGTTGCAACTGATAGATAAATAGGGATTGCTTTTCTTTCTCAAATCTTATGTCAAATAAGCTGGGCATAACTGAAAAAGTAACAGAAGGCATGGCAAAATCACCCTGCAACACTTTCTCTAAATATAAAAGATCCTTACCTAAAATAAGGTTCTTCACTAGCTTGGGCTCATCCTCTTTCTTATATTCTAACATTCCCTGGAAGTCCTTTTCTTTCCTTGGAATATTAACAGGATGGATTGGCTCATCAATTATTTGTCCAGGTGAAATGTTCTCCATCTGGCCCACTAAATGAAAGAAGAAAGATAATTTTTAAAAACCCATTATCATCACCACCCAAAACAATGTGGGTTTTGTCAACAAAATCCAAGAGTGTTAATCAAAAGGGTTCATACTAAATTGTGGAGTGTTCTAATTTAGATTTAGCCTAATCTAAATTGTTCAAGTTCATACATCACAATGACCCAGATTTTTTAAAAAATTCTGTGAATGGGGCAGTGTTGGGTTGTATGTCAAGGCATGCAAACCGGGAATTCTTGCTTTTGTCTTCCCCGGCAAGTTCAAGTTAGAACCCTGCACAGGTTTGCCTCAGAACAGATGACACAGCATGCATTAGCACCAGCCAAGTTCACAATACTGTGTTCACACATTACTGTGACACGAGAATGGGCCATTTGATTTGTTTGCTTGTTTGTGTATTAATGTTTGTTTGTTTATTATTATTTTGTACACTGCCAAGTTCTTCCAACAGGAGTCTCTAAGCAGCTTACAACAGGTAATCAAAGTTACAAACATTAAAACAGCAAAACCAATGATAGGTAAAACAACAATTTAACAATGGCCATTTAAAACTGTATTAAGTGAGGGGACAACCATACACAGCAACATATTAAAAACAATTTAAAATCAATTATTAAAATAACTAGAAAAGAGAAATGTTTTTGCCAGCACCGAAAAGAGAACAATGTTGGCGCCAGGCGAATTTCTCTGGGGAGCCTGTTGCATAAATGGAACGTTGAGACTCACTGCCTAATTAAGACATCCAGAGGACATATTCACAAACAAAGAACTGGACACCAAGTTAAGCCATTGTTCCACTACTGCAGTAATTGCATACTAGATCCTTCAGACTGCACCACAAATCCAGAAGGACAGGGTTGACAGCAACTGCCAAGCAATCACATCCCCATTCTATGGGGATTCAACTTACAAGAGAAGCCTTCCTGCCATAGATGGAAGTTACCTGAACATTAATTCAAAAAACTTAAGATCTTTGGACTTTAAAATCCTGGAATTTGGCTATCCTTGAAGGTGCTCATGTACCCTCTTCCTTCTCTGGTCTCATTTCCTTCCAGAGAAGAAATTCTGTGCATCAGGTAGGGAAACACCACACATCACGATCCTCAGCAAGCTACACGTGCCCCCAGACGTGCACAAGCAATTAAGCCCTAGTTTTCTTTTTTATAGACCAAGGAGACAAGTCTTGGACAATCTAGCACCTCTGTTCATCTCCCATTTGCATTACAGAAGTGTGTACAGCCTAGATACAGAGTTATACTGCATTAAGGGTGTTTTATGTTTTAAAAGTTGAAAGGCAAGATTACGTCTATTTAGAAAATGCAAGATCTTGCTAAAGAAGGCATGAGAAAGGTTTTTTTATGCACTTAGTATATACTCTAAGAGTAGCTTCTTAAGTATGCTTACATGGGAGTAAGCATAGGACTTATTTTTGCATAAACATACAGAGGGTTGAGCAGTAGGAGTGGTAAAATCCACATTCTTGGAGACAAGAATTTTCTTTTCTAAAGCATGTTAATTCTTTCAGCAAGCTGACAAAAAAACACAATCTGGCATATCGAATGATTGGAAACTTACCTTTTCTTCTTATCTTGTGTCAATCCAGTACACTATATGATTGCACACCCAAAAAAGCTGCTGGGATCAACCCATGGGGCTTTAGATAAAGAAAGTTTCTTTTATCCAGAGTCCTGGTCAGTATTAAATTTTTTAATGCCACCTGCCCAACAGGAACTTGTTCTGAAACATGCTTTATCAAAGTTACATTTAGTGTGGCAGAGGGTAGGCAGCAGTAAGATCTTAGCCACTCCTTTCTACCCTTTGATCAAGTGAAAGTTGCTAATGTAATCTTCAGGAGTGCCACTTTTTTAAGGTGTTCCTCCAGCAGACTTGGCAAAATGAACACAGAGGCCTGCCATTTCTGTGTGTCACCTGCCTGAAAGAGTAAAGTACAACCCAGTGAAACAGCAGCTTTTTGTTGTGAAGCAAGCGGGGAGCTGTGTTTATCATGATTAAGGGATAAAGAGCGATTTAATAAGGAAGTAACTCTTCCCTGCACAATGAATATTATATCTGGCAAGCAGCTCTCTCCCTGGAAAAAGAGTCTACAAAGATTAGCAAGCTGTGACGGGTGTGCACAGAAGCACAACTAGACCCAGGAGTGTTTTTCATTCCATTGTGGTGCATTAAGAGTGACTGATGCATACATTTTAGCCATACATCATGTATTAGTAAAAATGGAGCCTGCACAAACAAATATGGCAAAGCTCAAAGCTCAAATATGAGCGAAGATCCAATCCATGACTATCTTCTCCAGTGAGCCTTGCCTTCTTGTGATCTGCCCAAAATTTTGTCAATTTTGCTTCCAAGGTTTGATCTGATGTAAGAGCTGCAAAGTTTCTCTCCCTGGCTTGTGCAGAATGGCATCTGAACAGACAATACTACAAGGGCACAGAAGTAACTCAGGAACAAACTTGGGGGCAAGTTCCTCATTTGGACATCACACTAACCTAGTCAGAGGTGGACAGTTTTGCTCACCGCTGGGTCACTGTGGCACAGAGACCCTGCCTACCATTCTTACAGTGCATTATTTCTTTCACAGCATGATCTGAAAGGAAGAGGGCGATGCCATCTTGTTCCCAAGTACACGGGATTATCTAGTGTTTATCTCATTACTGCCAAAGCACTGCTCAAAGAGGTAAATCCCAAGAGTACTCACACATGCAGGCATGCATTTACACTATTTTCCAAATAAATCCAAACTGAAAAAACATACTTTATCTTCAGTGCAACATTTGCAGTGGCATTTTTTTTCCAAATGTGAGACGAAGTAAAAACTCACAGCCAAAACTCTGATCATTTGAAATGACACCCAGGGCAAGAATGTAGCAGGAGCCAGGGGCAAAAAACTCCCAGTGCTCTTGGTATCGGCCCTGGGAGTCGAGCAGCGATATGTGAGGAATGCAGTTGGGAAGTGGGAAGCCACTGGATAGTCAGTCTCAGCCTGGCTCCCCGGACTCCATCCCACGTCCTCTTGCTGTAAGCCCAGCTTGGCCAAGCATTCGGAGGGCTTCTGGCAGGAAGCGAGTCCTGCTGTTACGCAGGGGCATCTAGTGACGCTGGCTTGCCCACGCCCCGCCCACCGCCCGTGCGCCTCCTTCCTGCGCAGGTGGAGTTCTGCTTCCGCTCCTATGACCTGCAAGCTTTGCATCCTCTGCCACTAGGGTCCCCAGGGGGTTGTGCGCTTGCTCTAGATTGGGCTTGCTTCCCAGGCCACGTCTGCGTGTGGGAAAGAGGTCCAGCAAGCGCAAGAGAGAGACAGAGATTCCAGCTGGATCTTCACATGCCGAGATTCGAGCCCTGATGACACAGTGGACTCTTAAACTGCTTGTATGAGGGCGTTCTCTTCATTACCTATGGCCATCACTGGCTAGAAAGTCCCACACAAAAGTATGACTATTATGAATTCTGATACTGCAGTCTCATGTTTCAGGAGGAATGTGAGTATTCCTGTTGGCCAAGGATCTTTGCATGATCACTTCTTGGTCCCGACAAAAACAAACAATGTCCTTTAGTAAACAGAGAATAATGTGAAAGTCCCCTCCTTGCCTGCTTCCCTCCCTCCCTCACAACCAGTTTGCACACAGCTTCCAGGATAATTCACGCCCTTTTCTCAATGTACTAATATTGCTGACCAATTGAGAATGCGATCTCCAACTCTCTTTAAATTATTGCATCCAGATGTTGACAGCTAAAAAGACTCATTGCTTTAAAGGGACGGTACAATGCATCAACCTTTGTGCTGCCAGAGGAGAGGTGAAAACAGTCTTGACCACACACAGAGACCATACCTTCGAGTTCATCAATCTTTTTAGCAAAGACTTTGAGCTGCTTTTTCAGTTTGCGAACAGTCTTGTCCTGCTTTTCAAGCTGCTCCATTAAATCCTATGCAATAAAGTTGAGAAAGAAGAATTAGAAGATACTTAGAAGTACCCCATATGCAACAGATAAAACAGAAGCAGTATTGTTAGTGTTACAGGAACGGAACACAGCTGAAAGGTAAGGCCATCATCTGGCAGAAGTTTGCAAGCCTGCACACTGCCTAGAACATTTGCAAGATATCATACAAGTATACGGAAGTACATGCAGCATGACAGAGACTTAATGCAGACAAAGTTTGTGAATGCCAACGTAGTCATACCCGATTTTCCGGTAGCAGCCCTCTCATGGGATCAAGAAGATCCCACACCCACTGGTCACCTTCTACCCATTGAGAGAAGAGTGGAGGAAGCAGTGGCCATGCCTGAGGTCCGTTTCTATAACGGGTGTTCTCCCAGGGGTGAAACAACATCTGCACAGGCCCCGTGGCAGAGTGTCTGTGAAGTCTGGCTGACTGAAGTAAGTATCATTTTAAGAATCCTCTCAACTGCTTCGTCTACCACCCCACTATACCTGTAACCCTCCTAGTACCACTGGAATTCAGTCTCAAAGTTTTAAACAGTTTATCTAACAGCAAGTCTAGAAGCATGAGAGACTACCGCTTCTCTCTCAGAATATGACATGTACAGCGAAAAGTGCCTGTTTCCATCATGCTGCAACATTCGTATTAGTAGCAAACTGTGCGCTGACAAAAAGAGGGACAACGCAACTGACACAACAGAAAGCTCTGGGGAGAGGAATGATGTGCTTTAGTTCTCTGAAAAAGAGTTCCTCCCACAGTGGGCCAGGCAGCCAGCTCTTCAGTTAGTGCTCCAGAGACAGCAAACAGAGAAGGAGTGTCTGCTCGATGTACATACAATCGTCCGTTTGTAAAGTGAAATCCGGTAAGACTGATACTTCATGGGGTCATCTGCATATATTTCCTCACAATACTGAAAAAACAGGTATAAAGGATAGGTTCTTCCCGTACTTTTAAGGCACTCGTGTTTCAACAAGCAGCACAAGAAAACGTTCAACTTTATTAATTGCAGAGCAGACCTTTCATGTTCCGTCCGTTTCCCTGCATAAGGAGGCGAAAACCTTCAGACCAGCCATCCTCAATCTAGTGCGCCATCCAGATGTTTTGGACTACAACTCTCAGCATTTCTGACCACTGGCTATGCCAGCTGTGGCTGATGGGAGTTGAGGTCCAAAGCACTCAGTGGGTGCTAGGTTGGGAAAGGCTGCTTTGGATGGATGAAACAGGGGAAAAAATCTGGTTCATTAATTGGTATCAAAAAATAATGGCACCATATATACTTCAAAACCAACTGACAAATAAACTAAAAGCAGCTGGCATTATTCACCACCTTTTTTTACCCTGGCTGGGCCACAGTGGTCAATATCCATGTCGCGCCACAGAAAAAGATAAGAGAAGATATAGCTGACTTAGAGGAGCAGATAGACCATAAAGATTCATCTGCTCCTAAGTATTTTATCCACTTGCAGCGGCAGCAAATAAACGTCTATATTCAGGGTATATTATAGACACATGGGGAGCCTTATCAGCTCTGGAAGTGTGTCCTTGTCCATTTCTGTGGGGTTTCATGGGTAGCATAAAAGCAAGAAGTCGGTAGGGCTGTGCACACATCCCCTTAGACAAGCGGACTCTCTCGCTCCCTCAGAGCAGGGGGTTTCAAAATTGCCTCCCACTGGAGTCAATCTTTGTCAAGACTATTTTTCTCAAGACGGACTGGCAGCGGGAGGGGGTGGAGCAGACGGGGACCCTCGTGCAAGTAGCAGCATGTGGGGAGGGGAGGGCCAGTCTCCCCCACTGCCGCTGCCAGCACCACCGAAATCGTGGCAGACTGCCCTGGGAGAAGGCGAGCGCCCTGCTTCACCCCATGCCGCACGCTGAGCAAGGGGTGTCTTTGGGGCACGGAGCCCCGAAAGGCAACAGGGCTGCCTGAGGAAAAAGAGGGTGCTCCCCAGACTGCTTGTGGGGAGACAGTGGGAGGAGAGGAGAAGTGGTGGGGTTGGTGGAGAGGTCCTGCAGTCTGGCTGCCAATCACAGGCTGCCACGTACCCAGCCACGCATGAAGGGGCCCAGAAGGTGTCGCGTGGCACCAGCGTGTGGATTGTACACTGCCCAGAGAGCCCCTGAAGGGCTAGAGCCGTATATAAATGCATCAATACTGTTTATATTGCAAGCTGCCTAGAAAGGCCTCGGCAATTATAGGCAGCCTATAAATGTATGTAAATAATTAGACAAAATAAATAAATGTGAAACTACATGCAAGCTATCTAAAATGTTATGTGATGTTTATTTGTTTGTTTGTTTATCTGTTTAGGATATTTGTATGCCGTCCTTTGCAAGAGCCTCAGGACAGCTCATGTTATGATATGATACGATATGTTATCCATAATAACGTCATGAACTGCATAACTGCAGAGTCTGGAGAGCAGGTATGAATGCTGCTTATGGCAGGGTTATTCTCATGAAGCAAGAGTAGGAACCTGATTGTTGTGGAAATGCGAGGATCAGTACACTTAAACTATGTATGACGTATCTGTTGAGGAAGAACAGTCTCCAGAGAGGATCACCACACTCCTACCTCGGCTTGGCATCTGGCCTATATAAAAAGCAGAATGGGCACTTGGCCAGCTGGAGTCCTTGACAGGTCAGGCAAGTATTTTGCTAAATTTGGGAGCTGAGCCAAAACCTGGCAACCCAATTCTGCAAATATTAACTTCTTTCCCCCACTTTTTACAATAAGCAAAGTAGCGGAGAGAGATACAAGCATACACAAGCAACTTCAAAAGACTTGGTTTGTCGTTGTATCCTTGCTGACTTGCTACAAATGGATTTGTCTAGTGTGCGGAAGTATTGCAACAGCTCCAGGCCAGACTAGCAGGATCTGGATAACAGGGCTATTTATATGCATATTTCTTTGCACCCACACAAGTGTGGTTATGTCTTTGCAAGCATGCAGACCTTCAGTTGCATCTGCAAGGTTACATATGTCAAAGAAACCCCCACTCAATTATTTGCAGGTAAATAATTTCTCTCACTGTGTGATTCAAGTAAAAATGCTTCCTTTTCCATTCAATGTCATAAGCACTTTAATTCTTATTCAGAGTAGCTGTGCTTCCTTCTGTAGTTCTGCAGAATGCACCCGCCCTGCTTTGTTCTCAAGATATGTTTAAAAACAGTTTCATCACCCTGGCAGGAAGACTATATGGCTATTTCCCCAAAAATAGATTGTTCTCCTCCCTTTACATTACATGGAAACTGAATACTGAGCTGCTGCTGAAGCACTGGGGCTCCTAAGCGATTGCAGCTAAGTGGGAAGGGCCACTTGGTATTGGATCGGTTTGATTTAGTTACCCAGAGGCTTTCAGGACCAAGCAGAATCAAATCACATATGCTCAGCTTCCTCCAGGAACAGTGAAGGAAGTCTCCAAAGCAAGAGGAAGCGCCAATTTCTCTTGCTCCAGAAGCCCTGAAGTAGCACGATCTTGAATCCTGTGTGGTAGCTCTGCCTTCAAGGCATCCTGCACATGTTCTGCCAGCATTAGCATTTCCGCCTCCCCACCACCCACCTCTGAAACTGTGCAGTGACCGCTCCCTGTGCCCCTCTTGGCTGCGCGGACGCTTGGCTTACCAGGTTCTCATTCGTGAGGCGGGTGATCTCGTGCTGCAGACTGGCCTCTATGCGGGCTTCGGGGGGCAGCTGCAGGTTCTGTGCCAACAGCTGCTGCTGGCGATTGTTCTCCTCCTTCAGACTCTGGATCTCTCCACGGAGGGCTTCCAGTTCATTGTCATGGCTCCTCTTCTGAGACTGCAGCTGAGATTCCAGGAGCCTGCACGGAGCCAGGATAGGGGGCAGAGCAAAGGGAAGGCAAGGGAAAAGAAAGTGGATTTCAGAATCAGTCCTGAAGCTTCTCTCCAGAGGTCTGAAGCTTCAGCTGCTGTCCCAGCATACTTAACTGCCAGCTTATATGGAAAAGAAAGAAAATTATGCGGTGCATTTTAAACCCTTTGTGCGCCTTGAGACTCACACTCCATTTGTCTACCAATGGGACTTATCACCAATTAACATGGATCCTAGTACACTGCCTAAAGGATCTCGGCTCTGCAAAGCACAAAGCCTAACAGGGCCAAGCCTGCCATTTCAGGTAGCAGATGTGGGGGCCCTGTGAAAAGGACAGTGACGTGTGAATTGTACTATTTTACCAGCTTAGGGAGGGGACAGGATCTGGATTTCTGTTTCCAGCATTCAGGCTCTCCAGCCATCTCTGATCCCGAAGCCTCAGGGATTCCTTAATTAATGGTTTCATGCAAGGAAAAGGCAGAATCCAAGATGATTGCAGTGGGATTAGGTGCAGGCATGTATGACACAGCTTTGTTCAAGATTAGCTCTGTTCACAGAGAAACAGAAGTGTCTCACCAAAACAAGAACACCAATCAATTTTAATGTAGGGAACGGTTGGAGAAGCAAGGACAAAATCAAGAACCAACAATAAAGGTTCGTGCTGAATGTGCTGTGGATGCACAGTAAGGCCTCAAGGATGTGATTCCTCTTCCATATATGCCAAAGAAGGAAGGGAGGATACTAATGTTTAATACTAATACTGCATTTCTATATTTGTAGCGCACATATATAAACTAGACTGCTCTATCAGACACACTTTCAGGGTTTAAATATACCTAAAGCAGACCAGCTACATTGACCAAGCACATGAAGGTAAATATGAATAATTTACCTTTCATTTCTTTGCCACTTGCTCTAGAATCTTTGGCTTCTAGAACATGAAGACAAGAAACAAAAGCTACCAAATCGCCAATCCCGTTGTTTTCTCTGCAGCCGGGTAACTACCCCAAAGTTAGCTTCTAGCAGACTTACAAAAAGTAGTGGTTAATGCTGAGTATTTTGTTAGTAGCACAAGGAAAGGAAAAAACACTGGTCAAAATGGTTCTCATTACATAAATAACTGTGCTGGCTAATTTGTTTTGTTAAAGTGCACGAGGAACTACCCTCATCATTTAACTACTACAGCAGTTAATTTACTGAGATTAAAGGAACAGATGTTTGGTGAAGACACTTCAAAGCCCCAAATGCTCATCAAACAAGTGGATCCATTTTGAACACTCTGTACATGTGACAAATGTGTGCAGACTATGTTGCTTATCACGGGGGTTTTAGAAAATGACCTAAATCGTTTTTAATAGAGTCAACCGGCATTTTCTTCAGCTGCAATCTCTTAATATTTCCCCCTTGCTATCAGATAAACAGAACTGGCAAGAAATGCACCCAGAATGCTCTCCCTCCATATGTTTTATCTGGCTGATTTAGAGCATGATAAACTATTTTGCACTGGACTATATATATTTAGTAATATTACTAAAATATATAGTTTGGCTCTAGGATTCTGGCAACTTTCTAAGAAGTGGCGTGTCTGCCACCTTCAGTGCAGTGGCCCCATATTTAGCCATGGAAGTGGATGCTGCTGGTCCTCCTCCTCTTCCTCCTCACTGCCACTGGTGAAGAAGGTTCAAAAAGGCTGACAGCAAAAGGGAAGGTGCAGAAAGCCGCACGTTTCCACCTAAGGAAACACACTTTCAAAAAGAGAAGGAGTGTTGAACGGCCAACTGGTCCTCTTCCTCTTCTCATTGTCATCAAAGGAAAAAGCTGGGTAGATTATCTGGCTGCAAAGAAGACACATCAACTTCACCCCCAGATGCTCACCCATCTTCTCCTGGGGAGCACAGACTCATTTCTACCTGTGGCTGCCTCATCACTGCACTATCGTTTATGTCATTTGGAACTTCCACCGCAACAGTTTTGGATCTCTGTCTAAGTCACTGGAAGGCCCACGCTTGGTGGGGCCCAGCATGGTGTCCAACCACGCCTACTGCTAATAATGGACTTGTTTCTAGATGGCAGGCATTGATGGTTCCATTCTCTCTTTTTCTTTTTTTCAGAAAATCCATTTGGATGAAATATTTTTAAACTACTGTAATAAAGGTTACTGAAAAAGCAATGCCCACAGCATGTTAGTAACAACAGAACGAGAGAGAAAGAATGCAAATTAAAAGAGCAGGAATGCCCATCCTGAGAAGTCTTGTAACCTGTTGGCTTGTTTTAGCCCTTCATAAACCAGCCACAGCTCTCCATCTTCATTCAGCATATGATAGTCTTGAAGAGATGATCTTCCAAGCAAAATGGGTTTTTTAATGGAAAAACACAAAAGGAATACATGGTGGTGAAGGCATAAAATGCTAATTAGAAGGACAATACCAGCCAAGTTAGTGTTATTAAAGAAAGGCTATCTTTGGTCTCCCTAACTGCACAATTGCTTTAACGAGGGAATCCTCTGCATGTTTACTAGGAAGCAAGTATAGTGGGCCTAATGCCTAAATGAGTGTCCATAAGATCGCAGTCTGCACATCACAATTCTATATAGATCAGTCAGAAATAAGCTCCTTTGGGTTTAATACTTTAAACTGCTAAATGCTGCATTGAGTTTAATGGGCCAGTGCCCAGTATAGAGGCACAAGATTGTTGCCTTAGTTGATGAAATCATAAACCAGCCTTCCCCCACTCCTTCCATACATGTTGGACTACAAGTCCCATCACCCCAGTCAGGATGAAGGTAGTTGTAATCTAATGCATCTGGAGGGCACTGAGGTTATCATTCTCCTATATCCAAATGCAGATTCACTCCCAGAAATGCAGAGTTGTTCCCTGAGTTCAATGTAGAGTTGTATTTTCTCAGATTATAGACAACAATCATAGTCGCGAATGATAGGATTTTACTGTTTATTTCCTGGTCCTTTTTATTCTAACTATTTCTGGCATTTGGTATAAACACAACCAGTGGCAGCAACAACAAAGAAAGCATGTCTATGCACCATCTAAGTGCACGTACCTGTTTGTCTCCTTCAGACCGATGTATGCCTGGGCTATCTCTCCCTTGTCCTTCATCTTCTGCACATCCTCCAGAAGGATTGTGCAGTCCGTCATGGTGTTCTAAGGAAAATTGAGAGGAAGCCATTTCAAAGGCTGGATGAACCAGAGGGTCGGGTGCATGCGCGTTTAGGGCGAGTGGGGATGACTTAAGCATAAAGTCCGCGGAAGCAAGTAATATTCATTTATTCGCATTTATTACTGACAGTTTCTGCACTGCTTTTAAACAGAAACTCTTGGTGGAGTTTGCACACCAAATGATGGACTAGCACTGAGGAGACCAGAGTTCACATTCCCATGCAGTTGTAAAGGTCACTGAGTGATCCTCAGCCTCTTCATCGACCCTGTTGGGTAGTCATGGAGTTAAAAACAGGGAGGCAAGGAGGAATGCTAAAGCCCAGGGCAAAAGAACATGCTGTTCTTTTCCCAGACCAGATGCAAAGGCACCAGGTGAAGGGTGAAGATTTAAGGAAGAAACCGTACCTCCTTACGAACAACTATCCGGGCATTCAAGCCGAACATACCAGTTGAATAATATGAAGAATACAGGTTAAGACATGATTTGCTATTTATACATGTGTCAGCCTGGATACTGCTTGAACAGAACATCTTAGAGACATGTCATGCCCAGTGGGGAGTCTTGCACCTAAGTTACGCTCACAGACAATGCAAAGGAACTCATTTACCTTGTCATCCTGGCAATCCATCCGCAAGCAAGAAAATAGAGAGACAAACCCGGGTCACTCATATTCATCTGTGCTATAGATCCCCAACTAGGAGAAATGACACACTTTCCACCTTTCCATGATCTGTGCACTCACAGAGGCATTGCTGGCCCAGTGGGTTTTTTCCCAACAAGAAGCCCTACACCAATCCACAAGCCCCAATGGCAAGATGCAGTGCAAGGTTTCCAAATTATATCCCTTAGACTGGGGTGCATAAAGCTTCAATCCCAGATCAGCTGCTATGTGACAGGTATACCAGACAGACATCCATGTGTGCCCTGGTTCGATTTAAACTATCCTTCTTCCTCAAAAAGGAGAAGTGATTTTGCCAATCAAATCATTAAATGTATGATCATCATGCAAGTTGTTAACTGAAGCTCCCAGATGTTTCTCTAAAATCGATGTCCAGCTTTCCAAACAAATTAAGCTACATGCCTGTGCTACTGGCAAGTCACCCAGAGTGACGGCCATGTTAGTCTGCATCGGGCCATCATATTTTACTCTGAAAGCACCTGTAATTCCTCATGCTGTACAATAGTAGCCACGTTCAAATAATCATCACAGTAGGTCACAGAGGATAAGCAAGACTTCTTATACCATCAAGCAGCATGACTATGTATGGCAACTCAAGCTGTCTTTCTTGTTGCTTACCTTGGGCTGAATGGCCTCTTTCTGGCTCATGAGCTGAGACCGCAGGATGAGCACTTCCTCCTTGCGAACCTCCAGCTCCTCACTGACCGAAGTCATCTGCTCCAAGAGGACCCTGTAGGCTGGGGCACCGGGAGCGGTGACGTTTGGAGAGCTCTTTTCTATCAGTGCCTTCCTCAACTCATTCAATTCATTCTTCAGTTTCTTATTCTCTGACTCAAGCTCTTGGCGCTACAGAGGGAAGAAAAACAAACAGTTGCCCTCATTCACTAGCCCCACTCATATATATTTTTAAAAGGAGGGATAAAAACTTCCCTCCTTTTAACAACTTCAGGTCACACCTTGGTGAAAAACCAGGCACTTTGAGTCTCATCTTCTTTATAAATGCTTTATCTTCTTTACGGACTTGTTAGCAGTTTATCTCATGTGGACTGGAATGCTTAGCAGAGGGTTTGCTCCTGTATCAACCAACCTGTGCTTTAAGACCAGCCAGGGCGACCCTCCCTGTGATGCCCAATGAGCATGATGAGATGCTTAATGAAAGGGGCCTAACCATCAACAGCACACGACCATGGAGTCCCCACTGGCCTCGATGGGCTTGCCTTTTAGCGGGCATTTGGCAATCACTTGGGCACTGGGGATGCAACCAGGCCCCACACAATCTGAGAGTGTTGCATTATTTTGCTGTTTTTTATTTATTTAAGGTTGTACTGATCATGCATAATTATGTATTTTACTGTGTTGTATACTGCCCGGAGCCCCATTAGGAGGGCAGGAGGAATATAAATAAAATAACAGTCATGGCTTTTCCCAAGGGATACTGGGAATTGTAGTTGAGTGAGGCAGTAAGAGTCCTGGGCTTCTGCATGCCCCCACATACCTGAAAACTACAATTCTCAGGGTCCTGTCACTATAAATGAGATTCACTACCTCTAGTCTGAATTGTTTTTCCCTGTTATAAAGAATAAAATTGGCAATTCACACAACAAATTGGCTGCTATTAAATCAGTGCCAGAAATGCTTATAATTTAAATCTACTTGTCAATTCATATCACACCCACCCTCCAGGAAGCTCTGACTAGTATTTTATGATAATAACCGACCTGTGAGATGGGTCAGGCTGAGAAAGTGTGACTGGCCCAAGACCATCCAGAAGCAGTCATAGCCAAGGAGGCTCATGAACCTGGGCCTTTCATGTTCAAGCCTATCATTCTTCCGCTGCTGTCCTGGCCACATACTTCAGAAGAATATACCAAGGACTGAATTACAGGCCATCACACTACACTGGCTCTCATGCGTAAGAGATGGCATTGAGGTTCACGTTTTGCCACTCACCGCCCGGTGAAGTCACTCTTTGTTAGTTAAAAGTGGCCTTTTATTAAATGAGCATGGCCACAAAAGAGACTTTAAGCAAGCTCAATAGGACATGATACATTCTCCAGACACAGGCCTCTTCTTTTGTTCTACAGATATTTTATGCAGCCTCTTCTTTTGTGCAATTCCGGAAGAGCCTCATCTAAGTCACTGGAAGTAGCTTGCAGAATGAAACCTCTATCAACTAATACGTCAAGTAATAGGACTACGCTTCTTTCTATTACTCTTGTAATGATGCACATCATATGTCAGCCTTGGCACCCTCTAGGTGGGTTGGATGACTGCCACCATCCTCAGCTCGCACAGCCACGGGAGTCCAAACCATCTCAAACGTGCCAGATGGGGTAAAGCTGAGGCATGGAAAGTATTCTGGACACTTTTTAAGAGTCCTGTAAACACTATCAATACAGCATGGCAAACTGGGGAATGTTGGTACTGCAGGACTTTTTCTGTCTAAATATGCATAAGATTACATATTATGCTTTTATTTTAATCTGGCTACTTAGGGGGTAATGTGTGAGATTAGGTGATCTAAAAAAATCTAGAATTACCTTAAGTGATTCGTATTCAAGCTCTGCACCTCTCATCTGAGGCCTTTCTTCCTCCTAAGCGACCAGAGACACAAGGAAAATATTCATCTGTTAGTCAGTAGTAAAGGGAACAAAAGCGAAAAAGTATAGACATTAGCAGAAAACAATGGGATCTTTTATTTTATATGTATGAGGGTGAAGATGGAGAATGTGATCCATGTTTATACGTGTATTCATACATGTGCACACCTACACACACACACACACACACACACACACACTTCTCATTACAAACATTCATCGGTGAGGGAATTTAAACACCACATAACAGGAGCTAGGGAATTGGGTTACAGCAGAAGTTCACCAACCCTGGAAAAGTACACACAGCACTGCAGCCTAAATGAAGAATGTGGAAGATGCAGCTGGTCCATTTTTAGCCCAAGTTAAAGCAGCAAAATATTATAAGATAGTTCAAGCTGCTGATAGAAGGGGGCAGGTTAAAAGAATCCTTTCAAGTTCGTAATAGGTATTCATGGAAGCAAAGTATCCTTAAAAACCAGCAGAACCAGCCTGTAAGCCTCCAACATCAGTTTTCAACACAAAAGAAAATCATGGAGCGCATAATTGCTATCTTTTGAATCAGTAAATTCAACAGGATTCCAACTCCCACCATTAGAATCCATGTCTCCTCAGATAATGAGGTCGAGCTTTTTCTGGCCTTTACCTTGGCCTTGGTTCGAAGAATTTGTTCCTCCTTCCTGTCCAGTTCATCCTGCAAGGATTGCTTTTCTTGCTCCAGTTCTGTAACTCGTTTTTGTAGCTTGAGGAAGAGAGACATGTCCAGGGGTGCCTTCTTCTCACTGGCGTCCTGATTCAAGGGCAAGCATGGGAATGTCAACATTTCCAAAACACCAAAGGGTGGGGTGGGGGGGTAGTCTACATATTATGTATCATGTGGGGAAGGCTAGAAACAGACTCCACGTGATGGCTTCTCCCCACAGTTCTTCCACCTGGCGTGAAGAGTTTCCATGACAACACCAGCTGTCTCGATATGTGGGTGGTAATGGTAGGGAAATTGTCCCTGCCATTTGGAACGACCACAGCAGCAACCACGTGGGAATGGCGGTGCAGAACAGCCGACCCCAACAGAGCATGCTAATATGTAGACTGACCCTGAGAGCTAGTGGAAGAAGGGGAAAGGAATGGCTGGCAGTTCGCAAGTGTTACTTGATTAGGAGAGCTGCTTGTCCTCTTTGAAAGGTTATTTTGGAAATCACCGTTTTAAAGGTTGTTTTGGTAAATAAATCTAATATAAAAAGCATCTATCCTAAAGCTTGCAAGGCAGGAAACTAGGAACTAACTAGCAGATTTAAGGTCTATGACCAATCCTACCTTTCTTTCTTAGTTGTTTAGGAGGGGAAAGGAGAAAAAAAAGTAGGTTTGCGGTTAGATTCAAAGAAAAATCCTGAACATAGTAAGTTTCTCTCACTGTATAGGCATGAGACATTTTAAGCTAACATAGACAAAATCTTTTAAATGACCACCCTGTGATTTCTGGTCATGCCTTTCTGTCTTCTAATTTTGACAAGTAACAACTCATGTATTCTAGGCAGATGTGAATGACCAACTCCGGCTCTTGTCAAAATCTTTCTGCCTACTCAGGCATTTTAATCAAGTTGGAAATTAGTTTTTGTGGATTTTGCCCACTATTTTATGTTCATATTTTTGTTAGGTGTGTTCTGTTTCACCTATGCTCTCCAATCTTACCTCTGTTCTCACAGGTAGTTCTTCTGCCTCGGTGATCTCAGAGCTGTATGTATACTCAGATTCATTGCTACTGTGTGTGGAATCTGTCCTCTTGTGCCCAGGCTTGGAGATGCTCTGAAAAAGAAAAACAAGAAATGTTCGTTAACATTAATATCTAACTTTCGTGCTCCATATTCACACATTCCATTCACTTTTAATGTTTTGTAAAAGTTGAGAGTGATTTGGTTCTGTCACCTGAAAGCTGGGAAATTAGCATGGAAATATGAGAATTAAAAGCTTAAAGACCCTGCTGAATGAGGGTGGGAAGGTGGTAGGCTAAGAAACTGGCAGAAAACACCCCCTCCAAACTGTGCACTCTCTGGGCCACATTCCTGCTACTCAGCAGCAACCTGGGTTTCCAGACCCGGGCCTGCAGCTGAACACCTATTTCAGCATTTACACTTGCCCGCATCAGAGCTGTTTCCATTTTTCTAAGACACTCACCACCATCAACTTCATCTCATCCCTGAGGTCATCATATCGCTCCTCTAACCGGCTGAACTCCTGGAGCAGATTCTGGTACCTCTGCCTTTCATTGTTGAGATCCAGGTCCAGCTGTTTTGTTTCCTCAAGAAGCCTTTTCTCCATGACCTCTGTAATTAAAAATGTAAATCAAGCAGGAGTGCAACGACAGCAATGCATGCCCCACTTCCAACTTAGGCAGTCACCCCAGAAGGATGCTACAGTTGATGGTATCTAATGACACTAAAAAGCAAACCAAACTCATTTTGTGTTGGACAAATTAAAAATGCAGGTACACTGAAGGAATAGCCTGTATCCCCAGCAGCCCACTGGGCAGGGAAGAGGTCGGATGTTGTCAGAGAGAGTAAAGGGATGGCCACCCACTTCTGCTGCTGGGCCCACCCTCTCTCAGCTTCAGCCATGCCTGCCTTTGGCACAAAGCCCTTGACAGTTTACTCCAAAGGAGTGCATCTCTCGGTGAGTAAAGGTACCATATGGGGATAATTTGACAATTTTATTTTTAAAAGCCCAGAGGAGGGAAGAAGCTTTTAGGAAAGAATTCAATCAAATCAAATTTACCTGTTATCTCTTTCTCCTGATTCTGGATGTGACAGTTCAGCTCCTCTTTTTCTTTTTTAAGTAGGGTGTTTTGCTCTTTTAGTTCCAGCACCAGCTAAAAAATAGAAATAACTCACAGCTAAAACTGAAAAAGATTTAATTTATCAAATGCAGTGCTCCAGTAAAAAAAAACTATTCCAGAAAATACAGCACTTTCATTAAATCTAATAGGGAAAATTAGAAAAGCTAGAAAATTTGGTAATTATGTGAAAATGGGGTAGCCAACCCTGCATTCCCCTTCCCTTCTGCATTACTTCCCTGTATCAAATTTTAGATCAGAAGCAGCATAGGAAAGGAACCTGTCTTCTTGTACTCTGCAAAGCATCATACACATCCAGTGCTAAAAATAAACAAATAAACAAAGCCAAATAGCAACTGTGCTACGATGTCAATAATAAGCAAGAGAGCACTCCTGGCTCAGTTTGCATTAGGCTTGAGTTCAGGGCAGAATTAAGTACGACAGTAAGCACAGCAAAAATACAGCACCTCGTTCATTATGGTGCTGCAAGGAAGACCAAAAAAATGCTGTTTCAGTTTTTTTTTTAAAAAGCATGCATTATATCTTGTAGCATGCATGCGCCAGCTCAAAGAGAAGGGATTCCAACCTGTAAGCAAGCATGAAAGAACAATGCTTTTCAGATGCCACCTATGATTTCCACTGAATATTTATCTTTAAAATAATTGTTAAAATCTGAACACCGTTTTTAATGAAGTAGCATCAAGCAACTGAATACTGCAGCCTGTTTTTCAAACTCTGTGGTACAGGGAAAGGAATTCTCACCTGGTCTGTTTCTTTTTTGTACAGATCTGCCTTTTCCTCGATTATCTTCTTTTCTGCCTGCGTCTGGTGCAGTTCCTTTTGCAGTTTTGCAATCTCTTCTCGCAGACTAAGGAGACGGTTGGTGGCATTTTTGGCCTCTTCTTCACTCATTCTAAGTCTTTCCACATCGTTCTTCAGCTTCTCTGTCTCAGAATTGTATGCGATTTCTAGGGTAGTTAGTTTTTCTAGCAGAGATTTGGAGTCTCTTGACTGAACAGATAACAAATAATACATATCAATGTTTGCAATAAATTTCCATTTAGCATCATTTTTCATATTACTAAAGATATATTTAATGATCGCAATTAGATTGTTTAGCCTTTCCGGCAGGTTATATCAGAGGTAAAGATGGGCTTGCGGGGCCATTCCATCAGCTCTGTAGAGGCCCCAGTTCCTTTAAATCTTTCAAATCAGGGACAGGTATCTTCAGAAGTCTTGGACTTTAGAAGCCCTTGCCAGCATGGCTAATGCTCAGGAATGCTGGGACTTAAAGTCTGAGACAACTAGAGATCTACTTCATGCCCTCCCCTGCTTTAAATTGTAACCCTGCAGGCAGGGAGTTTCTTGTTTGCAACTGACTTGTGTAAATCATTCTAGGGCCCATTGTAACTAGCAATAACAATAATACATCATATAATGTAAACCACCGTATTATTAAAGTAGCAAAATATATTATGTGCTGGTTGACAGAAGTCAAATGTATACAATTTGTGCTCTCTAAAAATACAAAATAATAAAACACTTATTTTATTTTTAACAAATGTAAAACTAGCTATCCACAGAAATGTGCTTCACCTTTGTGAAAGTCCTATATAGAAAATACTTTTGTATGGAATGTACCAACTACTGTTTTGCTATATTTTATTTTCTTATATATAATGGTTCAGAGTGTGACTCTGAAAAAAAGGTATAGATTTTTTAAAAATTGAAATAAATGCATTAGCTACCTGCAGTTGATCATATTCTACAATGGCTGTACTCTATTTCCAGGACCAAAATGCTGCCCACGTACATTTTTCAGTCTAATTCAGTATGTAGCTTATTTATTTATATCCCACTTTTCCAAGGAGTGCTTAATAAAGCTCAGATCACGTATGGTTTGTGATCATTCAACACGCAGCTAAGTCATCGTACCTGCTCATCAATTTTACGCTGGAGCTGCATGATCTTGTTCTCCATGCCAACATTGAGTTTCTTGTAATGCTCCACCGAGCGTGCTTCTATCTTCAGCTTCTTGAGCTCCCTCTTTGCCATCATGCGCCGGTAGCAGCACTGCAGAAAGACCACGGCCTCCAGGGCCCTGTGGTAGTGCGAGCGAGCCAGCCAGCCGCGCACATGTTTCTGTATAATGGTGGCCTTGTGCTCCCGAAGCATCTGCATATTGGCAATACAAAAATAAGGGGCATTTTTTGGTATTTCGGACACTCGGGAAATTAACTGATCCCATTAGTCAAGAGATGGATCAAAGGATGACAAAACCAGGAAAACGAGAAAGGAACAATTAAACTAAAACCAGGAAGGAAAGTAAATGGAGGAGCTGCTTGTTCGTGTACAGCTAAGCACATTCCAGCAAACAACAGTGCAGATTCTTTACCTGTGGCTGCAGTGAATTTAATGTGTGAATTTATGTGCATCAAGGACACAGTCAAATATGCAGGTACAGTGCAATCTTATTTATCATGGCCCATCCAAAGAATATGGATCTCTCCAAGTATTGATAACTTTGAGAGCTAGAGAGATTGAAAAAGCAGAGGTGGGCAGAAGATAAATTCTCCAGAAGCCTGTACCAGCAAGTCCAATAGTCTGTACTGGTGGGAGTTGAAATCCAAAATATCTACAGATTTTATTTTTGCCCACCTTTGGAATAGGATTATGTAAAAACTGTTCCACGGTTTCTTTTTTCCAAGCACTCTCATAAAATCTGAATGGAGAGCTGGTGTTCAAATATTCTTCCTTTATGCAATACCATGCACTTCCTACATCACAGCACACTTCTTGTAATACATTAATCATGCTAATGTTATATTGAATTTATGAGTTCTTGTACCTGGGCTCAATGTTCTTTCGTGTAATGAACAGTATAAAAAACAAACACTTAAACTGGCTGGGTACCTCCTCTCAGAGGTACAGAGCAGCACGGAGACTTATCCTGCAGCTGCATGTTTCTGAAGAAGTGCCAGACTAAGCACTGACTCACAATTAACTCCTGTTTAACTCGCTGCTGAATAGAGGATTCTTCCATTCTCATTGCAGAGGAAAAATGCTTTCTTTACATTGGGCATTTTCTGGAGGGATTTTGCTGCTTTCTGATGTATTTTATGGGGGTATAACTGCAGTACAGAGGATTTTTGTCTTCCACAAGGCTTTGCTCCGGTATGTTGGGATTTAAAATTTAATATCAAATTGTCCTCATTCTAAAAAGCCTGGAAAAAAGGCTGGACAGCTCAGCAGAAGCCCTGGAGGACAACAAAGCCATGGAAAGCCCGTGCAAAATTCCATGAGTGGGAGATCACGAGAGCACAATAAATAATTCATGGGGGGAAGCCCAAAAGGATCTTTGGGGAAGACCGAACCTAAGACCAAGGCCCTACTTACTGTTTTGGCAAACCACCTGGCTTCTAAGCACTATAAACACCATCTTATGACTAACTGCAACTCAAGATCAGCGTTAATACAGCACATTTCTGTGAATGAGGTTGAACTACATGCATTCGTGAATCTACAGTTAAACACAGAGGCCCAAGAGAAGCTGCATGGGCCAGACAGTTTTAAGGAAATCGCAACTCACAACAGGTGTTCAGGGATCCAATTGTGCCCCATGCTGTTCTGCGAGAGCTGTGTTACTCTCCCTCTGGGTCAGCTAAGCACAACACACAGGCCACCCACAGGCACTGGGGGTCCCTTGAGCCATCCAGAGAGTGAGGTATCAACCCATGAGGAGCTGCCAGTCTCCAACTCTGGCCTGTTCTCTTTGACTCTAGCTGAGTCAAGCTGCGTTGAGTCCTCCACTGTACGGAGAATTGTGGCCAGCCATGTGCAAGCCGTGTAGGGCCCCATCTGCAAGTATTTCCATGCCACTAGATCCTAGGCCACTCCAAAAACTTTCCCATTTGAGTTGACACTATGGTGAGAGTACCCAGGCAGTGTATCCCTACTTCCCTAGCAGCCAGCCTGCTCCCCTCTGGGCCCAAGTTTGCAGAGAACAGACGACTCCAAATACAAGCAGCCTCCTTCTGTTTCAAGAAAGGAGACCAGGCTGAACAGCTTATTCACAGGTAGGCTCAGAGTGACGTGCAACCTATCCATGTGGCACAGAACGGCTGAATCATCCCCAGTCTCATAACCCCTAAGTAACTCAGCTGGGTGATGTAACTTAATGTTTGCATTGCAAGAAACAATCATTTAAAATATATATTATGAAGTCTATATAAAAGCATATTTGGGGAACTCTGCAGTGTAAGGATTTTGCAAAGAAGTGCTTAGATAACTAGCACCAGATTGCATGTTTGATTAAGACTATGGCTTGAATAACTAGGCTAAAGCTATCAGTACTGATCATAACTTGTATAAAATATTATTTCTGCTCCAGAGATCCATACGTGGTCTGAGAAGCACATGAAAAAACCCAAAACTAGAATTGTGGGTTGAACACCAGACTCTCTTACCTTCCAGTACCTCCTCCTGGCAATATAACCTCGCAGGTATGACTGGAGAACGATGGTGGCAGCGCGCGTGTGACGATACCGCTTGCGGGTGGCATACATGCGCTGGAACTTCTGAATAGTGATGGCAGCTTTCGTTCTTCGAAGAAAGGTGGCAAGACTGACCAAGAAAATGTGAACATAATTTTATTGTTTCTAGCCTGCAGTTTGGTCAACCAGTCCCTAAGTAGCTGTTGTTACGAGCTATGCGTTATTTATTATTTGTGTTTTTCAGTTTACAAGTATGCCAATCCCATAAGAATGTGACCCACCAAGCCAAATGTTGCTCAGAAACCACAAGTTCTAACTGACATGATACTCAGCAATGCCCTGGCTTTGCAATCCCGGGCAGGAGGCAAGGTGGTAGGTTCATCACGCCATCAGCAGGAGGTGCAGGGCTGTGCACTTGGCTTAGTGAAAAGCCAAGTGCATAGGCCTGGGGTATAAAATGAAAAACCGAATCTACAGTGGCAAGATCTGCTTAAGGCAATCTGTAATGAGATGAAAGCACATTTTCCCAAGTGGCCTGCTCACCATCTTGCCTGGTAGCCCCGAACGTATCTCTGAATGGTGATGGCTGCCCTTTTCATGCGCAGGTACTTCTTCCGCAAGAGCCAGCCCCTGATGGTCTTCTGGATGCGGATGCAAGCAGCTCTCAGTTTATCAGCTCTTATCTTCTCCAAATAGGCTACTTGACCAGCCCGGAAAAATATTTTTGTCTTCCCAAACTGGTACTTATCCTTGTCCTATTTTCAGAGGAGATGTACAGTCAGGGCCAAGCTAAATGTGACAATAGATCTTTTTTTAAAGAGATGCAGTGACAGCAGTTAGTGAAGAGGCCCAAATGCTGCATGAATCTTGAGAAGAAATTCTTCAGGTTAGACTAAGCAAAAGTATCAGGATCATTTAAAATCTTGTTATTTTGAATAAGCAACAGTTTGGAATTAAAGTAATTAGGAGAATATAAAATGTGACAGACTAAAAATAGCTAGACCATCTACCTTTACTCTGAGCTACAAAGATTATTTGGGTATATCAAGAAAACAGAATATTGTGACATTTATTCTGCATTAGACAATTCATTCTTCATAATATGGTTACTTTTCAAAAAGCAGAGAGTTAAACACACAAATACTGCAGTAGCTTTTTTTTAAGGGACAGGGAATTTAAATAAGCCATCTAAATTGCTTTGAATCTTCCCTATAAGGGATCCCCCCTCCCTCATCTGAACCTACACGGAAATCTAATAGGCACCTACCTGCAAGAAAGTCTCATGGAACTCAGTGGGGTTGATTCTACATAAATATGTATATGAATGCTCTGTTAGTTTCTAATCATACATTCATTTTTACATCCAGTAAAAGGGTCAAAATTACACATGATATAGAAGAATTCTATGAATGGACCTCCCAGCAGCTATTCTATTTACCAAAAGGAAGTGGAGAAGAGGAACTGAGCTGGGTCAAAACCATGGTACAGGGAGTTTAACCCCTTCTGCTGGACCACACTCCTGCTGAATATCCCCCCTCCATGCTCTGACTGAAAAATTTATGGGCACAGACGGTCAGAGGGAAGGAAATACCGGAGAATTAAAATATTACAGTTTCACCTTCCTCTTCCAAACCTCACTGTTAATTTTAATTAGAAAAAATACCACTAATCTCCATGAATTGGTTTCAGTCAACTGTTTCACTGAATGAACCACATTTCGGTATTGGTAAAGCTGCTGCTTGCATTCTAAATGGAAAGGCAATCTAAATTTTGAGGGGCACAGTGAGGTGGGGAGTAGAATCCATCTTCACACTAGCAAGGGTAGGATCCCTCTTAGAAAAGCCACATGCAGGCTATCCGGCTGTCCTATTTCAGTGCCCCCCAGCCTTGTGCCTTCCGATCAAATAGCTGGTTGAGGGTAATGGGAGCTGCATCCAATGCATTTGGTGGACACCAGGCTAAGACTAGCAGCAGCTCATGTGCCAGTAGACTGTCTGTCCTACTAATGACACAGATTTACCCATTTTAGCTGTACTGTGACTCTGGCAAACTTTACAGACACAAAGGACGTTAAGACAACTACCAGAATCAGCTTCTCCAAGACATTTTTACATGTCTGCTTCCTGTCAGTGAGGACATCTTTCTGCTTCATTAGGACGCGATAGCGGCTGAAGAATTCTTGATATGTCCACCTGGTTTTGAGAAGCAAGGTGGTGTTAGCCAGGCAGAAACACTCTCTGTTTGTAAATTGTATTCAGGCAAACCGCTCAACACCGGCAGGCTTACCTTGAAGGGAAACCAGCCGCACTGATGCGGATTGTTTCCAGCACACCACACGCCCTGAGCTGCTGTACAGTCCGCTTTTCATCAAACCTACATAGGAAAACATTGCTGAAAATGTGGCTTTTGGACAGCAAGCTTTGATAAAGTTCTATAGGTTTTTTCCCTACAATCTAAGTGTGACATAAACTTTTTAAAACATCAAATCAGGAATAATGCAATTACGATAATAGATGCCTAAACAGCAACAAAATGATCTAAATGATTGCTTGACTACCAAATGCACCCACGGTTAGCAAACAGTGGAAAGCCTCCAGAAGAGGCTAGTTGGAAATAAGTGGGGAGACCCAATATTATGAACAGATCAACAGAAATACTATTAGGGTTAACAGAGTAATTGGGGGAAGAGAATCATTAAACTTCATGGCAGAATTCTCTCCCCCACCCCCCCACCCCCCCACACACACAGTCTCTGTCTCTCTGTCTCTCTCTCTCTCTCTCTCTTGGGGTTTTCAAATACAGATGCCACTATCCCTGAAAAGAAATCAGGGCTGTTCGTCTTCTGGATTAGTCTGTGAAATCAAGAGGGGGGCATGGTGCTGCATAAATGAACGTCCATGTTACTGCCCAGGATTTGAGGCAAAACACTGAGAGGACCAATGCAACCCTAACATCTTACAAAGATGGTCAGTCACCATCAAAAGGTGGGGAAGCGTTCCCACCTTCCCTGGGTGTATGTTTTGCCACTCTCAAGATAAAAGTAGCCTGCACTGCCACATTTTTATTTGCAACAGTACTTCTTACAAGCCACGTGTTATGAAAAATAGAAAGGACCTATATTGACACCATTGGCAATGTGCAAATAGCTTCAAGAAACTCTTCTTCCAAGTGTTTGAACATGAATATAAACATGAATATAAATCCTTCTCCTGTTCTACCATAGAAGCAACTTGAATGAACAAAAATCATTCCATAGGAAACCACTGGGACATTTACAAAAATAATATTTAACTAACTAAGGAGCACATGAAGCCTTTCTGTTTTGTCCAAACTAAGCAATGGAGAAAGCATGCATTTTCCCCACTGTAGTTTCGAGCAACAAGGGTTATACTACAGTCAGTTCATTCAAACCAACTTACATAAATGGAAACTTGAAGTCATTGGGCTTAATACACCTCACATAATGTGGCGTTGTGGCATTAAGAGTCTCCATCAAGAGATGAAGAGAATTTCTGAACTGTAGGAAAGAGATTACAAAAGGCAACATGTGATCAGAACGTATGTAAGACCACCCTTTATCTTCCATATTGATTGGACCGATTTGGTCACAATTCACATCAGGATTCCAGGAAGCCAAGCACTCTATTATTAATGTGATTATCTTTCTTAATGTGATTAACTTTCTTACTTGTCTGCATTTTTACCAGCTGACAGTCCACAAAAGACTTTTAATTTAAAAACAATGCAGTATTTCTCCAGAAATGGCTACAGTTACTTTTCTCTTTCTCTGGGGTTGTCAGAACTCATATCCCTGAGTGGTACAGAGTTGCACAATCTAAGCCCAATGCATCATCCTAATGGGAAGGGGTGGGGGAACAAGACTGATGCAGAATTTGCAACAAAGGATGCCACACACCTGATGTCCCACTGTTTTTTTATGTTCCTTGTTGGTCTGGGCTAATTTAGACTTGGCTGGCTTTACCGCTGCTCGAGACAGGGCTGTCCGACTGGGAGGTGTTGCTGAAGTGGGGCTGACGGTCTTCTCTCCCTGAAACAGCTCAGGCAGCATTTTAAACTGATTCAGACACAGAAAATAAAAAGTTCATTTCTGGATTAGAAAATGGAAGGTCTTCTTAAGGGAAATGCAAAAAAAAGGGGGGAACCAAAATTAGACTTGGTTATGCATATTTATCTCACAAAATCTTTTGGTAATTTATAGATTTTTTACAATGTGTGTATTATATATATAGTTATAAATGACAATTCACGAAGTATACATCTAGTGTAAATGTGTTCTGGGAAGAGGTGGCAACAGCGTACCTAACCAAAGTAGCGGAAGGGGAGTGTTGAAGGCAGAATCTCAGTACTAACCTTACTTGATTTTAGAACTTTGATCTGTTCTTCATAGACCGTATCTTTGTTTTTTTCCAAAAATCCTTCACACTGGTACTCTACCTGGAAATGCAAATATTTAATTTTACATAAAAACAACAACAACAGAAGAAGAATGTATTAAAAGATCACTGGTCTCAGATAAATTTGAATACAAATGCTTCTTTCAGTAAAGTGCTCTCTCATCCAGGCTTTAAAGCTCAAACGTAACACATTAAATTTAACACTGAAGCTGGTAGACAGGGCAGAAATTAAGCAGGCATCCATTAAGATGCTAGCTACTGTTTCTGAATCAGTTGCCATTTTGGAAAGTTCATCAAAGGCATCCCCTATGCAAAGTGTCTGTTCCTGTAATAGCAAACTCTAATAGTGAGTAACAAGAGGATTGGATCCAAAATGTGGCCACAGGAAAAAGGGAGAAAAGTTATCAGTAATGCACAGGGGAACCTTGAGGACTGCAGCACTAAAAAAAATAGAAAATCTTTACATGCACACCAAGGGCATGTGCCTGGTAGTCACGGAATGTTTGAGTATCAGTTGTGGGGGCAGAAACAATAAATGTAGGGTGGAAGGACAGGAATGGAACAACCTGAATGGACCTCAAAATATTGCAGAAAGAGCACATAGCCAGCAGGCTGGTTGACTCCCTGAACAAAGGCACTCCTATCACAAGGAAAGGATACAGCATAACATTTTGTTACATGTCCAACTCAAATGATCAAGATGTGCATCACTGACATCACCACCTTATCCTTCAAGAGAAGCAACAGGTGATGTACCTAGTAAAGCTGGGAAAAGATACTTCCAGCCACAAATGGCACCTCAGCATCAAGTAACACAGCTGGAGCCAAGAGAATCTCCAAGCTGTGGATTTGACTCTCAGTGGGAGTAATGGTGCTTGCCACCAGCAATAGGTCAACCATCTACTCCAGAATCAGTTTGACTGTTCAGCCCCAAAACCTGTCTTACCTAAAGTGGATCAGTTATTAACATCCATTTCCATTACTGACCCCAGGCATTTGTTTGTGCACCTCAAAACAACTGAACCAGGAAGGGAAAAGGCAAGTTGGGTGTCAGCTCATTGATTATGCCAGACCTCCAGCCTCTGCATGATGATCCCTGCCAGTGGCTCCAGTCCATCAACCCTCACCATTATTTGACTGAGAAGGGCTGAGGAGACAGTTATAGAGCAAAACATCTGGAGGGTCTGACACAGATGTTGAACAGCATGGACAAGACAGAAGCTTGAAGTACTTCAGGGGACAATTCCTGTGGGGCAGAGAAACAATTTCCCCATCACCACTTCTGGAACCATCCCAAAGGTCAAGTCACTTGCCAAACCTTCTGTGCCATGGTAGGGTTGTGACCCTTCCTTCAAATATCCTTGCTACGTCACATCATGCGGCAACTGCAAATCTTTCAGTCTGCAATGGACCACAACCAAATGGTTTCTCTGATTGCCTAAATGATAGAGGGCCACAGTTTAACAAGTCGGACAGAAAACAGAAATCCTTACCTTATCTGCAAAGTGCTGGATGATAAAAGCTTTGTTTGACATACGGGGCTTTTCAAAGAGTGAACTCTTATTCAAGTGAGTATTGTATAATTTCTGGGCCCAACTGTTATCTGAACCTTTAGGCATCTACACAATGAAAAGAGAAAATGTTTTAATGAACCTGATCTATTTGTTTCATAGCTCAGATGAAGAATAATATTTTAGCATATAAATACACCTGAATTTTTGCTTTCAAAGATTCATGATGGAATTACTTATCTATTTTGTTGCTAGCCACAAATTCATATAGACTTAAGATCATTTATTTCAGTAAATAACTCTTTAAATACCTAGCTTGTATGCCATATTACATATCAGTAAGAGCTACTCTGTAAGAGCTGTCTTAGAGTTTCTGTTTTTAAAAGCACCTAAGTACATTAAGGATGAGGATGGACTGATTCACACAATGCACTTCCTACCACATGCAAAAAGCTAAACAGAGAAAACCCCATTTCAGAGGACAAAAGATCAGTCAAATTGGACACTAACATCATGTACAAACCAGACACAGTCCCTGCCTCAGTGAGCTTTTGATAATGATTTACGACAAAATCCAACACACAGTTAATCAGCACAGCTTTTCACTGTAGTGCCATTTATTTATTTTATTTATTTATTAAAACATTTTTATGCCGCCCCATTCGCCGAAGCCTCGGGGCGGCTTACAACATAGATAAAACAAGTTAAAATCCATATAAAATAATCTTAATTAATGCTTATGTAACCAGAAGAACTTTTAACAGTTCAATCCTATGTATATTTGTTGTCACTCGCCATCAAGCCATCTCCGACTTATGTTGACCTTATGGATGAACGCCTTCCAAAATGTCCTGTCCTTCACAGCCCTATTAAGTCCTTGTAAACTCAAGTCTAAGACTTCCTTTCTAAGGCTTCCTTCCAGCTCATATTTGGTCTTCCTCATCTTCTTCTGCTTTCAACTCTTCTTGGCATTACTGTCTTGGCCAGCAAGTCTTCCCTTCTCATGATGTGCCCAAAGTTCAATAGCCTCAGTGTCATCTTTTCTGCTTCCACCTCTGCATATTTATTCAGAAATGAATTCCACTGAATTATGTATCCCAAGAAAGGATACATAGCAGGATTACAGCCTAAGACACTTTTAGACATTCTCTGAATGTCTTCTCCCTTTGTGATTAGGGAATAGCTTATTAGATATTAATGGCATGGCAGTCATACCACCACCATGATATCTAGTTATGCTTGTAGACAAGTTGCACAGAAAGGCAATAGAATGGCAGTTCCTTTTGAGGTGAGACAGAGAGTACCAATTGGCATTTTAGCCTATGAACCTCTTGTACTGTCTAGTCGCTCTTTCTAATGCATACAAAATACCAAATTAACATTAACATGGCAGATATTCTCTCCCCTTGGGTACCTTTCAAACAAGGAGAAAACACAAATAAACTTTGCAGCAAAAAAATTAGGTCATTTGAACCCTTACCTTACACTCCTCATCTAGCAAGTCCAAAATGCCCATTTTGGCTTCTATGAGGTTAATGCATGGCTGATTATCATAGAAATCAATCAAGGTCCATGGAATTTCTTCCCTCATGTATTCTTCTTGCTCTAGCTTAAAGACATGCTGTAAAAGAGAGCAAATTCGCTGACTGAATTTACTTTCTTCTTGATACTTTTAACAAACTGCACATAAGTTACTAAGTGGAGAGCTGTAGCCAAAAGAGTTTCCCTCTGTGTAACTCTCTCCAAACTAAATTAAGAAGACTTTTAGTTTATAATAAACAGGAGTTAGAAGGAAAGTATACAATGAAAAGCTACGGCAGTGCCACAACTGCATATTCTATTACCATCAATTCATTTATAAGTAAGTTTAATAAGCACTGTAGAAACATGAAAAAAAGACACAGTCCCTGCCTTCACATAAGCTAGTTCAGGACCTAATTCTGCATAGCTGAGAGACAGTGTGGTATAATAGTTAGATTGTTTGGCTGGGTCTTGAGAGATCTGAGTTCTAGTCCCTGCTCAGTCCCAAAACTTACTGGATATTTTGGGTCCAGTCACAGACTTTCAGCCTAATCTACTTCTCTGGGTTGTTACGAGGATAAACTGGAGAGAAGGAGGAGTTATGATTTTTTCCTGCCTTTTCCGGAAAAAGGTGGGATGTAAATATATCATCAAATTCTTCATGAGCAACAGGAATGGCCACTGAGGAAGACTGTTTTGGAAGAGTAAGAGCCAAAGGGCAATTATCCCAGCTAAGCATCAGCTGGTTTCACTACCTCATGCCTCCCTCTGTTGCAGCCAAATAGACTAACTGTTAGTTTATTTGTGCACCCTTAACTTATCTGCTCAGGAGGAGGCTCTGGTCAGCTGCTTAGTAAGATTTAGGTATCTACCTTATAGGATAATCTAGTTGCCAGCATCAGGATTCCTATCCAGATACACTCCGAGTAAAGTCCCCAAGGCTGGAAAAGACAACCCCACCATCAGGTGCGCTCTCAGTGTGGACTGTGCCAGCTGTTCTTGGAATCCATCCAAGGAAGATGGAATGGGCATGCCTGAGACAGCAGCAATCCAGAGAGTCCAATTATCAAAATCGGTTGCTGGTGGATGGGAAAATAAGGTTGCTTACCTTTAGCTTACTTTCTTTGAGCGGTCATCTCTGCATTCCCACATATGGATGCTGCACCTGTGCAATGCCTTTATTCAGGAAGATTCTCCTAACTAAGCCTAGAATTTTTGGCAGAATCCCCACTCCCTTTTCCTAGTATAAATAGGCAGGGCTCCCACCATTTACCCCAGTTCACTTTTGACCACTATTTTGAGATGCTGATGGGTGGGAATGCAGAAAAACCTCTCTCTCTCTTACCATATTGAACTGTTGCTGCAATTTCTCATTGGCATAGTTTATACAAAACTGTTCAAAGCTGTTTATTTCAAATGTTTCAAACCTGAAAAGCAAAGTCAGAGAGTAAGTAGGTGGGGAGGCTTTTCCAGGAATTGAACCAATAGGCAACCTCAGACCAGATATTACTCTAGCTTAAGTGTCTTTCAGAAGAATGCCATTACAGCAGCCAACATTATTGGGCGCTTCACTAGCAGGACCCTGGACATAGGTTGTTCCTTTCTGCTCACCAGGTAGCTAGTTTTTAAGCAGCCACTGGAGAAAAGGAGCAAGCCTAGGAGCAAACTATCACAACCCATCCCTTTCTCATAACCAGATTAAGTTTCCTCTTAATGGTGGAGTTACATTAAAAAGTATTGTGCATGGAGACACAGGGCTATGTTAAACAAGGTCATCACTAACATTCATTTGCTACGTATATTATGCATAAGGATATGGCGGTGTATAGCACTCACCCATAAATGTCCAATACACCAATGAAGGAATGCTGTTTCATAGTCGAATGCAGAGCTTCATTCACATGATCTACAATCCAGTTGAAGAGCTTAGCATAGATATGTTTTGCAAGAGCATCCCTGGCATTTATGGCCTGCAGCTTAGAAATTGGCTTGATGTATGTCTCCGTAGCAGTCGCAAGCTTCCTATGGCAAAGCCAGTGAGCCATCTGGTCATATTCCACTCCCATGAGATCACAGAAGATCTTGAGGGGTTCATGTTTGGGCTGCAAAACGACAACGGAATTCTTAGACTGAAAAATAATATTGACCACCAACAGCACACCTATCGATTCTCCTAAGTAGTCAGAAAGACCCCTAATATATCTTCGATCTGAGGTATAAAGGTACTTTGAAGCACATCATATGGATTTCAGTTCATAAACACAGAAGGGATTGCTCAAAATGATGGTATTATTATAACTCTCGTAGGAACTCCTCCTGGGTCTTAATCCTACGCCCACAAGTCTATGCAAATCTGGCCAGAGTTGCTCCCTCTGTGCTGACCTTTCACTGACAGGCAAAGATCGCTTTATTCAAGAAGGACCTTGGCATATAACTGGTCTGGTGGCCTGGGTGCTGTTTTATTACATTGTTGCTGTATTTTTATTATATTTCAACACACTGTTTATTTTTTAATCAAGTTTTATTCATGACTGTAATCTGCCTTGAGTGACATTTTTCTTGGTAGAAAGGCAGAATGCAAATCAATAAACAAATGCAATGCAGAGAATGTTCCCTATTTATGGGGCAAAAGAAGGTAAAAGCAGTGGGAAAGTGGAAATTGCTTGCACTGCAGAGTAAAGAACTGAGACTAACCAGGAGACTGGAAGTGTGACAGTAGTAAGAGCTTTAAAAATATTTTGAACTTACTGGTACTACACAGCTGTCAGCATCTCGAGATGTAAAAGCCACATTGCCCAAGTGAAGAATAGCAGCAAGGATTTGGAATATTCCCATCTGACAGGAATCAACAATGCCTGTCATAATGCAAGGTTGGAGAAGATAAATCAAAATCTCCTTTGTTAAGATAAAACCAAGTGCCATGTCCAACTAAGTATCTGAACAAGCATGACAAATGGGTAACAAGAAGTCCTGATCACTATGTGGGAAAGCACCTTCCAAATCGATTATCTCAGTGAACATCTGCAGACACTGATCTACCAAAAAGGGCCCTTAGATAGTCATTCATGAAAAAGGAAAGTTTGTATAGGCGACCTGATAATCCACACTCAAGAGCTGAGGATGGGTTGAGTGTGGCTTGTTGCTGAAACAAGGGTCAAAGTGGAGCCTGAGGCCAGTCAAGATAACGAAGCACAGTAAACAACCCACAGTTCATAATGTGAAGCACAGAGGCCATGATGAAGAATTTAACGTTTCATTTTACTGAATGATGCTGCCTCTCGTCTTTCCCTCATTTTTTTTCTCTAAGCCCACTTTTTACATGATACTTTTTTCCGGTAACTTGGTCCCAACACACAGCTATAAACAAGGCTACGTTTGTGTAACTGAAGTCGATGTATGTTCCTCCCTTGTTTTGTTTCTGACTCCCTCCCTTCTTTCTCTGTTGCCTCCAGTGTCAAATTTTAGACTGCAATTTATACTTTCTAAACTGCCATGCAGAACTAAGGATGTAGCAATGATAGCAATGTAGTTGTATTAATTGTTAATAAGGGAATTATCATAATTGTTGATCTAGCCTGATATCAGAACATGCAGGATGCAGCTTATGTCCAACTAATATCACACTGTGATGCTTACCTTTAAAAATTTTAAGAAATTTAGCAACATTCAAAAGCAGGCACATAGATCTGTTACATGCCCAGTTCTTTACCCTTCCACACCAGATGACTTATTTCATGCACATATCTTAATAATTATACTTATTTTGTGTGTGTTTTACTTTTACTAATGCCTGAACACAAAGAACCCAGTGGTATTTATTTCTGAGTAGACATGTAGAACATTGCACTGTTAACAATGTAAACTGCTTTCAACAACTGTTTAGAGAGTTGAGACAGAAAAGGTTTTCATAAATAGATAGCAGAGAGACAAGCTAGTTAAGGAGTTCATACCCCATAAAGAAGTATTTCAATCATCCAATAATACTATAAATACTTGCACACAGCACAAGCGGCTAGGCAAAACATGGATCTGAGGCATACAGCAATTTGCAGTTGTTCATTCTTTGAAAACTCATTCTGTAAACTATGTATTACTGGGGACAGTGACAACAATATCAAGGCCCTGAAAAGGCCCATGTTCTTCCAAGACTTACCTAGCAATGTGCAAGCTCGCCTGGTGTTCATCATTTCCTTAGCGTCATCAATTCCATCAATTACTGGGCTTCCCCCTTGCTTTGTATAATGAAAATAATCAGCGTTCCCTATTCAAAGAAACAAAAGAAGCTATTTAGAAATGCAGCCTGCAAAACATGTTCTTCATGTTCTAATAAGATTAGGCAAGATCAACAGAGTTGCGACCAAGTGAAATCAAGAAAGAGTACTGGATGTTGCAGCAGGATCTTCCACTTCTGGACTCAATATGTGCTTTCCAAGCGGCATGATGTTGCCTGCAGCTGTGCCAGTGCCTCTCATGGCTCCTTCATGGATGCAAGAAAAGTTGGCAGGAATGGGATGGACACCAGCACCATGTCCTCGAACTGAATGAGGTCAAAGACTGGATCCACCAGTGGTTGAGCAAGCTACTGTGTCTCTGATCCCAACGCCTTTGTCATCTGCTCAGAGAAACAACTTAAGTCCTCGGAGCGGGGATCCTGATCCAGGGGCCATGATGACGTCAGCCAGCAATGAGGTGAGTGGGTCATCACATAGGGCTGAGTCAGGGTGGGATGCATAGTCCTCCAGGCCTAAGAATGGAGACTCTTGGCAGGGAGATAAAGCAGGCACATGAGATAGGGCAGGCAGATCAGATGCTAGAACCAGCACCCTGCACTCCTCCGGCAGGTAGTTCAGGGCCTACCAGTGATGGATCCAGGGGTCAATGGATCCAAAGGTCTCTCCTTCTCATAACAGTGACTGTACGGTGGCAGTGGCATCTGGCAGGCCTAGTTGGCACCTGGGATCTGGACAGCTCCCTCAGCTGATGACTGGAGGCACAAGACAGCACGGGCAAATGGCAGCTGGGCCACTGGTAGTACTGGCATCAGCTCTTCTCAGTGTAAGGTGAACAGTACTCTTGAAAGAGAGACCACCAGCAGAGAGAGGGCTGAAGTCCAGATCAGAGTGCAGGGGGACAAATCCCTGATGTCCCCTTCATAGAACAACTGTGTTTTGTTCAGTTCTTTTCTTTTCTGAGAAAATAGTAGGGTTTTCAAAAAAGGAAAACAAGAGAATGCAGCTGGAGAATGTGCTAAGAAGAGAATCTGGTGATCGACTGAAGAAATGAGGGGGGAAACACAAAGAATACAGTAAAGGAGGAAAGCCCCGAAGCACCAACAATGGTGGTCAGAAGAGAACTGGGGAAAATGGTGGGAGCTCCTCAGATGTACCAGGGGAAGTGAGGAGAGGGGCTCCCACCAGAACAATTCCAGCTTGGAAAATCTTCTTGACAACAGGGCCCATGCAGGTACAGAGCCCATATGTGTGATGCACAGAGAACACAAAGAACCAAGAGAATACTAAAACCCGTACTGTACGTACAAATATATCAACACTTTATAGCACACATAAAGTAACTTTCATTCATCTTTATAGATTTAACTTAATGCCATTTTAGAAAGGCAAATAAGCTATAAAAGCATAAGCAAAAAAGTTATCCTTCAAAAACAGTAATGCTATTTTGGCACGTGCCATGCAACAATACAAAGACATGAATTCACATTCATACCTAACCGCAAAGTTTTAAATTCAGGTAATGCTGCAGAAGCACAGAGCTGGTAGAAGATATGGTAGTTTCTCTCATCTTCTGCCTTTAATACAAATACATAAAAGATAGAGATATCAAGGATATATACAATAGTGAAGCAAGTAACAATTCAGTTTTGTTCAGTAATATAGAAGTTAAATAAAGGTGAAGGATGAGGGTTCCATTCATTTGAATACTTCTGCTGGATTATTTCAATTTGCTTACACTTGAAGTTTTCTAAGTAACTGCAAAATTAGTCTCAACAAGAGATTCAATATGCCTCCCACTGTATCTCCCTTGGGGAACGGGCTGCCACTCTTTGCACTCTATACAGCTTATGGCAGAGTTGTCGCAAGTCCTCTTCCTTCTTCCCTTAGTCTTTTACAATTTCCAAAGTACATGAACACGCCCTCTGTCCCTTGCAATACATGCAAAATGGCACTGGAAAAGAGCTGGTCTTTCTACTCATTTCCTCTGGGCAGGCGATCTAAATGATGATCTGGAAAGGTTGCTCTGGAACTGGGAAAGCACCTTGGCTCCACTCTCAAGATACGTAGCAATACAAGGTACCTGCAGCTGAGCACAGCTAAGAGGCTCTTCTAACCACTAAAAGTTTCCAAAATGAAGGATGTTTTCACAGGTGTGACCATGGAAAGCCCAAGACCTCATGGACACTCTGCACCATCTCTTGCAAGAATGTCATGTTATGTCAGGTGTGACTTTTTATCCTCCGTATGCCAGAGAGAAATGCAATAACTCATCAATTCATCATATAGAACCACAAGAGTGAAAGAACGACGGGTCATCGATTCCAATCCCTTTAAGGTTGGTTCTGCAATGGAGGATGCAGCTACAGTATCTCTGACAGATGCCCAACTCAGCAAAGGAGTGACCACCACTTCCCAAAGCAGTCTGTTCCACTAGCCAACTGTTCATGGCATTGAAAAGTTTTTCTTAATGTGTAGCCAGTATTTGCTTTCTTGCCATTTTCATCCAGATGGTCCTGCTCTAAATATACCGGTTTGTCAATGTCTGTCTTAAGAATGGATATAAACCACACACTGACTGATCAGCATCAAATACAACGGAGATAAGTTATCATAAGTTCTCTTCTGTTCATGCAGCCTAAGATAGAATTACTGGTACTTCTGCCATCATAAAATGTTTTAAGTCGCTCTCCTCTATCACTTGCCCTCTTCTGTAGATGTACTGTGTTACGTAGGTATACAGTCATACAAAGCTTGAGTTCCATGAAAAAGGTTTACATTCATTTTACCTGAAACACCACTCTTGATTTTTCTAGGAGATAAGTTCGCATGTTAGCACCAGTGATTCGATACCTCTTATCAAAACCTATTTCAATGTACTTCCCAAAGCGACTGCTGTTGTCATTCCGTGTGGTTTTGGCATTCCCAATAGACTGTGGAGAGCAGGAAAAACAAAAAGAGCTGAATGATTTGAAGAAGCCAACTGCAGTATTAGCAAACAGCAGTGGACATGAATGCTGAGAAATGACATGAATCACAATGGAAAGTGAATACTTTGACTCGTAGTCAGGAATTTTAGCTTGGGCTCCAAGGTTTCATTAAGGCTTGAATTTATTTATTATTTATTTAACAATTTGTACACTGCAATCCTGTACCCTCCCACCTGGGCATATATCCCAATGAATTCAATAGGATTTACTTCTGCATAGACCTGCATCCAAAGTGTTAAATCAACTGAGAAGGTCCCCTGATTAATCAGGCAGAAGATGGTTACAAACTATTATTCTGAATACAAGTACTCAGGAGGGAAGCCCCTTTTAAGAAGGTACCCGCCATGTCAACACATGTAAGGATTATCAAAGAACAAAAAAATGAATACTTCTTGCTAGGAGGATTGTTTTAACATTCAAATTTAAACAGAGATCAATCAAGCAACCCAAATTCTTGTAAATTACAAAAGTCTATTTAATTGAGTTGCAGACTCAATTTTCACATGACATTTCCTTAAAAGTACTGTAATCACGTCATCACGCCAACATTTGTGAATGCCCACATGTCAATTACATACCTTTATACATGGGAGGATGAAAAAGTATTAATAGGGATACAATTTATTAAAAATAATACAGAGGCAACTGTATCCAGCCAACCCTGTTTCTGAAGAGGTATTTTCTCTACATATTTTTCTTGCAAAAATTGCACACTAAGGACCCAAAGACACACATTACAAACTCAAGACTACTTTCTATGTCACTTGCCTTCTTAGCACACCCACTGTATTGGAGATGGGAGTGGGACATATAATGAGAAGCGTAACAACCACATTTACGAATCACAGTAAGCCAAAAGTTCTGATTTATTAAAATACAATGTGAATAAGCAAATAGAACCAAAAGAAAATGGCTTAGTGCAACGTCCAACCCCAAGGTTATGGTTAGGGGAGCCCAAACAAAATTGGCTTATCCATCACCCTGGGTTCAGACATGACATTCCGGTTTATCCATCACCCTGGCTTATCCATCACCCTGGCTTATTCAGACATGACATAAAATTATCCCTTCCTGTTCTGTATACCTGCTTGCTTGAAGAGAAGAGCAAAGAAGACATACACACCAGCATACGGATTATTCACATTACAGTTTTATTAAGTCAGAATTGTTGGCTGACCGTTACCTGCAAATGTGCTATATGACATCCCATGTCCCTTTCTTTATTCCTGCACCCATTGCACTGGAGGTCAGATGGGGTGTATCAGGAGAAATGCAAAGTGCAACAGTTGGGTAAGCAGGCATTTTAAGAGACCTTTCAAAAGCACAGGTCAGAATCATCTTACTACTACAGATTATTGCTCATTCTGTGGCCTAGTAATCAGGTTTGGGACTCTCAGGCAAAAAGCCCCAAGAGACTTTGGGCAAGTCTTGTGCATCACAGAAGTGAGGTGGCACAGATCCGCAAGAGCACCTGGGGGTGGGGGGGGGGGGCTTTGACAAGTTTCCCAACACTGTCCTGTAACAGTGCAGGATCACTTGATGCACAGAGGCAAGTGTACATGGAGGTTTATGCCCCTTGGTTAGTCCACTTGGTATTCATGAATATTATTCTGAAATTCCACACAACACGGCAAACCAGGCAGAATTACCTTATCTCTGAACATATCAAAATCACCTGTGTGGCATTGGGGCAGATAATGCCATCTCCATTTTTGTTTGTTTCAAGAAATGCTTAAAATAAGAAAAACATGTTAAGGAAGAAAGGAGCTTTGCTTTAATTTGTCTGCATTCTGATTTAATAGTCTGCATCCTGTAAAGAACCTCCTGTCAGTAGTAAATTGTTTTCCCCTCCAAGTTCCCCCTTTTTCGTGTTGTGTCATTTAGATGGTACATTGGAGGGCAGTGTTGCTCAACAACAGCCTTTCCTAACCTGGTGCCCTCCATTGTGATTAACCACAATTAGCAAGAGTGGCTGAGGATGAGACTTGGAGTCTGACAGATTTAGAGGGCACCGGGCTGGGAAGGCTACCATGCCTCCGCTGGAAGGCTCTTGCTTGGGTGATGAGCTGGAGGGCCAGGAACCAAGCTTTACCGCTATACCAGGAGAAGCCCAGGCCCTCCGGAGTGACTAACAGGTGGGCATCATGTGTGGAGGACAAGAACTCTGTCTTAGAGGGGAAGCCAGGAAATCCCCAAGCTCATGGGAGGGCAACTAGCCTGAAAAAGCAGGAACTCAGGACAGAGTGCTAGACCAAGCCAGAGACATCCTTGTGACAAGAAGTCTTCTTGCAAGGAGAAGGCTTGTTCACAAGCAGGACCTCTCACTTGCAATCTGTAACAGCTCACAGATTGTTGCAATCTGTAACAGCTCACACCCAGATTGAGATCTGGGTGAGGCCTGGCCAGCCTCGCATAACAGCTGCGGACGTTCAGAACTTTATATTCGAACAAACTGAGGCTATGGTGAGGCATGAAAAACAATTACACCCACTACAGTTATAGTAAAGATACAGTTCATGAGTAGCATACAGAAAGGATTGTACATACATTAATAGCAGCATTATGACCATATCTTAAGAATGCATCAATGGGTGAATGGGCAGAACTAGGGAAGAGACACAACCGGAACAAGTTCATGTGGAAATGGTGCTTTTTTAATAGCATCCTGAGACAAGGATACTCTTGATCCATCTGGTTGCCTAGTGCTATTTAGCTTTGTTCTTCCTATTTAAAATAGAAGGCTGTATTTTTTTTATTTTTTGCTTTTTCACCTTTTAATTTATAACTGCATCATTTTTATACTGGATTTTTTAAAATGCTATGTATGCCACCCTGGGATCCCTAATGGATGAAAGGCAGTTTTTAAACTTTAGCAATACTCACTTTATTTAAATTTACTATATTTATCATGGAAAAAATAGTTCTTCATGAGTATATATTTATAGATCTTCCAAATAAGTATGTTAAAAACATGGTTTAATGAGAAGACTGTTTTTTACCTTAACCATGATTTAATGCGAAGAAAGACTGTTTTTGATCTTACCTCCATTATAGGATTAGAAGCCAATACCTTCTCTTCAACATTAGCTTCACTGGCAGACCCACTCACAGTGGCAAAATATCTCATCGCGTACTTAGCAGAGACTGTTTTTCCAGCTCCTGATTCCCCACTTACAATAATGGACTGGTTCCGTTCATCTCTATAATGAAGACAAATTAGGTTCAGTTGCATTTGTACACATTCAGTTTAACTCCAACATGCTTATTGTGTTTGGGGAGAAATGCATGTAAGATGCAATAAAAGTAAATTTCTCTGTGAAATTGTGTAAATGTGCATTCAGAAGTCAAAAGCCACTTCTGCACATGTAGGAAATGGCTATTGCATTTTATGAACTATGAGAAATGTAGAACGGGAATTAATCCAATCCAAGGCCTAGACTATGCATGATAATATTCTATATTCTAACACGTGAAGAGAGAAAGTGTGTATTCTAACACTAGAACAAAAGGCTATCTTCAAAATCATTCCAGTATCCTCTAGACCAGTTTTCTCTAACCTGTTGCCTTCCACAGCTTTAGTCACTTCTCTTGATGGTTTTTAAAAAATGTCCTGCCTGTCCATATGGCTACTAATTTTCACACCGTGGGCTGAGTCAGTAGGGCAGATTGGAAGTTCAAGGCACAGGATGCATAAGTAAATTGTTTTCTTTCATCCATTTATCACCCCATCCAAAATAGCTTGAATGCAATATAAATACGTAACTGTATGTTTCAGTCTCACCAGTTTTAACAGGACATGAATATGACCAAGTATTAACAGGTCTAATACTAATAGTCAAAAATGAAACAAACATCAGTGCAATCTAAGAAAAGTTAGTCACGCTCTCTGAAGTCAGAGAGATTAAAAGATACAGTCACAAGCTTTCCCTTAAAAGTTGATCATGTGCCTGGAAGATGTATATTTCTCAACAAGCACGCTACATGCTTAAACAGGAAGAATGAAGAAAGGAGAACACACACACAAAACCTGGGTAACACCCAAATGAAATCCAACAGAGCATTCAGCCATTCCATCATACATGGGCCTTGTATGGCTCATCATGGCGAGGCACAACATAACTTTCCTAATAATTCCTTTTTATTTAAAAGTTATTTTAACTGTTATTATTGTATTTATAGATTTTAATATATATAGCCGAGATGGTACCAGTTTTTAAATTATTAATTGTATCTTTTTATGAATGTTGTGAGCCGCCCCGAGGCTTTGCTGCAATGGGGGCGGCATAGAAATGTTTTAAATAAATAAAAAAATCATATTGATAAGGATCTAAATATTATTAATGTTGCTTTGGAACAACCCCTCTGCAGAATGCAAGCTGTTTACTGCCATCAGGTTAGGCAGCCTCTCTCCACCCACCCCATTTTCTCTCACTAGGGCCATGCAGAATACACTATTACATTCCCTGCATCCAGTCTATTATAGCACCATCTGGCAAGTACTTGGCACAGAGAGACTCTATGTAAACTGAATAAGCTGATGCTGACCATTCTGCAGTGAGTGTTCACACCACACAAAAGTTCATTGTGCACTGAGGTCTCCTTATACATCCTTCCATTCCGAGGTCAGAGGGCTCCATGACCTTTAGAACTATTTTGCATGTGCTTTATTGTGCAGCGCAGAAGTCCTTGTTACTGAAATGTTTGAAGCAGCCCCGTAAGTTGACCAGGAGGCATTTATGGGCTACACTGTATGACTTTAATAACAATTATTGGCTGCAGAGATGTCAGGCAGCTTACTCTGTCTTTCTCCATAATAGTAGTTTCAGTGATGTGAAACCTGACTCCATAATCAAGCAATTTGTTCAGTCACCCAATAATTTTTAAGGACATAATACCGCGCAAGTTCTAATTATCACTTAACAGTGCAAAGACTGTTTAAGCATGCCCGACCACCAGTCTGATTAAATTCTTAAGTGATTATGCTGGAAAATCATCAAGTCGACACAATTCATGACTGAAGGTGACATAGGAAATACCTAGTAAATGGAAAGCCAGTGCTCTGGATCACCGAGTCTGGGAAATAGGCAAGCAAGTGTGGTAGGAATGGCAAGCCCCATTCGTCCAGTATCCTGTTCTCATAGTGGCCAACCACAGGCCTATGGAAGGTCTACAATTAGGAGATTGTGGACCTTTCTGCTCACGCACCCAGCCACTAAAATATAGAGGCCATAGCTTCTGGTACTGGAAGCAATATAGATCCATCAGGACCAGCAACTACTGATAGCATGGGGTTTAAAACCCTCCATAAATTTGTTTAACCCCCTGTTGAAACCATCTAAGGTAGTGACCTTCACTACATCGTGTGCGAAGGCATTCCATACTCTACATTCTATATGAAGTCCTGGTTTTGTCTGTCCTAAATCGTCCACTAAGCAACTTCATGGAATGACCCTGGGTTCTCGGTTCCAGCACTATGAGAAGAGAGAAAAACTTCTCCCTATCTACTTTTTCTATACCACACAATTTTAAACACCTCTATCCTGTTTTGATCATCTTTCTTAAACTAAACAACCTGCAATGTAACCTGCTGTTGCAAGCCAGGTTTTCCCCCCTTTGGAAAAAAAAAAAGCCCCCCTGCTTCTCCCATTTCAATATGTGCAAATTCTGGTCCCCAGGGCCCCTCATCATCTGATAAATCCTTATCTGCCTGAGTTTGGAATGTGTGCTGAGAATAACTGCCCTGTTCATTCCCAACACCTTCTAAACAGGGTAATTGATTCAGCCCCTTGAAAATTTTAGGGGCTTTTTTCTGCAGCATTTTCAGCTCCTCAATATCTATTTTTTTGAGCAGGTGACCAGAACTGTGCACAGTATTCCAAATGTGGCTGTACCATTGATGTGTACAACAGGATTATATTGCCAGCTTTATGTATTTATTGTCATTTTTTTCTACACCATTTTGTGTGTTCTGGCAATATTTGTGTTTCTTCTGCTGCCTCCAGTTCTAATACGGTGGCAAAGTCAGGACCTCCCAATGGTAAGGAGGTCTCTAGAAACCAGGCATTTCATCATGTTAGCAAGGTATCATTTTCAAGAGCAGAAGATCAAGGAAGCACCATTCAGCAATGCCAAATAAGAAAACCCAACAAGTCCTATGATGCATATCTCAGTTACAAGAAAAGTCTACAGAAAATCAAGTTACATGCATATGAATGCTAACAAAAATTAGCAATATGCAGTTTCCACAATATGCAATGCACAATACTGAAAAGCTTCACTTCAGAAATACTTTACTTATTGCCGGCATAATTTCTCCATTTTACGGATGTGAACGAATCCACCTCATTTACCAATGACTGTCAGAGGTTCTGCCCATTTGCTTCCTGTAATTTTACTAAATGGGTGCCTGTTAAAGGCATAAAAGCTGGCAACTAAGCAAAACTTAGTAATTATTTTTCATGAGTGCATTTGTACTGTGGGTCCTGGCATAGTCTGAAGGCAAATTATGCCTTGCTGTAGCTGGTCAGAAAGAAATCCTAATATGGCATAACAAATTTCAGACTAAGAACAGAGAAACCAAAATTAACATTCCTACTCACTCTCAACCTCAAATCTCCCTGGGTAACCTTATGCCACTCACTATTTCCCAGGCTAGTCTGCCTCACAGGGGTTTTGTGAAGATAAAACAGGTGGCAGGGGGAGACTGCATGATGTCTTACACATCTTGAAGGAAAGGCAGGATATAAAGCTGTAAAACTGTTCGCTTTTGCTACTTGCTTTTCTTGCACAAAAACCTGTAGTTCAACAGGAAGAGGATAAATAAACTTTACATTTCCTTTCGGAAATTTGGTGAGAATCCATTAGCTGTCAATTGCCAAAAGATTTAAAGAGATAAATCTTTAAATCAAGAGACATTGAGCTTGATCAGAATGATTTTAAGGTCATCTTTGACATGTTGGTTAAAAATGAAAAACATACTGACGGGAGCTCTCTTGCCATCAGAGACTAAATAATCACTTTTATATACTTTTATATATTTTCTCTAAACGTTAAGGCACTTTGATGGGTGCTCCACAAGCTTGAAGCTACCCTTTAAATTTCCTACAATAAGCCAATGCAAAATAAATTTAAAGGGCAATTCCAAGCTTGGGCTGTTATTCTCCATCAGCAGGTAAACCAGTCAACGTTCATTAGGAGACCCCGGGGCACCGTGTCATGAAACCCTTCAAACATGAGAGCTGATTAGATGCATCCCTATGTAAGCAATTTCTCACAGGTTTCTGTGGAACTGCAAAGATATATTATTTCTCATTCCAGTAAAGCAGACACTGGCAAGTTTGTTTTTGTTTTGCCAGTGAAGTACACTCCAACAGACAATGGAATAATCTAGAAGGAAGTTCTCCTGCACACACACACCTTTAAAGTGAAGGGGCACTCTGCAGGAGTACATTTGTCTCCAAGATCTCATTGCTGAGTTGTGCTCTTAGAGTAATTTACTGGTATGTCGACGTTGAACTACTAAACATTAATATTGCAAATGCTGCAGCATATGGCCCTCATTTTTACGATAAGATTTATGAGAACATGTCCTAATATTAAACCAGCTCCCCCTAAAAAGCTGCTGGCTGGAGAGATGGACTAACCTCTACCTCATTACTCCAGATTTTATATTCCTGAATTAACCCTGCCAGGAATTTAGCATGCCCTTTTCAATATGAAGGGCTGAGTCTCCTTAGGGCTATTAATCCATCATGGCTTAGTGCACCAGAAGCGTAATAAAACCTCTAGAAGGTAATCTGAAGAGCACCAACAGAATTTGGGGGGAAACACACACATTTTCATTAGCGTGATCTAATTTTCTCCTGTTCTTCCTTCCAGGTATAATCACAGCTCTAATATGCACAATGATCAACTGACAGTGAGCAAACACTCTCTATAAAGCTAAGCACACCATATCTGCAAAATCACAACAGATTGCGTTCTGGACGAAAAGATGAGCAAGCAGAACGGTTATTCTCCGGGAATTATTCCACTGAGATCACAGTTGCAACGGTCTCTCAGAACAGCTTCCAACAGGACAGCATGCATGCATGTCAGAATCCAGTACTAAACCACATTTAACCCCACATCATTCTCACAGCAACTGGTTAGGATGAATCTACAGGGGAACTGTGCTTTAATAGTAGCCAGCCAGCAAATGGGGGGAGGGGGGGCTCTTTTTTTCATTTTACAGCTCCGGTGCAATCTCTACTAACGACCGCTTTCCTCATTGCTCTAGCATTCTGTGCTCAATAGCAAGAATTGTCAAGTTCTGCAACAGCTATTACATCTAAGAGGAAGTTGATTGCACAGGCTGCACGTAACAGGACTGGCCTTTGACTTTCATTTTCCCAGAGAATGACAGCAAAATGATGGCCACGCTGACAAGGATAAAAGCTCAACCGATTCAAAGCAATATATATTTATTTCATATATATTCCACACTTCCTCCAAAAAGCTCAAGGCAGGTTATAGCTGCTTCAGCTACTGAGTGGTATATAAATGGAACATATAAATAATGCATATTCCCCCCCCCACCCACAGCTGCCACATCCAAAATTCAAAATGAACTGCTTCTTAATATGGAGTTTCACTTCTGCTATCATGGCTAATGCTCACCAACACACCCTACCTTTCCCCTATGGCCGTGAGGCTATGAAGTCCACATGGGATAAAATGCATTATGTGACATTTCACCAATCTAGTTGTTGCATGATATAAATTTCCAGATGAGAGAAAAATGTGTATTCGTTCTGCAACCACTGTTCATATTTTGGAAACTTCCATCATCAAAAGAAGAACATTATTTTGGAAAACATCATAGAATTAAGTATTATGGCTATGGGAAAGGGACACGTTCTCACCTTCCAAATGACAGACATCAGGGCCAGGGTCCTGGGCCAGGACAGGGGTTCCCACCAAGCAAATCTTAGCTATGCAACCTTCCCAAACAGGCTCCATGCATGCATAGAGCCCAGATGTGTCGTACGCAGAGACCACAAAGAAGAACTCATAAATTCTGGTATGTCCTTAAATTCAGTTTTGGGGTTTGTTGCAAAATAGAAGTTTCTCCATGCATAGATTCAGGTGTCACTTAAAATTACAATTTTCTATTCTTTTAACAAATAATAACTATGTTCAGATGTATAGCATTCAGTGGCAGTTTGGGAACTAATTAATTAAACCATGGTTTACCTGGGCAGTAATTTGTGGTTAATTAAGCAACCAACAACCCCAGGTTCCCAGATATCATTGGTACAGCCTATGAATGCTGCATTGGTAGGCAGTTCCTGGAAAGCAGTTCATCTGTGGGATGCGGCCCTGCAGTTCATGGATTCATTAACCTATGAATTGCCACTGAATATGTCTGAGCAAGGCCAGAGTCATAAAGAAGACATAAATAATATTTAATTCTCATAGAGTTGCTCCATTATTCATGTAATTGGTGGGTCTGCAGGGCATTGCAGCTCAGATCAATCATAGTTAGCTTGTGATATTTATGAAAACATCTAAATAAAGCAAAATCTTTCAGAATCTTTTCATCCTGCTGAATCAAAGCACTAATCACAGACCATTGTGTCTCAGGAAAGAACAAAAAAACCTCTATTCTACAAACCTGGCCATTTGTTTATATGCTTCTTCAGCCACAGCAAAGATGTGGGGGTCCATATCCCCCATGTTCTGGCCACTGTAAGCATTGATGATGTCTTCGCCATAGATAGGCAATTGTTCATAAGGATTTATGGCTACTAAAACTATACCTGCAACACAGAAAAAATACAATCGAGATAATGTCATTGGCAAATTATTTGATGGAAGAAGTTACAGCACTATTTTGTTTGTTTAGAAAAAGCTATGTCCTTGCTAAACTGCAAGGAATTTTCATTTTTCCTTCTTTGTTTAAAGAAAAAAGAGAGATTATCAGCAGAATAAAGTCAAATTAAACATTTATGATTATTTCATTGCTAGCATAAAAAATAAGAAAAAATAATTCCCATGTACAGTTTCAGCTGAAAGCCTCTTTCTGATTCCTCAGTCTTTATTACTGGGGCCATAGCTCAAAGCCTAGCGTTTAAAATAGCCTTCTCCAACCTCATGCCCTTCAGATGTTTTGGACTACAGCTCCCAGCTTTCTAGATGATTGATCATGCAGGCTGGAACTAATGAGAGTTGCAGTTCAAAACATCTGGAAGGCACCAAGGTTGGGGAAGACTGATTGAAAGTTACTTACCTGAACCATTGCCCTGTATTATCATTGTTATTTGAAACTGTAATAAATGTTTGATTTGAAACAGGAACCAATTCGGGTGTCCCAACATCATGCCGGCACGAGCACAAGGCACCTGGGGATGGGGTTTGTTTTTTTTTTTCACTGCAAGCGAAGCATCACCAATGAATAAGTGCTTGCCATCTTCCTTAAATCAAGAAGATAAGGGGTTGCTACTCTTGAGACAGAGTCACAGAAGTGGAAAAAGGGTATAAGTACGGCCACAATCTTTTGAAATTGCTCGAGAAAACAGGACATATTCAAATGATTTTAGGTAATGCCCAAGAAACACTACAGCAATTGTTCAGATGCGTTTACTGCCAATTATAAAATGGGTTAAATCCATTTAACCTGAAAATAAATCAAAAGGTGGCACAAAATGTATTTCCAAGGATTTTCTAAGGAGGAAAAGAAATATCTTTAAGATCCTGGAGAAAAATAAGACAGTTCAATAAACTGTCCCTTTATTGTTTTCCCAATAATGACATAGAATCAACCCACTGGGCAGTATCTTGTACTGCCATTCCAAATATACTACTGACAAAGGGCAGGCCTAAGCAACCTCTAGTGCAACACCAACAGGGCCTGATGTCATGGCAGGTTTCCTAAAACTCATCACACAGCATACTCGATTGGCACAGTGCCAGAGGCTTTTTCTGCTACTATGTCAATTATGTATGTAGAGCCATATGCTGGTTACTGCCCACGGTCATTTTACAACAATATAGAAGTGTAAGAAAGAAAGAAAACAATTTATTCTAGTGATAAAACCAAAACAAAGTTTCATATAGATTTATCTATAGTTTTTGTTTAAGAGTCCCAAAACCAAAAATTCCTATCTCCCTTCTTAATTTCTTTTTTCCTAATAAAATGGGATAGAATTGTCAGTTGACATAATTCTACAAATAAGATTGCACCAACATATTATCCATTTTATCAATTCAAACAATAAAATATCAGTTAGATACTACACTTCTACTAATAGTGAAATTGTAGGGTTAGGGTTATGCTAGGGAAAAATAAGAAATAATTCTATAAGAAGGAGGAATGTAAACCTGGGATATTGCTGAATACCAAATAAGGTCAACAATATCCCAAAATGCAAAGTTGAAATGTAGGAAGGAATGCAAAGCTGTGAAAAGTTTGAAAAATGGAAACTTTTCCCAGTTCTCAAACTGGGTTGCCATCACATTTTAACATTTAAGCTTTACATCTTGCTACAACTCTCAGGAATAAGGTAGATGAACACCAGACACCACAAATGCGGCCAGATTTCAGAAATATTAAAGGGGGCATTTCTGTGCAGCAAACTAATGGCCTGATGATATATATATAAGAGAGTTAAACTAGAAGTTACTAAATGTATGCACCTTATTATATATACACAACAGCAGTACAGATCCTAAAAGTTGGATACATAAAGATATGAGGTTATTTTGTTCAATTTTACTAAATTAGAGGTAAACAGTTTAACTGACGGTTCTACATAAGCTTAATGCTATCTCAGCATGACCAGAAAATCCAGCTAATTTCTGTTCTACTGTGCTGTTAGATACCTATCTAGACAAGGAATGGAATAACCCAATCATCTGGTCACTCTGGTTTTACATGCCCAACTAGAACACAGACCTCCATTTTCAAACTGGGGGATTTTATTGCTTTAAAAACATTCTAGCCCTCAAGGCTGCAACAGAATTACTTAGAAATCTTTTTAAACTGATGCGAAGAACATATATGTTTAACCTTGAGTGGGTCATTGTGACCATTTATGCAGAACACAACAAGGACATTTTTAAAATTGCAGTTTGCAGAATACAGTATTTTACTGCAATAGCCCAGTCTTCCCCAAGATGGTGCCCTTCTAGTATTTTGGACTATGACTCAAATAATCCCTGTCAACTGGCCAAGCTGGCTGGAGCTTTTGGGAGCTGTCATTGAGATGTCCAGAGGGTACCACCTTGGGGAAGGCTGCAATTAGGACTGGGTGAACTGAAGCTGCTTACATTCATTGAAATTCTCCTAACTTCATTTCAAACTTCCTCACATCTGTTTTTGGCTGTGACCTCGTTTTCTTTCACTCAAAGCATAGAAAGTACACATGTTGAACAGCGAAAGTTCAGATTTCCATGCATGCTTTTCAAAAGTGCACACTTTCCCCCTATTGACTAAAAAGCATGAAAATTTGGGGGGATGCGGTTGGTAATTAATACATTATTAAAAATACATTTTAATATTAACAGAGTTTCAGTAATGTGCAGGTTCAGGAAAATATTTCATACTGGTGTTGTGCCTAAGGCAAGTTTTGAGGATTTTCAAAGAGAAACAAAATTTTCATAACATTTTCACTGCACTAGCTTTGTGACTTTTGCCAATAATGAAGGGCTTTTGTGCCAAGAGACATTACCTGCTTTGTGAGGTCAAAGGCTATGTGAAGCCAAAAGATACAGACCATAGCCAAAGCTAGCAAAAAAGGGGCAGGCTCTGTGCAACAAAATGTAACAACTGTATTTTAATAATTGCTAATGACGATTGCAGCCCAAACCGACAGTATTTGTTGATTTCAACTGGATCCAAGCAGGCCCTCAGCTCAACACCAAGGATCATCAAGGATCATCTTCGTGGCTGGACTGCCAAAAATTGAAATAGCTGAGATTATACTTGCTTTCATATGTATTGGCTAGACAATGTTAAGTTCCCAGATCAACACTATACCTCCCTAGATTCTTACCATGCTGTCTGTCCAAGCATTAGCCGTGTCCTGACTGTGTTGCTAAATAACCATGTTTGCACAGTATTTAAATCAGTTCCAAGCATTAGGAGAGTATATGGCTCTAAAGCTGCATATGTTTCTTTTTCTGGGACCTACAGACAGTCTGAGTCTTTATGTTTACATTCACAATAGCCATGTCTCTGTCTGTTGAGACGTAACTATTACCCCTGACCAATAAAAAATGTTTCATAAAAAGAAGTAAATGCTTAAATGTGTCTTTCAGCACATCAGCCTAGCTGGTTTGGCAGTATTGTAATGAACATTATGAGAGATTTAGGGTTCAAGGACAAATTGGTAACAATTTCTGAAGTTTTATTTATTACTTGTCCTAGAATACAATCTACTTTCTAACACATGTGTTGATTTTTGCTTCTGTTTTAGTCTTCCGTTAATATAATCTTGTACTACTATCCAAATTTCAGAATGTTTTACATTTCAAACATGAATAGAGAGAGATACATAGATAGTAGGCTTCCCTAGCTGTTTTAAGGAGATATGTTTGTAAATAAACCAAACACTGAACTCACAACACAGCTCATACTGAATAGACCCACTGGGAAAAGGGCAGGCTTCATCCGCATTTTAGTACTATCTGACACAACAAGCAATGTAAGGAAGCCCAAATCTGTGCTTACCACAATATGTATAAATGAGTTTTGAGTCTATAAACCGAACTTTTAGGTTATGGAGAACAGCAGGTTCATGGAGATAGCTGAGAGCTGTCAGGTCATTTTCACCCACAAGTATATCAGGGTTTCGCAAAGGTGGTAATTCCTTCAATTTAGGATCAAGGCTATATTCAAGACCCTGAAAATTAAAAAGTATATATACATTACTTTTAAAGATATATTTTCAGATTTCTCATACAGTCGATGTAGCAAGAAAAATTATGGTAAAAGAAGCCTTATGCAGACAAAATGATCACATATAGCTCTTCTTCTTTTTTTAAGCAGTTGGTTCTGGGCCCACTTTTACTTTTAATCAACAAGCTACAATCTACTGGCTCATAGACTGTAAGCATGACATATGAACCTGGAGCACTGGATTGTGCATGGGCTAACCAGCCTAGCAATTAACCCATGGTTTGTTGTTGGTTTACTGCTGAAATGCTTATGCCTTGAACAATCTACAATTCCGGGGCTTCCCACTTTATGCTCAGACCCAACCAATCAAAGGAAGTGAAGAACACACAGGAAGCATTGCTCACTCCTGCTTATGCATGCCAAACCCATAATTTGCTCTTTTATGAGAACTGTCCCATTGTTGGATACCAAAAGACTGTCCACTGTGTTTGTTTTTAAATCTACTGTAAGCTCTCTTGGGAATTTTGTTTGAGAGGCAGGATAGGAAATGCTCTATATAAAAAAAGAGGATCATACCATGAAAATGTCATCTTTTTCAACAAAATACACCAATTTCAATCAGTGTTACAATAAGGAACAGCAATAAATGTTAACATAATGTTACCTTGCCATCCTCAAGCTGAAGGTGGAGGACTTTATCTCCTGGTTTATAGTCTTTCAGAAGCTCTGCTGATTTCCAGACTACTTCTGCATCAGGTATCCAAATTCTTGCATACTGCAAATAAAAATAAAAATAAAGTAAAATAGCTGGATTTTCTTAGTATTGTGTATCAAGAGAGGGATCTCTCCCTTTCATTGGCCTTCTCCCTCAGAATCCATGCATTTTTCACATACCCAGCTGAGATATACTCCTCATGTCAAAGGGATCTTTAGAAGGGAGCTCCAGAGCTTTGCACCCTCTGCCTGATCTTAGAAGCTGCTGCCTCATTCCAAATGAGCTGCAACAATGGGTGACAAACTGCTATCATCTTTTAATGATGTACATTAGCAGAAGTTTCTGGAGCCTGACTTAACCATGGTACAAATGCTTCCTAAATTTAGTTTGGTAAAGGCAGTTGTCTTTATCTATTGCAAATCTAAGCCAGCAATTCACAACAATTGAACCCATAAAATGTTGTTTAGTCGTGTCTGACCCATCGAGACCCCACAGACAACATTCCTCCAGGATTTTCTGTCCTCCACCATCCCTCGGAGTCCACCCAAGCTCACACCCACTGCCCCAGTGACTCCATCTAGCCACCTCATCCTCTGGAACCCATAAATATATTACAATAAAGCATAAAATGTTTAAAAGTTTAAAACTACAGTATAAAACAAGGTAAAACCAGCAGCAGTATAAATATTTAAAAACACAATGACAGATTTTAAGCAATAATATGCCTAGGCAAATAAGGTCTTCACCTGCCACTAAAAAGGCCACAACCTAGGCATCAGGTGATTCTTGTTGGATAGGGCATTGCACAACCAGGTTGCCACAAGAGAAGTCCTTTAGAAGTCAAAGGACCCTCTTCACTTCATTTGGCAGGCGCACCTGGAAAAGGGCCTCTGAAAATGATTTTAGGGTCCAGGCATGTATACATATGGCAGGTAACCTGGCCCCAAGCCCTTTAGGTCTTTGAAAGTTAATACCAGCTCTTTGAAATGAACCTGGAGTGACACAGGATGAAAAAAATGTTTCCTTGGTCGATCTAACAAACACTAGGTTGGAACACTGAAAGTTTTGACCAGCAATAAGAACACATTCACAACAACACTTTGCTAGATGGAGCAATAGGCAGAAATGTGTAACGTATGCAACAAAATACAATGTGTCTGCTCCACCATCTCAACAGGACTGCTTATTCGGGAAGCCAGCCAACCCATCAGTTCCTTCTCCTAATTATTATAAGCTGAACGAGGCTAATTTACTCCTCCTTTCCTTCACAGCTTTCCATTCCAACTGATGTGTAACATTGCATAGTTCCTGGAGACAAGTGAGCATATTCAGTCCTCCTACTTAAGAGCAAGCTGTCTTTTTTTTGAACTGTAATAACATATTGGTACACAATTAGCCATTCTCCACTGTATATGCTTAATCAAACAAACACTACATTGCCTTCTAAATCACTGGAAGGCAGGCTGCTGAAGAGTCAATGAATGCTGCATACAATGTACAAGAGCAGAGCCTTCAGCAGTGCATAATGGGGTGAGATAGCTTCAGGCAGTGATCTTTGGTATGAAAACAGAGATGCCATAAGTATGCTTTTCATCTGTGCTATGTTGGAAAGTGCACCTTTCCAATGTAATTGGTTCTGAGACTTCCAATCTCTTTACTATAGACTAAGTTGCCAAAGGGGTGGGGGGGGGGTCTGGAGGAATGATGTCCATGGGGTCGTGATGGGTCTGGCACAACTTTGCAACTAACAACGACAACAACATAACCCTGCACTAATCAAAAGATTATTGATTTTGGTGATTCTGCAGTGAAGGAGCACCTCCTTCTACTTGCCTAGTGCTCTTTACAGGCATGCCTTTGCAAAAGGACTAAGCTTGCTGGTTCTGGCTTCACCTCTGGATGAAATAGCACGGAACTAGAGGGATGAGAGGAGCAGAACGGAGGGCTTGGACAGCCAGGGAATCTTGGCATCTAGCTGGACGTCAACCACACAGCTGAGAAAAATGAAACGCATTCAATCACTGAAGGTCAAGCAAGTGAGCCTTGATGCCCATTCCTGGAGAGCTGAAGTTCCACAAAGAGGAACAGTTTTGAGAAACTCTGAACCAGATGGCATTGAAGCACAGTGGACAGGCAGAAGCCACAAGCATCTCCACTTCCACATAAAACAAAGGGCTTTCCACTCCTTGTGGCTGCAGGTGTGCCATGCAGCTGGTGAATCTCAGAAGCCACAAGAATTACTGAACACAACTTCCACTGGACACAGGGCTCAACTTCAGTGCCCTGGTAGGAGGGGATAAGTGATCTTCTCTGCAAGAATAACTATTACAAACAGTTTTTGTCTACAAAATATTTGATGAGATTATTCTGTTCTTGAAATATGGCACAGCACAGGACTGGTCTTATGACATACCTACAGATGCAACAGATATTCTGGAAGGAGATCAAATAAATGCTGGCTCTACTCGAGGAAAAAAAAAAGTAATTGGGCATATAATCCAAAAGAGGCAGCTCCTCCCTTTCTAGAACGTTTCATTACTCACAGAACCACTTCTGAAGCTAGTGTGCCTAGCACGGTAGACAAGCTTAAGGCAAGGCCTCGTGGGCAATCCTTTAACTAGCTGGGCTTCTTTTCTGTGCTCGCTTTTGAAAAATCATTGCACATCCTGGTGAATCACCCAGTGCAGGCCACGTACCATAGCACAGCAGCACCTTTCTGCACCAGTAAGCACACGCCTGCTGTAAAAAAAAAAGCTCAGATAGTTTTAAACATAGATTTGCTGTGATTCGGAATAAATGAATAGCACTAATAGCCATACCTAATGTGATGCTGATAGAGGCACTGAAGCCTTATGCACTGCACTTAACACATGGGCACAGAAGCCATGTTTAAGGAGTCACACTACTGTTACACTTCTGTTTTCTACATGCTGATATAAGGACTGTTATGGTGCGGCTGTTACAGCACTGCTAAACTACTACAAACAAGGAATTTGTGGCTTAAACATGGTCAGAGCTTGTCACACATGAGGCATTTCAACTTTATTCTAAAGAGGCAGCAAGCTGTCGGTTTTGAATTTGTGATTACAGAATTTATATGGATATATAAACTGTTTGTGAAATTCACTGTTTATTTTTAATATTACTGACCCAAATGGATTGCTGGTCCTGTTGATCCACACATACCCCTAAAATAGCTACTCCACAGCAACAGGCCACATAACAAAGACACAAACACAACAAACCCAGATGCCAACTCTGTCCGCACATCTATACAGATATGAGACAAAATGTTCAAGCAAAGTGTTTTTGTGAAAAATCAATCTGTTATCATTTCTGTGTTCACTAATTAGTGAAGTAGTCAAAGCTTTAACTTATGTCTTGGAACACTGCCAGTCAGATTCAGAGATCATTTTGCTTGCAAAAGGTACGTCTGGATTTATTTTGAACCCATTTTGTTGGTCTGTCCTCATAGAGAAGTGATTACTGTCCCCAGAAAGTGACTGGGAATTCCAGGAATAATCCAAAACAACAGGTAGCAGCAGCAACAGAACTTTGTTGCTTTTAGCTCAAGGCTCATTTTGTACACACACACATTTTCCCCCAATTTTTGCAAACATTTTTTTAAGATTTCACCCTGCCAATGCGAGTAGAGTCTGCCCATTACACCAACATGGGGAGCAGAGGGTGAGAATGTCACTGTGGCTGGGCATGAAATCCGCTGGCCCTGCAAAGGAGTCATTGCTGTTACTGCCATATTGCTGCAGGGCTGTGACGAGAAGAACATACCATACCCCCAATGCAGCTGAATACTGTCATCTAGCCTGCTGGCATCTGAAGCAAAATGTCTGCATAAGGCTTGGGAACAGTGCAATCCTCTGAACAGCAACACAGAAAAGTGCATTCTATTGAACTAAATAGGACTTAGCCACAGGTAACTGGGGATGGACAGCAAGGCTGCACTCTTATACCCTCCCACCTGGAAGCAGGTATAGTTTGGCTCAGGAACTTATTACCTGCGTGTGTTGTACAGGCTGCTGTGGTCTAATTGCCCTCACAGTTAAAAGACAAGTTTACTGAATATAGGTGGAAAACCATTAATCCATGAAGACCACTAAAATTCAGAAAGGAGAAAGTCAGATGAAAAACTTGGGGTTTGCATGCCTTGACCATCAAAAGAGTCACCACAAGAACAGGATACCCAACACCCTAGAAAAGGAAGTTGCTACCGAAGATGAAGAAGATTGGGAAGACATTTTGAAGGCTCTAGAACACATGTCATTAAGGAAAGTTGTCTTTATACTGGCCCTCACAGCACATCCCATTATGACAGTGTACCCACACAGCCTACAAGTAACTTGTCAATAAGACAACCGGAATTGTAAATTGTCAGGATGTCATTTCTCATGAGCAAACTTATGCCACAGTCAGAAGAAGCACCTTTTGAATTTCTGACATGACAACCAAAACACTATCTACTTACAATTAGAAGCAGGAGAAACCAAATCACCATAGAAACCAGACTGCCAGACCTCGCTGAGCCTTCCATGTGAGATATTTATGGAACGTTAAGAGCCTTCTACCACCAGAAGGCTGTTGCTTTTGAGTATCCAGCTTGGTCATTTGTGTTTCTACTCAAAGTGCAGATGGCACTTCAATCCCTGATTAAGTCAAACAGCAGAAGATGAGTCTCTTGATAATGAAGCTGCAGAAAGGGACTGAGCTGCACATTGTTTTACTGCAATTTATTCTGAATGTAATTCTGAAGGGATCAGGGTATATATGACATGCAAACTGCAATATAATCATATCAGAAGAGGTTTATATTTGCCTGGATGGAAACACCCTCCTAGGAAACTGTCATAGCAGCTACAGCAGAGTAAGCTTTTGAGACCTAGGCCTAAGAGACAACTCCCAAAGTACTCATTACATGGCCGCTGGAAAGTAGAACAAATGCTCTGCAAGGCTTAAATCTGGTCTAGAATAGAGAAGAAAGCACCAGCTGTTTCCATGCCACTTCCCAACTGCCATCAAAAAAAGAACACAGTGGTCATAGAACG